AGAGCCAGAAAAACTGTGAAAAAGTACCCGCTAGCCGGAACTACGCCTAGTGGAAACGCAACCAAAAACGGGCCAGGCCGGGCACGGCACGCTTAAACCGCGCTCCGCGCTGTAGTGGAAATGCGCTATTACATCCACAAAAACCTATATAAAACACTACAGGAAAGGGAAAACCCCAAAAAGTATAATAAGGACTAGGGCTGCTCGATTATGGCAAAAATCATAATCATGATTATTTTTGGTCAATATTGATATCACCATTATTAAATACGATTATTCATTGACTTTGAAAACATCCATTTGTTGAACTTTAAAAAAGAAAACGTTGCACTGTGTGTAGAAAGAGAGAGAGAGAGAGATGCTGACCTGCACCGTGCAGCGATCAGCTGATCCGGAGCAGAGAGAGAGGCCGTTTCTCAATGTCGAGTATACCTGCTGCAGAACCACTATTTCAAGTATACTACGTCATCGAGTGGCGCCGAATGCTGGGCATTTAACATGCATTTAAACAGTCCTTCTGCGCCACTCGATGACGTAGTATACTTGAAATAGTGGCTCTGCAGCAGGTTTACTCGACATTGAGAAACGGCCAGAGAGAGCTGCGGTCTGGGGCCTCTGCCTCCTGTCCTCGCAACTCTTGTTATTTGTTCTTACTCGGAACCGAGTTTTGCTTCCCAGCCCTGCCACTGTGCTTGCTGCAAGCAGCAAGATGCATTTCCTTAGGAATCGATAAGCAGAACCGAAACAAACATTTCTAAACGATACCAATGGAATCGAAATGTTGGAAACGGAACCGGATTTCGGTACCCAACCCTACTCACAACCTGGCAGAGAGGGCTTTTAGGGAGGGGCGAAAGCGCATGCACGGGCAGGATGTATAACACAAGACAAATTGAGAGCATCATTGCGAAAGGGAATGCAGCAAAATAATCGTTTTATTTCGATTACGTTGTTTTTGTAATCACTGCAAGCCAAAATCGAGATTAAAATACGATTAATTGCACAGCCCTAATAAGGACTCTTTAAAAGAATAAACTTATCACCATTCTAAAAACTTGTCTAAAAACTAAAAGAAAACACCACATTTTCAATAAATAAAAATAGAAGTCTAAGAGCAAGAGTTCTCTAAAATCCACCATTACAGAATTATGATGAAAGATATGGTTCTACATTATGAGAACAAATAAATAAATAATGGATGACAATATTTTGGTATTAAATTAGAGCGTTTAGCTATTTCAAAATCATACATATATTGAGTGTGTGTGTGTGTGTGTGTGTGTGTGTGTGTGTGTGTGTGTGTGTGTGTGTGTGTGTGTGTGTGTGTGTGTGTGTGTGTGTGTGTGTGTGTGTGTGTGTGTGTGTGTGTGTGTGTGTGTGTGTGTGTGTGTGTGTGTGTGTGTGTGTGTGTGTGTGTGTGTGTGTGTGTGTTCCAGGCTTCACCACGCTCACCTACCTGCGGGTGCACGCTCAGAAGCACCACGGTCAGGAGTGGAAGGAGAGCGGCGGGGCGCGGGGGGGCTTTGGGGGGACGGGGGCCGGCGGTGTGCTGCTGTGCCAGCTGTGCGGGGTGCAGTGCAAGACAGCCACGCAGCTCCAGGGTCACATGGGCACCCACGCCGCCCAGGGAGACCCCGGCCACGACCCCGGCCACGACCCCACCAGCGCCGGGCCCGTGGGCTCCACCAGCGTGGCCGTCACCGTGTCCAGCGCCAGCACCGTGGGACTGCTGGTGACCGACTGCTCCGGGATCGCACCCTCGCCCCACAGCTAGCAGGCTGGGAGGGCAGGGGGTGGGATGGGTGGGGGGGTGGAGCTGGGGATGGAGGCAAAGACAAACGAGGAGCAGACAAGCAGAGAGACAGGATCCTATCCAGGTGTGTGAATCATCTTCTGCCATCTTTTTTTTATTGGGGAGAATGAGGATGTTTAGTGGGAAACCTGGAACCTGAACATTACTTTGCATTTAGCTGACGCTTTTATTTTATCCTTAAAGAGGACATATTATGCTGATTTTCTGATTCATTTGTATTCTGTGTCTCTACTGTGACATGTCTCCATGCGCTAATGTTCAGAAAGCTCTTTATTTTTCTCATACTGCCTGTGCTGCAGCACCTCTTTTCACCCTCTGTCTGAAACCAGGGCCCAATCTGCTCTGATTGGTTAGCTGGCCGGCTCTGTTGTGATTGGTCAACCACTTAGAGATGCCCCGCCACTTAGCCTATCACGTTCAATGTGTTGGAGTTCTAGCCAATAGAAGCTCAATTGTAACGTAGTGATGTCATAATGTTACGGAAATAAACAAAGGAGGAACAATGGTTAAGCATTTAACTAAACCATTGTAAGTGCTTTATACAGAAATTAGATTTAATTTAAAATCCGGTTTATTGCAAAGTAGGTGTATAAGAACTTAAAGCATTATGATTAAGGTAAGTGATGAACATCCCCATGCTCTTTTATGTGTTTGTGTTGAAACCATTTCTTTCTTTTGGTGCTAAAGTGAACAATTTGTTACATTTAAAAATGGTGAACAATATATCCAAAATCAGCAGAGGGAGGGGCGTGAAAACAGTGTTCTCTCTCAAGATAAAGCCATATTCTTTATTGGTGTGAATGTAACATGTACAATATATAATTGTAACAACTAATAATAAGATTACAAAGAAAAATAACAAGATACAATTCATAAAATCTAAAAGAAGCAGAAAAATTAAAGAGTGAGTGCTTGCTTGCTGAATCGATGAGCAAATAATAAAATTATGAGAAGGATGATAACATTTATATAAAATAAATATATAATATACATATAGGAATACGCACACTATGACAGACAAAACAAACTATTTGGCAGGGGAAGATACACATATTATTTTCAACTTATGAAAACATCTGTCATCCTGCTTCAGAATGAAATGATTTCTACCTTGGTCCAGGTGACACACTTCCACAAGTTTCATGAAAATCGAGCCAGTGGTTTTTCTGTAATAGAGAACTGAAACTTAAAAGAATTAATGGCATATTAATCATTTCAAAAAACAGCCCTTTACAGAAACATTAAAGCTGTTTAAACCTGATGATTCATGATAATATTTTGTAAAATTAACATGCTTTTGTTTTCACTTTCCAGATGTTTTCATATCCGGAAGTGAACACAGACCGGTGGTGTTTCCTGCTCAGCGCTGGTAGTCATTTCACGAGGACGGCGGCCTTTGGTGACCTTTTACTTCCAGCTCCATCAGTGTTAAACAGCTGAGAGACACTTTCTGCAAACTGTTCCGCGTCTGTGCAAATCAGCCGAGTCAAAGCGAGAAACTGTGGAAAAGACGATAAGGAAAACCTCTGCTCAATCATGAGGGAGAAACATTTACGTGTATTTTTATTCATGTGGCTTAGCAATTAGCTGTTTCTATTTTTCATCATGTCATTGTTTTAATTGTCAACAGCCTGTCAAGATTTTGTAAAGTCGGTGTTGTTTCTGGATTATTTATATTCCATGATATCAGTGTTTATTTATAATGAGATTGACCTAACATGAATTTTGATCAGTTTCCCACTTATTTATTGATATTATCAGTATAATATAATTTATTTGAACAGTCTGCAGTTTGCCTTTGTCCGATTCTGCAGAGCACGGACACCTCACAGGACATGGGTCAGCTATTTCACACGGGCCATCATGTAAATACACTTTTATAACGCGGATAAAGGCAAACTAATAATACGTTATTTGTGTATATTCCCCTCCATGAACATGAATGTGCTTCATATGGTCATTGCTCTGTCTCTGGATGCTGATTTGTAATTATTGAAAAAGGTACATTTGCCATGTGATTTGTAGCTACCTTGGTGACACATTTTCTGTGGCTGTGCATATTGATTGTAATTGATGCATAGTGCATAGCGCCTCGTTACTACTGTATTAAAAAAGCAGTAAAATGCATGTGTGGGTTTAAGTGGAAATCATCTGTCCGGGTGAATGTCAGCAGTGGAAAGTAACTTAATATATTTACTCAAGTACAAATTGAAGGTACTTTATTTGAGTATTTGCTTTTTTAATGCGACTTAAATGTTCTACTGCACTACAGTACATCTATTTGAAATCTTAAGTAATTTTGCAAATTAAGATTTTCCCACTAGACAAATGAAATAAAAGCTAAGAACGAATGGGCCATTAAGCAATTAGTTTTTGAAATGGTATGTAAAACTCTTCATTATTGAAGTCACTTCTTTACGTAAAACATTTCATATTTCCAGCATCACAAATGTGAAGGTTGGCTGCTGTCCTTTTAATTATTTTAATATTCAAATGTAAATTGTTGTTGTCAATTGCTTACTATGTGCTCAACAATGAATGCAATGAAGATTCTTACAACTATTCTAATTTAATGTATAAAAACATTTTGTGTTTAAAAAAAGGAAAACATCATGCAAGTAAAAACTATTAAAAAGAGCAAATACAACAAAATAAGTATACATTAATAGAATAAAATGCTGCAAGTTTGAAAAAAGGGATGAAGTATAAAAATATGAAATACAAAATACATTAATATATACTAAACATTAATTGAGAAAATCAATTCAATCAAATGCACATAATGACCAGAACATATATTCACTAACAAATTCAATTATTTTGCAGATTCAGATAATAGAAAATGTAATAAAGTATGATGTATTATTACACAAAGGTACCAGGTGCAGGGTCAAAGGGGTAAACCATAGACTGGGGTAAACAAATTAATTCATCAATAATTACAAAACAATAACATAATATATATTATTATTGCATAATGAGCACTTTTGATGCTTTAAGTATATTTTGATGCCAATACATGTGACTTTGTGATGATTTTGAATGCAGGACGTCTACTTCAGAGTGTATTTTGGTATTAGTTTTTAGTAAAGTATTTGAGTACGTCCTCCCCCTCCACTGCTGTGAAGCTAGGCTAACATTAGCATTGTTTACAGCAGGCAGAACAGCATCGCCCTCCCCCACCCGGCGGATTTAACAACTCCTCCTACTTAACAAGCTAGCCAGCTAGCCGCTGTAAAGGCGACCATAGCTCTTTAAAAAAATACCACTGAACATTACAGGGCCCCCTGGATGATATATTTCATCCAGGAAACACAAGAAACTGCCTTAATGGGACGCTTGTTCGGCGTGTTTTACGACGCGATGGCCAGCTAGCAGGCGGTCCCAAAGCTAGCTTGTCGGCTAGCCGGGGTAGGAGCTTCTGAGACCCTCATCTAATCTCGGCTTTTTTCGGCCTTTTTTAAAATTAGTTTCCGTGCCATGCCAAGTTTATTTTAAACGACGTTTTATATGTAGGCTTGTTAGTTTAAATGACCAATGAAGTGTTTTCTTTTTGAATATGTAGGTCAATGAACCCGACCAATGATAGTTATTTGGGTCATCCTCGGGTATTAGCAGGAACAGCTGGTTAGCCCAGTGGCTAGCTGTTTTTATTTATCAGTAATTTTTAACGAAAAATGCAATAACTTGGATGCACATGTTTGTATGAGTAGATATAACTCTGCAGTCTGTGTTTATGAGGTTATCATCGAGTGGAACATTTATTTTAATAGTTTGGAGTCGTCGCTTCACCATCGTTAGCCAACTGAGCTAGCCGGATCCTGTTAGCATCCGAGCAGCTTCACTAATTAACAAGGTAAGCGTAAACAAAAAGGAAACTTTAATTACAATAAAGTGTCTCAATTTATGGTTCTGTTTGCAACATTTTCATGTATTTATATAAGCTGTCACCGATATGTTTCAGGCTTTTAACGCTTGCTTTTACACGTTTATTTATATATTTATTTTGTATTTGGGTTTTGTATGTTCACACTAGTTCTTCTATTCTTACAACATTTCTACGTGTTAGTCCTCTTTCTCTCTGCAAGTGTATGCACAATAGTCATTTGTATTTGTTCAGAATCAGAATAAGGCTTATTGCCTTGGTATTTAAATTTAAAATTAAGAAAAATTAAGTTAAAGCAACGTAAAAGTCAAGAATTTAAATAAAGAAAAGGAAAATTGCAATTAAATAAATGGTTAAAAAATATACCATAACAAAAATATAAAAGTCAAATATGTAACTTTTTTTTTAATGTGCAAAAATATTGATTAGGGTTGTGCAAAAGTGGTTGTTGTGCAAAACATGTTTTTATTTTAAGCGCATCTGTCTCTGCAATGTTATCACATTCCTAATCTCACTTAAACGTGCTTTTTGTCTTAAAATCTGTGATTTATAGTTTTAAAAAAACATCCAGGATCAGTTGCAAGTATTAAGATGTTCTACATCTTGGTGTTGCACGTACTAGGTATTTCAATTATCGACGTATCAATCAAAATGTCTAAGAGCAGAAAATGACTTCATTTTGAAATGCTTGTTTCCTATAATAAACCTCCCCAAAATATTTAGTTTGTATCATATAAGAAAATCAGCAAGTCTTCCCATTTGTTACCAGCAAGTGTTTGGTATTTGTTAAAAGAAAGTGTCAACTACATGAGGGTTAAGTCTGCTCAACGATTTACCTCAGGTAGAATTGAACACTGTTAATGTCAACAAACCAGATGATATACTAACTATAAATTATTTTCTTTAAGTGGCCCTATTATGCTTTTCCCCCTGTTGTGTGTTATATAGCTTTTTGTGCATGTAAATGGTCTGCAAAGGTTAAAATCCCAAAGTTCCCTCCATAACAAAATGACATCACTATGTATCACTCGCGCCTAGGGATGGGTATCATTAGGATTTTATTGATACCGGTATTTTTCGATACTCTTATCGATACTTTTCAATAATTTGGTGCTCAAAATTATAGACATGATTACAAGATGTGAAGATTAAACAACAGTCATTTTATTGTAATTTATTTGTATTTATTATTTAATGTAACTTTTTCAATGTCATACCAAGCAGGTATGAGTGTGTTTGACAGTGTGTCTCTGGAAGGGGGGCGGTAATTAGGGGCAGTTCATAAATCCATGTAAACATGACCATTTTAGACTCTTGGTGTTGGACTTCTGTTCTGTTAAATGTTATCAATATACTCACGGACCACTAGGGGGCGCTCACGGACCACCAGTGGTTAATATCGTCTGTTAGCTGAGTTTTTCCCGTGAAGTGGGTATGCATCATTAATAGGTTGTTAAATGTTAAGAAGCCTTGAGACGCTGATGTTGCGTCTGCCCCTATGGTCTGGCCCCGGGAGTCTCACAATAATAAGAGCGCTGTTAGGAGAGATGACGAGTGGCATTCACAGTGGCCACTGGCCAATCAGAGTGGTACTCAAACCGGATACGTCACACGGGATGAGGGTTCCCAACCAACCAGAATTGTTTAAACTAAGGAAGTAGCCTAATTCATATACCGATAGCAGCACCGTTTGTCCAGCGGCTTAACGGTATACCAATACCGTCCAATCAGGTACCGGTACTGACTTAGTACCGGTTCTCGATACCCATCCCTACTCACGCCTCTATAGAGAACCGCAGTGACGCGTCCTAAAACCCGGAAGTAAACTCCTTCCGGTTCCTTCGTCAAAAACGCAATGCAATTTCTCCATAGGATTTTGGAAAATAGCTCGAAATAAGTTCTGTGGTTGACACACATTTAAGAGACGGATCACGTTTTGTTCAGCCGGATAATATCCACATGTCTACCCTACTGTTATAATTTTCGAATCATAAATCTAGTCGCCAGAAGCAAAATGCTAACGTTATGCTATAAACGAACTACAGCAGGGTCGCTGCTTCAACGTCACGCCAACTTAAGATCCATATTCAAACATACAGATTCTAAATGGTACAAGTTGAAGCGTTTGTTTGAACAGTTTGCTGGAGGCAGGTACTTGCTTTCAAGCAGAACAGGGCAAACAAACTTAGCGGGAGTGTTTTACATGTTCGGTGTAATGACTTAAAGGGCCCATGTCATGGCCATTTCCACTGATCATAATTACATTGTTGAGGTATACTAAAATAGATTTATACTGTGCAATTTTCCAAACTCACATTGGTTTCGCATACAGCATCTCTGTCAAGCATGTGTATTCAGCAGTATTCACTTTCTCCACTAAACGACTCGTTGGAGCTCTTGCCCCCCCCTCCCTGTGAGCCTAGTGTGCTCCGATTGGTCAGCTCGGCCACTCTGTTCTGATTAGTCAACCACCAGAGAGGCTCCGCCCGCTTTTTTCGGGGAACATCAGTTATAGAAGAGTGTGACGGCCCCAGGGCCTTTGTGCAGGTGTGTTGCAGGGTTTACGGTGGGGTGGAGCTGAAGAGGGTAATCAGCGCGATCACGGACACCTCCGTAGCCGGTGCTATTAATCCCAGCGGCCCGGAGTCTCTCTCCAAAGCGGCTGCAGAAGGACGAACTGAGCGACCCTCTCCCCTCGACCACCTATCTCTGCATTTACCACAATAAATGTGCCGTGGTTTTGTAAACTCGTGTATGTCTCCTTGCCTTTCCGTTGTGGCCTACGAGCCGTTCATAACAAAGAGTAAGTTATTTTTACCTGTAATAAACTACTACTGTTTGATGAGAAATCAAATCATGGTTTGCTATATATGAATTCAGGGAAGAAAGGATAGGCCTACTAAGTATTTCCATTAAACTTTATTTTTAGAAATGTACAAAATGAACATAAATATACATATATACACATGGTATATCATCCATTCCTCCTCGCATCTTGCCTGCGCACAGCCGGTGCGGTGCCTTTTAGCACGAGGCCTCAGTAGTAGTAGAAGTCCCGTCCCCGTCATGGATTGTCCGCCAGGATCTGGCTGGACGAAATCAAATGCAAATCACAAAATATTAGAGAAACTTAGTTGTTTTAGATTCGTTAGTAGTAGTTGTGTAATGAACAGCTTGCCTGCTAATATGCTAACCTAGCTTTGTTTACCTTGGTAGCTAACACGATATGAACGTTAGCTTGGAGGAAAGGCAACTATAATGCAGTGTAATAAAACTACTATGAACAAAAGCTAGTGGTTCATATTAGGCTAGCAATAACGTGTTTATAATTGCAATCGTATACGGGTATTCTGCTACCATACAATGTAACTTGCATGAATACATTGTTTTGCGCTAGCATACAGCTAGCCTCGTTAGCTACATGCAGTATATGTACTGTCACAATGTACGGTAAATCACCCGGAGTATACTGTATGAGTATTCCGTGTGTGTGACTGCAGACATTCTCCTGCCATGACAAACATGTAAGGCCATCTGCTGACATTGTAGTTGATATATTTAAACGCTAGCAACGTAGCATCACAAAAATGTTTTTCCGACCAAACCTAGCTTAGCTCCGTGTGTTAGATCGGTTGCATACACGCTACGCCAGCTATAATGTAATTACGTTTCGCGACTGACCGCACGGCAAATCACCCGGAGTATACTGTCAATAGGTATTTTGTGTGTGAATGCAGACATTCTCCTGCTATGAGATACATGTATGCAAGGCCATCTGCTGATATTAGAGTTGATATATGGAAACTCTAGCAACTTAGTTAGCACAGTTAGCACTGTGTCAATGGCTTAGCAGTCCAACACAGTTTGCACATTTAAACAGTCTTGTTTGATAAATACACAAATAACAATGCAAACTTACAGGTTGTATACCCGGATCTTCCCCTGCTCCAAACGGTCCAAACAAGCTGTGCATATCCGGCCTCAAACTGGGCAATGTTTTGGAAGCTTTCGTCTGTGAAATGCCGGTTCTTCGAACCTCTGGAGGAGGAACACGCCGCTGCTGGTGTGGCCATAGCTCTTCGGGATTGGTCCATTTCGTTCCGGGTACCGCATGACATCAGGCGGTACCCGGAAGAATCAAATGGGCAGTGACGTATCTCCAACGAGGCGTTTTGGGGAGGTATTTTCTGTGTTAGAGTTTTACTCGCTACAGGGTGTACTTTGAGGGTTTTGACTCTGCACACCGTTTACATGCATAAAAACCTTCATAACACACAGGGGGATGGGTAATAACCAGAAAAGCATGACATGGGAGCTTTAAAACGGCCTGGACAACTTCTGTAGTCCTATTCAGCCACATGTTAACAACCATCGTTTTTCAGACACGTAAACTCTTCAAAAATCACCAGTGGGGTCACTGCTGATGTATTTAATGTCGTAGAACAAAACGTGATCTGTCTCTTCAATTTGTGTCAAACACAGACCTTATTTCAAGCTATTTTCGAAAATCCTATGGAGAAATTGCATTGCTTTTTGTCGAAGGAACCGGACGTGGTAAAAATGCTAACTTACTTCCGGGTTTTAGGACGCGTCACTGCGGTTCTCTATTGGCTAGCGTTCTAGCATATGTACTACAGCGTCTCCAGCGCTTTCGAACGGCAATGGCCGTGGCTGTCTCCTCCTGATTGGTGGAGTTGGCCCAATAGCCGTAGCGCCACTGTCCTGACGTCAGGACAGTGTTCAAATCTGGATCAGTTTTTATCAGATCCGTTGCAGCCCATTTTTTAGAGATTTGGGTATGGATGAAAATAGAGAGGGTTGTGTTTTCTGACACTTGGTGAGTTCCCTGGAACACCGGGGACACATATTCATGTATAAAAGACGTACAAAAGTGCATTTTGCATGATGGGTCCCCTTTAAGTGGGATTTGTTTCTAAACTAACTATGTTCCCTGTCTGCACACACAGGAAACGCGTGGATCATGCTGAGTTAGGAGTTGTTTCCTCCGTGCCTAGCCGGTTACGTGCAGACAAAGTGTTTCTGGGGGTTTGGTGAGAGAAGGGATGGCATTTCACGGTGCCGGCCGGCAGACCGTTGGAGACTTGTTCCCGGGCTCTGAGCTGGGCCACAAGTATTTCTGTGTCAATTCATCGTGCGGAGCCCCGTCCACCGGCCTCAGCGCCACGCCGTGCCTGACCGGACCCACCGCCCCAGCCGGGACGCCCCGCCACCCCACAGCTCTTGGGGGGAGCGCAGGGGGAGGGGCGGCGGTGCCTCAGCCCTACAGCAACCCAGCCAGCGAGGTGCCCAGCCCCGCTGAGATGGAGCCGGACCGCCCCATCGGTTATGGAGCCTTCGGCGTTGTCTGGTAACAATACATTATTTAGCACTATATATGTGTTGTGCATGATAATAAATATAAAAATGCACATTCATTCACTCCTGGTGAAAACATACATAAGTGTTTGCAGAATTTCTGTTGTTAGTTGTCCATTAGTTCTTGCCAGGCAGCCATTGGTTTGTCACATGTCTATTTTAATATCTATTTTTATTTAATCTGCACATAAAATTAGACAACAGTTACCAACGTGAATGTATAAACTATTCAATTAATTATAACAAACAGACAAAAATAAATAGGTAAAAACAAATATTAAAGCATAGGAATTAGAATTAAAAGCAGCCATACATTAATAAAACATTTCCTTTATACTGTACAAGGCCCAGAGGACGTCTTCAATATGCTCCTTTTAAAATAAACAATAGGAACGCACCACTTTTGTTTTGTGGAGCATAATGAATTATAGGCGCTTTCACACCAAGTACTTTGCCGTACTTAGTTCCCAGTACTTAGTTCATCAGAACTCTTTAGTTCTGATGAACTAAAGAGCAGATCGCGTTCACACCGGAATAAGTCCCTGAGGGAGGATTAGTCAAATGAAGCCGCTGATGTCACTTCTTCTTCTGCTTCTTCTGCTTTGGGTTTACTGGCAGGCCGCAAACAACTTCACGGCGTATACTGCCACCGGAAGTCCCCGGAGTTGGGGACTGGCTTCAGTAGAAGCTGCTGGGACTCCCAGCTGCTTCTACTGAAGCCTTCCGAGTAAATCGCCAGAACGCCGACACCTCATCTCCACCGCTCTCATGTTTTCTTTTGTGTTGCCATAAGTTAGTCTCTCTCCGTTGGTGCGCTGGGCTAATGCTAATGCTAATAATGCTAATGCCAGCAAATACAATGGCGGCTTCACAAAACCTTTCAGAGTTTTAAGGGGCGTGGTTTGCAATTCGCCCAACCAATCAGAAATGGGAACCTTTTTCTCCCATGAAAGTACCTGCTCTCTAGCAGGGACTGAAAAGGGGGTGAAAAGGTTCTCATAAACTAGGTTCTAGTTCCGGATTTTTTTGGTGTGAACGCAAAATTTCAAGAACTGTCGGAACTATACTGGGAAAAGTACTCCGGTGTGAAAACGCCTTATAACTACATTTTATTGTGAACCCCTGCGTTGCAGAATGACAATAAACAATCCTTAAATATAAGACAACATATAGCAACATATCCTCACATTGTTAAGATGAACATTAAATAACTGTCACCATAACCAGTTAAAATATTGTCTTACCTGGTGAATGTGTAGCTTGTCTAGCTTGTAAACAACGTACTACTGTGTAAAAACAAACAAATGAATTTAACCAAACAGAAAATCAATTAATCAATAAGTACAAAAAAAACCTAATATGAAACCAGCTATAAATAAGAAAATGTCTTCATGATGTTTGTTTTGTCTGATACAGTCCAAAACATTTACTTTACTTTTAACTGTTATGTACCATTTATTTAAAAAAGAAAAAGAAAGAAGAAGACAAGCAGCAAATCCTCGATTTATTTACTAAGAACCAGCAAATGTTTTGTATTAGTACATCAAAATACCACAAACCGTTTATCATCAAGCGTATAATAACATATGTAGTCCGAAGCATTGAATGTGTATAACATTTTTCTGTGGTTGTGGATGTTTTTCAGGGCCGTTACAGATCCACGTGACGGCCGGAAGGTGGCGTTGAAGAAGATGCCCAATGTCTTCCAGAACCTGGTGTCCTGTAAGAGGGTCTTCAGAGAGCTCAGGATGCTCTGCTTCTTCAAACACGACAACGTAATGACCAGCAGACAAAAGAAGAGACGGGATGTCTGTAGTAGATGGATTCAAATATATAACTGATTATTTGGTTTTCTCTCTCTGCAGGTTTTGTCCGCTCTGGACATTTTGCAGCCTCCTCAAATCGACTGCTTTGAGGAAATGTATCCTTTAAAAAAATATATACGAAACAATTGATCAGAAGTGGGAATGATACCATGGTGTATTATGGCCTTGTATATAGTATACAAGTATAAACATTGACAATGGAGGGGGTAATATCCAGGTAAAAAGCTCTGAATTTCCTATCTAAATAGTAAATGAATGCAACAAAAAAAAAATGAACATGATAAATTGACAAGTAAAGGTCAAATTACTGTGAAAAAATTCAGACATTTAAAAAAACAAAACAGAAATTGGTTAATATTTCAGAAAATACTCACAAATTGACTTGATAGAATCTTCTATATTCTCTTAAGATTAAAGTGGGACATGAACTAGAAATTCTATACTTTACTAATAAAACACTTGAATATTTTGTAAAATTAAATCGCTTAAGCTGCTGCCTGAATTTAGTAAGCATGGCCTCTGGGTGAAAGGTTCTAAAAGATTCATAAACGTATTTTCTTCAATTTCTTATTGGTTGTAATATTAACATAAAGGAATACTAGTACAATTATTTTATAATTTGTATAAAAAAATACAAAACATTTAATCCTCTACATTTGTGACATAAGACTTTCAGTAATTATTTACAATATATTTGTTCTCATAGATGTACCACTTATTATTATTGCAAGTTTAGAGCGTTTTCTCTGATACTTCCCTCTTTCTCCATCTCTGTCATTTATTTTCAACATGGTAGAATCACACCTCCTTTTTATAATATTACCACGGTTGTGGCTTTAATTTCCAGCACACCTTCTCATTAATCTTACATTCACCCCCCCACGTCTTCTGTCCCAGTTTCTCTTCCTTTAACGGTCCCCCATGTCCTCCTTTGAATTCTCTTAATTTAGCCTCTAAATCCAGCTCCTCTCTATTCACTTGTGAATGTAAAATAAGACATGAAACTCTGTTCTTTCTTCATGCCTGTGCTCCTAAGAGATGCATGGTGTGCATGTAGGCGGAGGTCATTCTGTGTGTGGGTTTTATTTTCCTTGACAGAGAACCCCCCCGCAGCTACGTGATCACGGAGCTGATGCAGAGCGACCTGCACAAAGTGATCGTGTCTCCGCAGCCGCTCACCACCGACCACATCAAGGTCTTCCTCTATCAGATCCTCCGGGGTGAGCACTCTTACTGACGCACTAAACAGTATTTTTAGTTATTCAAATAGAGTTTTTGTGCTTGCAATCCGCTAAAAAGATAAGAAAACATCCATCACATTTCCCTAAATGTATGTCTTCAAATCTCAATTAGTCATAAGTCCAAAACCTGGAGATATGTAATTTACTTTGACATTATTTCTAGACTTATTGTACCCATAGCCGCATCAATAATAAACCTAATCCCTGCAGTACAGACTAAACTAACAATAACCTGTTCAATTATTCAACTGAGCAATACTCATTCATTATTTAATAGCAATATAAGCAATATTCTCCTATATCTTATTTATGCTTTTATGAAAAGACGTAGACTATTTTAAATGTATAACATTATTATATATATATATATATTGTAATGTACATTATATAGGGGCGACTGTGGCTGCGAGGGAGTGCGGTCGTCTTTCAACCAGAAGGTTGTGGGTTCGATCCCAGCCCATGCAGTCAACATGTCGATGTATCCTTGGGCAAGATACTTAACCCTGAGTTGCTCCCGATGGCCAACGGTGTGTGAATGTTAGGTCCTAGAGTAAGGTACACTGCTCTGTATGAATGGGTGTGAATGGGTGAATGACATGTAGTATGTAAAGCGCTTTGAGGGGTCTTAAAGACTGGATAAAGCGCTATATAAGTACACTCCATTTACATAATTTTTCGTATTCATTATTGTATATTTTTTGTTATACATCTTTCTCTTTTTTTATCAAAAAAATTATATATATATTATTATATCTTTTTTTAATTCTAAATAGACCAACTTGGACAAAATAAAATGTTCCCTTGGGATCAAAAAAGTATTGGTGATTCTGAAAAAGAAAAACAAGACACATTGTGTTAAAGTCAACTGAGATTGACAAAATACTAAAGAATGTAACCAAGTTAGTTTTCTATCGATCAATTCATGAATCTATCAATTTTAACTCTGAACCAAGCGTACACAAATCAAATTGAATAAATTGGTTACAAGCAACACATTTAAAATGATAGTGTCAAAACTTGATTTATTGTTCTCTATCATTTTAATTTAAAATAGAATACTTATATTAATTTGTCTACGTATCTGATCTGAAGGACATGCAGGGAGAGGACAGACTCTGTAGCTAAGATGTTTTCTAATGGGACTGTTCAGCGTCTATCATCCAGTGCAGGGGTTGGCAACCCTAGGCGGTACTGTAACCAGTGGCACACTAGGAATAAGTGTGCAAAATATTTAAATTGTATTTTCGGATCCTGAACGAGACCGCCGCCAGAGCGCGTCTCCCCGTTACCTGCTGAAGGAAGCCATGCACGCAACGCAGCACAGAAGGATAACTTCTAGGCCCCGCTCTCTTTAACTCCAGTCGACTTGCTGCTGCTTTCCTCCATGGTGAAACGATCAGGGGTGTAGTGCTGCCGGAGCGCACCGGAACGCCGCTCCGGCACTTCACAAATTGCAGTACCCATAAGGAGCTGTACACATGCCGCAGTTTTTGCGTGGCTGTGTCTTTAGTTGAAAGCCCAGTGGCGATCAGCTCACCTGTCATCGAAAATAATATGCTACATAGGGGCGGACTGGCCATCTGTGTGTTCTGGAGAATCACAGAACGGCCGGTCGTCAGCGGGCCTTTGGCGGCCGGCTCGGTTCGCTGACGGCCGGCACCGCCCTTTATTTAAATTTGTTTAAACGGCATCATGTAAGTTGCGCTGTCTGGCGAAAGAGGTCCACAGCTTCCCCGCAGCGATGCTCCCCCCGCCCTCCTGTTGACATTTCACGAGCGTCGGCACACTGATCACTTTTTATTTTTTTTAATGGCACTTCATATCAAAAAGGTTGGACCGGACGAAGTGGCGCCAGCAGCTGCGCGAAGGTGGTGACAGACTTGACAAAGACTGGATTCGTGGACTCAAAAACGTGGACATACTGTATCTCTCTGATTGCACTGTACAATCTCTTGTAGATTTTCTTGCCAATATATGTTGTGCGGTTCAGGTTTGAAGTACCTGCACTCTGCTGGGATCCTACACCGAGACATCAAACCTGGAAACCTGTTGGTGAACAGCAACTGTCTGCTCAAGGTGAAACAGAATCTCTGCTTTTTAAAAACGTTTGCAAGTTAGAAAGAGCGTTAATGGAGTATTTCACGGGCCAAAGACACCATCTGATCATGTTTTTACATGGATGCATTATCGTGATATTTATCTTTTTTATTTCATTTAGAATTGTTACCTTATTTTAGGTTAGTTAAAATATTTTAGTTATATTTCTGATTATTTTAAATGTATTTCGGATTATTTCATATCAATGGTTTTATTTGAGGTAATCTTCTAGATTATTTTATTTCAGGTTAGTTTAAATTATTTTAGATTATTTTATATTGTTATATTTTACATTTTATATTGTTTTATTTTATATTATATTATTTTCTAAATGATTTCAGATTATTTTAGAATTAAAATGTCATTATTTTTAAATGATTGTTAGATTGTTATAACATGTTAAGTTATTGTAGGCGTAGTGTAGGTTTGCTTCTTTTCACTGTAAATGCTGCGCTGCAAATTTCCTCTGTATAAATGAATATTCAGTTTCAAATGTTCTATTGAGCTGTGCACTGCCGGGTAGATCCTGAGCATTGCAGTGCTAACCTTTTTAAATATATGTTCTTTAAACCTGTGTTTAGATTTGTGACTTCGGCTTGGCGCGTGTGGAGGAGCCCGACCCGTCGCGTCACATGACCCAGGAGGTGGTGACGCAGTACTACAGGGCCCCCGAGGTGCTGATGGGCTGCAGACACTACGGCTCGGCCATCGACGTCTGGTCCGTGGGCTGCATCTTCGCCGAGCTGCTGGGCCGACGCATCCTCTTCCAGGCTCAGAGCCCCATCCAGCAGGTGAGGTCCTCTACCTGCATCCATTCTGCATCCATTATGTCCTGGTGGATCTCTTGCTTTATTAGACCACGTCCTTTTAGGTGAAGTTTGCTATTTAAATCCTCACACTATGTGTTTCCTGCAGTGTTTTAAACTGGTTTGGTATTTTTTGGGTATTTTTTCACTTATTCAGCATTTCTTGCACTTAATTGAAGAGGCCACCTACAGAGTTTGATAATACAGACAGGAATGTACAGCTTATATGAACCAGTGTAATGTTTTGATATTATGCAGATGTGTGTTATTGTCTTTAACTGGTTCTCTGTCCTGCAGCTGGATCTGATCACAGACCTGCTGGGGACCCCTCCTCTGTCGGCCCTGTCGGCAGCCTGCGAGGGGGCCAGAGCCCACATCCTGAGGGGGCCACACAAACCGGTACGGGACAAAACCACTCAAAGCTCTTTTCTGCTTTTTTAGCAGATAACATCTCCTTGTTTCTGAGAGACAATTTGTAAACTTCAGCATAAATAGAAAATAACAAAATAATGTTACTGGACTTCCCTGATGTAAGGTCAGTGAAATACTATAATAAATAAATATTTGGCCTTGTGATTATTTCAACTGATGAATAATCACTTACCTAAAGCTGCTGCATTGACTTTTGTTCACCTGGTGGCAGAAAACTGTGAGAAAATGCATTTTCTATTGGTGTTACAAGAATAGTTTATTTACACATTAATTAACAAAAAACAAGATATTAAAATCTGTACATTTATAGAATTTGTAATAATATCCTGTTATGAGCACCATCGTCCCACAGCCGATGGCATTCAATGATTAATTTATGTATTTGTATATAATTGATCGGAAATGAAATGCCTTATACCTCATCTCAGGTTATTTGCTGATAATCTCGCTGAAATGTTACCAAATCTGAAATCGTCATGCCCGCTGACATGAGAGTTTACTGTGATACTTAATAGCCGCGTTCACACCGGAGTACTTTTCACCGTACTTTTCGCGTTTAGTTGCAGGTCTCCCTTGAAAAAGAGATCTATGATCTCAATGGGACCAATCTGGTTAAATAAAGGTTTGAAATGAAATGAAAAATAGTTCCGTTAGTACCCCTTATGTCGCGTTCACACCAAAAAGAGCACTTAATCTCGGGAACTTTTACCCCCATTTTTTTAGTGCCTGCTGAGAGATGGTACTTTCCTGGGGGAAAAAAGTGCCCCAGTTCTGATTGGCTGGACGAATTGCAAACCACGCCCCGTACAACTCTGAAATGTTTTGTAGAGCCGCCATTTTATTATCCTGGCATTAGCATTATTAGCATTATTAGCATTAGCATTCGCCCAGCGCACAAACGCAGAGAGACTAACTTATGGCAACACAAAATAAAACATGGGAGCGGTGGAGATGAGGAGGTGTCGGCGTTCTGGCGATTTACTCTGAAGGCTTCAGTAGAAGCTGCTGGGACTCCCAGCAGCTTCTACTGAAGCCAGTCCCCAACTCCGGGGACTTCCGGCCGGGGACTCCGGGTGGCAGTATACGCCGTGAAGTGGTTTGCTGCCTGCCAGTAAAGCCAAAGCAGAAGAAGACGAAGTGACGCCAGCGGCTCATTTGCGTAATCTTCCCTCAGGGAAAAGTACTCCGGTGTGAACGTGATCTGTACTAAGTGCCCTGGGGTAATAAGTGCCGGCGCACTGAGTGCCGGCACTAAATACGGCAAAGTACTTGGTGTGAACGCGCCTATAGTGACTGATGCCTGAACTCTATTTGAAGTCGATCTGTCAAATAATATAAAATAATATGAACCTTTATTGATTCCATGAAGAGAATTCTTTTTTCTCAAGAAAATGAATCCGGCAAATAAAAACAAACATACCCAAATATATATTCTTACTTTAGAATTATTCATAATAGAAAGCAGGTGTAAAGTTCAGCAGCACATTTTCTAAAAGACGATAATGAAAGAAACTGATTATTAATTTTTTTATTTCTTTGTTTGTTATATTTGCAGCCGTCGCTGTCGGTGCTGTACATGCTGTCTGACGGAGCCACACACGAGGCGGTGCACCTGCTCTGTCGGATGCTGGTGTTCGACCCGGTTAGTCCCCACACTCTGTCATTACTGATTTATGTGTGTTTCGTGTTCTTTACCCAGTCTCTGTGTTTTCACCTCCAGACTAAACGTATCTCCGGCAGCGACGCCCTCTCCCACCCGTACCTGGACGAGGGGCGCTTGCGTTACCACACCTGCATGTGCCAGTGCTGCTACTCGGTGCCGAGCGGGCGAGTTTACACCCGGGACTTTGAGCCGGCCGCCGAGCAGCCGTTCAGCCACAGCTACGAGAACAGCATGCTGTCCGTGTGGCAGGGCAAAGGTACGCCGCACACACACTTCCTGCTCCAACTGAACACACTTCCTGCTCCAACTGAACACACTTACGCACGCCCAGGTGTTTGCCTCAGATTTAGTTTGTTACTGTGTATAACGCCGGAAACTTCCATCCAATTCCAGACAAGAATATCCTTTCATAAATTACTTTCCATGATCCAATATCAACAAAATACAATGTTTAGGTTGCCTGTATATAATTGCACTCGCTTGTTTCACCCTGGTAAAAAAGCATATGCCTATACTGGTGGCCTAATGCCACCACCGCCTGTCTCCAATATATACATAATTACCCAGTGCCCAAAGCTGCCTTCAAAATAAAAGCATAAAGAACTGAATTGAATAATAACAATAAATAAATTCACATTACCAATAAACAATAACATCAAGAAAATACATGTTGACATGTTCCTGCAGAGATACACATCTCTGTGTATCTCTGCAGGAACATCAGCCCCATTGCTCCCCGGGCGCTGTCCAATAGCTGCCCACTGCTCCTAGTACTAGACTCCTGGCACTAGGATGGGTTAAAAGCAGAGAACACATGTCACTGTGTGTGCTGTGTGCTCTGCATGTGAGACCATTAAAGAGGGGTTCATCCCTCCCATTCTATTCGTGTTTTCTGTTGTTGAGTCTTTGAGTAGTCTGGTTAGTTCATCTTAATTCATATTCAATTTATTTCAAACCACTTGACCAATGATTAATATTTATAAATATGTATTCATTATTATTATATGCCGCCTGTTGGTCTTATTATTCCTTCTTTTTTTTACGCATATCTCTATTATTATGTTATCATAATTGTTCACTTGTTTGTCTTATTTTATTCTTACCTCTTAATTATATTTTACTTGCAAGTATTATTATTCTTATATTATTAGAAAGAATAATTGTATTTAACTGTTGATCTTCGTTATCTGATTTTCTTCTTTAGTTCAACTAGCGTGTATTATTATTATTTTAAAGAAATGTAATGGTGAACTTATAGTTTTAATTATTTGATTTTACATTACATTGATTTAAAAAAATAATTATATACAAATTCTCATGTAACAAATACGTCTAAAGATCCAATGAAAGGAATGTTAAATGAGAAGTTAACGCTTGTGTTCACTCGTAAGTTTGGCGACGCATTGTGCCTGTAGCAGAAATGAAATGTGCTTTATAAATCAAGTTGAGCCTCCTATAATTCCTGCTGGCTCTTCTTGTCTCCAGAGTTAATCCATCGCTTCATCACGGAGCACCAGCAGGGCAAGCGTGTGCCGCTGTGCATCAACCCTCAGAGTGCTGCCTTCAAGACCTTCATCAGGTGAGGAGGGGCTCTTTTCTCATCTATCACTTACCGAACACACTGATATTTAGATGGACGAATGTTTTGTATTCCACGTCTGAGAGAAGGTTTTGTGTCCCCAGGTCCACTGCATGGCACTCCTCCAAGGTGTCCAGGAAGGAGGAGAGATGAACCTCCTCTTCCTCCCGGGGAGCAGCAGAGTATGAAAAAGGATTTCATGGCCCGTGAGAGTACTGAAGAGTTTGTGTCTTTCCCTTTCAGCTGTTCCCCTGGCGAGATGCAGACGGGGAAACACTCCCAAAAAAAACCTCATTACTTATTTTACCTCCTTCAAAATCTACAAAGTTTCAAAATATGAAAACTACTGCTTCACTTTTTTTAAACGTCCCAAACAGGCGAGGCTTCGGGACTTTTCTTTTTCTCGGTGCTGATATGTAAAAAAAAGAAAAGCTGCTTGAGGAGGAAAAAGAAAGAGGAGCCGGTACTAGAGTGGATTTTCCATCTGTGTTAGAGACTTTAAGGAATAATGGTTTTAATGTTTGCTAGAGTTAGTCCATTTTTGAAGTCATTCCAGCCCTGTGCAATACGGATTCATTTGAACAAGCGACGGACTGAGGACACGGAGCGGATCGCTTGCCCAGCGGAGTTTCAGACGCTCCCGATACGAGCACGTGCCGGACCAGTGTCCCCGCCAAACGACACCAAACAGCGCCACCTTCTTTTTGGTTTTCTTTTGGAACTGCTTTCACTCACTGTGTTTTTCTCTGCGAGTCCAAGCCGCGTTAATAATGCAAACTAACAGATGTAGCAGGTTCTCACCACAGTCAGTCCCCTCGTGTTTCTCCACATCACAGCTTCGGTAGTGCTTTGGTCGTAGCGGCTTCGCTAAGTTCTCTGTTTGTACCTTTCTGCATAACTCTGCAGGAGAGAATTTAATCATGATATAAATATCAGAGGAGCAGGGACTGTTTTCCTCAGTTTGAAGTATTTTGTTGAAAATTACGACAGGAACATTTCTGACGGTTAATAAGGACCTTATAAACCATACATTTTCAAGGAAAGAAAATCGATTTGAAGTCGGAATTCGAAGGAAAAAAATCTGATTCCTGACGAACAAATGCAGAATTCTCTGAATTTTGAGATGATAAAGTTTAATCCCAGAAAAAGGCCTTTTCACATGGCCCTAATCCTCTTCTGTTAATGACCCTTTCCCTGGCTTTATCATTGTCATTTTGTTTGCCTACAATGGCCCTTATCCATCGTCGTAAAGAAATGATTTAAGGTTGTCTAAGAAGATGCTCTGCATAAAGAAAAATGCCAAATCGACAGATATTTGGCTGACTTTTTTGTGTTCTTCCCGTCTTGTTTGAATTTTCCTGCTGACCTCCTCTGCCCCGACTTTTTGCCCACCGGCAGAGAGATTTTTGTTTTTTGTCATTTCTTAATTTATTGAGTGTTTGTTGAGGAGTGTGTGTCTCCACCCTTTGTAGTTTGAAGCGGTTTACCTCAAACCTCCGGAGAAAACTGAACAGAAACTGATGTGTGCATACCTGTAAAGTGAAAGACGTCATTCCTCCAGATTCTTCTTTTCTTTACCTCCACTTCGCCCCACCACTCTGATTTTTTTTTTTTAGAGAGAAGGATGTTTTCTGTAAAATGCTGCTGTTTTCGTTTGTTTTAGTTTCAGGCTCAGGTGTCCCGTTTATAGACTATGAACTGTACAAAGCCACATAAGGATGCACCAGTATTGATCCTGGTATTATTATCAGTAAATAACCATTTTTCTGATTCTACACTAAGAAGTTCAGCAGAAGATGTTAATTATATCTTAATATCTAATTGAGTTAATTTTCTAACTGGTGGTTTTTACATGTTTAACCCTTTAATTACAAACTCAACAAATCGCACTGAAAGTTAAATGAACGTGATAATAATATGTGAACCGTAATAGCAAGAAAGGTGAAATATTATTACATTTTTAAAAACAGCCAGGTTTGTTTTAGTTTATATTACATTTAATATGCCATGGAATAACTCAAATAAATCATCATTTGAAAAAAAAGAAGTTATAACAGAAAAAAAGAAGTTGTCACCTCAACTACATGGTTAAAACAAATGTTACAAACATTTGCAATATTATATAAGGTCACAAGTTTCTCTCAAAACTAAAAGTGTAAATCATGTTTACTTCCATTCAAATCTATATCTCACATGAAAGGAGTTGTTCCTCATAATTACTGAAGTCTATTTATCCTTACTTGTGAAAATAGAATCCACAAAAAAAAAAGTTACATCCAAAAACTTTATAAACTAATTGTTCCCACAATATAAGCAATAATGATCTTGCACAAGACGGCAGGATTGTTATTCTCAAAGGTTTGATTTGTCTTCTGAACATCAGTAATTCAAGTGCCCTGATGTGTAGATAAAGCAGAAAAACATGTAAAACCATCAGTCTGATCTTCTGGGTTCTGGTTCCCACCGTTGTCTGGCCCTTTTCTGACTTTAGGGACTTGTCCAGGAACTTTTTTTCTTTCTGTAAGGCACTCAGGAACAGCCTGCCACCTCACAGTTTGTCCCGTCACTTTTTTTTCAATGTAAAGCTCCTGAAAAGACTGAAGGACTCTCCGGGTTCCTGTGGTTCCTTAGTTTCTGGATTCTTCTTCTTTTTTTTTTTTTAAAGCTCGTGGATTCCCGCCGGCCCCTCAGAGTCTCTTCTTCTCCAGGATCACAGCGCCCCCCCTGACTTGTATATCTGCATGTGTATATTTATTATCCCATGGAGAGCTTTTGGGTTTGAATGCTGTGCAATTGATTTGATGACGAAAACGTACATTTTGTGGTATTTTCTTTTTGTATTTAATTCATCTTTAGGAAGTGATTTTTATTAGAAGTTTTTGTTTGTTGTGATCTGATTAGGTTTTTTCACAAAAGCCAAACGTTGAGAAAATGTTTTGATAATTGTTCCCTAAATACATTTGAAGAGCGAGTTAACCTCAACACTAAAACGATTAATTTTAAATGTAAGAAGCTTTCAGTGTGATAAACACAAACGTTGCCCTCAAAAGCATCACATTAGTCAAGAGACAACGGTGTCATTTGAGTCTTCAAATGCGCACATAACCCCTTAAAAAACTGGTTCACTTAAACTAAACATTTATCTTCTCTAAACTTTCCCACTTAAATGTAACATTCCTCCCTCAATATACGTTTTTTAAGTGCTTTATTTTGTCAGATAAACCCAAAGAAAACTCAGTTCATAAAGACTCAAAACAAACTGAATTTCTTTGTAAAGAAATTCCAAAACATTTGGTCATGTTTCATCAGAAAATATTTCCCCTTTGAGGTTCCCAAATGTGTCGATTTAAATTACTATTTGGTGTTTTATTGTTTTTAAAAATGATGTTATGTTTCTTATTTCTTCGAGACATTTTCTCTAAAACAGAAAATAATTGTAATCACTGTATATAAGATAAGATAAGATAAGATGGACCTTTATTAATCCCCGTCGGGAAATTCAGTTGTACAAAGCAGCAACAGGGTAAGCGTGAAAAAACAGGACAGCAAAGATTCACACAGATTGATTTGATCAGATAAACCCAAAGATCATTCAGTTTCTAGTGATTTAGACAATTTGCCGAAGCTGGAAATTGAGAACGTTTGACATTTTTCTTGATTACTTAACATTTTGTTGATCCGATCATTATTTCAACATCGACATTCATAAATACTATATTGAAAATGCACATTATTAATACATTGATGGAACACTTTGTTAATCTGAAGCTCAAATGTTCTACTTTAGGGAACAATAGATCAACGTTTTTCCCTTTTGGACTTTTCTTATTTGACTTTCTTTTGTTTCTGTTGTGTAGAGGAAGTGTTTGAAATAGACGCCCTCCTGCACACTGTTCACAGATCAGACGGACAGACGACTCGTCACCTTTAGACATTAGACTTGTTTTTCTTCTATGAAAAGAAACTTGATGTTTTTATTATTATAAATATGAGACTGATGTTTGAAACTGATGTTTTTTGTCTTTGTTTTAGCAACAAACAAAAACAAGTTTTTTTGTTTGTTTTTTGACTTGTGTTCCCAACAAATACTTGAATTTCTTAAAAAAAATGTTTAGAGTTAAAGTAGTGAATGATAAACAAATAAATGGACACTGGATAATATTCCCTTTCATGACTAGACCTCTTTTTTTTATTCACAGTTTTATTCATTGATATTTGGAATATGTACATATCTGCAGTTTTTAAGACCGGTAAATGTCCCTAAGAATTAAATTATCATAAATAAATGGATAGTAATCTGGATAGGGATAATACATATGTTAAAGTTATAAACTAATAAATAGAAAAAAGTGATGAACAATCGCAAAGAATATTTAAAACATGTTCATAGAAAATAAGTAATTTAAGATATTGTTAAAAATCATAACAACACTATTTTACAATGCAACTGTTATTACAAAAAAATTGAGGAAATTGTAGTATTACAGAGTTTCTGATTAATGTGGAGATAGAAAGAGATATCCAATATCCCCTTGGCTTTACTAATCTGTTAAAAAAATTAAACAATCATTTTAAACCTGGCTTTATCCGGTGTTCACATTTCAGTTCTGGAAATCGATGCAAATTAGCACATACTCCTCACTTTCATATTTAAACAAACAAAAAAAATATTTTCTTAAAGGTCACCTATTATGCTAAATCAACTTTTTCCTGTCTTTTATACATACATATGTGTCCCCTCTGTGTAAAGAGATTCTCTCACTTTTTGTCCTGATCCATTTATATAAAAAAACCTGTCTGAAAATGAGCTGATCAGATTTTGGCCACTTTATGATGTCATAACGACTTTTTGGCTTGTGTAACCATTAGCCAATCACCAACCAAGGTAACCCCCCCCCCCCCCCACACCTTATCACCTGAATCTCCTCCTAGAGCACCATTGTGTTCTTTTTAACCAAATATCTCTCAGAGGGGCGTGGGGAGTGGCTCCTTATTTTCATCTAAAGTAACAGACTGGGGCTGCTTCTCACTTCTCTTATTTTCATTTCCTCGCTCCTCGGGCTCGGTATCACCGGAAGTTGATTTGTCTGCGCCATCTTGAGTAGCGTCCCATTGCCCTTATTTGTGTAGGAGGACCGAGTATCGAGGAGCGATAACGGAGGAGCGATAATCGAGGAACCACCAGACCATCCTTCGATGAAATCCTCAGATACTCGCCCCGCCCCCTTACTGTGTATCGCTCACTGATTGGACGATGCAGCGCATGCACTGATCTGATGCTTCTTGACATGAGAGCAGTTTCCCAGCGGAGTGAAGAAAACACATGAAACTCACGAGAGTCACTCCTCAGTTTATACTGTGTTTTGTTTCAATGAATGCATCATTCAGTTACAAATATGTGATATATCTGAACAACAAAGTGGACAAAAATCATTTTATTCATTTATTGGAAACATTTTCATGATCGCTTTTTTCGTTTTACATTTTCATTTATTGTCATTTCCATTCAGTCAGTCATTAAGTAGGTTACTATTTAAAATGTTAATTTGCTACGTATCCACACAAACAAACAAAGTGCAATCCAATGAATGTCCCATGTCATGCTTTTTTTCGGTTATTACCCGTCCCCTTGTGTGTTATGACGGTTTTTATGCATGTAAACGGTCTGCAGAGTCAAAAACCCTCAAAGTACACCCTGATTCAACCTGTGCTTTTCACAAGATATAATCTTATTGAGAAATAAGTTTGACTAAAATGACAAATTGGTTTTGGCGACTAGTTTGACTGAAATGTTCTATATAATCTGATGACTAAAAAAGATTCAACAGTTTTCATTGACAAAAAGTAGACTAAAATAATTAGTTTTCTTTGACTAAAATAAGACTAAAATGCTCAGACTTTTAGTCGACTAAATCTTGACTAAAATAATTAGTTTTCTTTGACTAAAATAAGACTAAAATGCTTAGACTTTTAGTCGACTAAAAGTTGGTCTGTCTCACTTTCAGGATCGGACTCCGGTTCAAACATATACGGCTGTACCGACACCATTGTAAAACTGATGTTCCGCTCAGAGCCGAAAAATGCACTGTGTTAGACATGGGCGGAGCCTCTCTGGTGGTTGACTAATCAGAACAGAGTGGCCGAGCTGACCAATCGGAGCACACTGGGCTCACAGGGAGGGGGGGGGGGGGGGGGGCAAGAGCTCCAACAAGCCGTTTAGGACAGAGAGTGAATACCTGGTGAATACACATACTTTACAGAGATGCTGTATGAGAAACCAACGTGAGTTTGGAAAATTGCACAATATAAATATATTTTAGTATACCTCAACAATGGAATTATGATCAGTAGCAATGGCCATGACATGGGCCCTTTAATCTAACTGGGTTTTGATAGATAACATATCTCTTTTTCTTCTCTCAATTATTTTATTTCTATTGTGCACTCTAATCAATATTAATCAAACTATTGTTCGTTTATACATTTTAAAAATGGCGTTTATCTTTTTTTGAGAATGAGTTCTTAAATTATTTTATTTATTTGGGTCTACAACAGATGATACAAATGTTTATAGAGAGGCGAAGTCCCGCCCATCTACTTCCGACCCATGGGACCTTATTTCGGAAAAATTATGTATTGAAGTCAATGGGGAGAGAAAGATTATCTTTCGATACCGTTTGAATTGTGCCACGAATTACACATATGTTTGTCAATCTTAAAAAATAATTTCCATGTCAAAAAAGTCACAGTTTGTCGTAAAACTGTTGAAATATAAGACTATGAAAAATGTGCAACTAGAAAGACTACAAATCCCAGAGTCGCGTAAGTGATGTCATAATTGTTTTCCTCCACTAAATATAAGAGATAGCTAAGATAAGATAACTTTAACAAGATGCCTGTGTGCTTAGTACCAGGTTTTTATCATACCAGCAATGGGTCTTGCTCGTTCTTTCGCTTCCCGTCTGATGAAAGGACCAGGAGTGGCTGGATCAAGTTAGCTACCTAGCTAGTAGCAAGCACGTTAGTTAGCATTACAGCCGGCTTAGCCTTGTCATTTTTATTAGCCTTAAGTTAACATGAAGTAACATTAAGTAACCCAAAATGTTAAACAGTAAGAGTAGTAGTCATATTTCGTGAACCCTTTGAAGAGTACTGTCACACCGGTTTGATCATTCTATAATACACCGTTTAAGCCCAGATGCCCCCGGTGGAGAAATGCTAACGCTAACGCTACATTAGCATCGGCGATCTTTTCTACTTCATGCTATCTGCACAAATGGTTGACATTGAACATTAAAAAGACCAGGCCGTTCAGAGAGAATCAAAGGAAGGCAGGCAGGCAGCTTTGCATGACATTCTTCTGGACGTGTTTCATTGTGGTGATAGTGAGGGTAGTCAATCCCTTTTTTGGCAAGACAGTAGTGACGGCCATCTTGGTGACGTGTGTTGTTGTGCGAGACCAGAGATGTAGTTCATTGAGCGTTTCACACAAAAAAAAGTCTTACTCCAAAGTTTTACGACACATTTTTATTTTTTTGACTTACAAAATTATCTTTTAAATTGACAAACATCATATGTGTAATTCGTGGCACAATTCAAACGGGATCGAAAGATAATCTTTCTCTCGCCATTGACTTCAATACATAATTTTTCCGAAATAAGGTCCCATGGAGGTCCACCGGAAGGGGAGAGACTTCGCCTCTCTATGTCAGTAAATGTGTACTAACAGAGGCGGGGGTGTTTGTGAAAATAACGGGGACAGAGCTGGCTGCTGTCAGACGATCAGCTGTGCGGCGTCCTCACAAACGGACGTCGCTTCACGTGACGCTCCGGAGGAAAGGACGTCCCATTGCTCTTAAAACTCATTTCCCTGCTTCTTCTCCCTTCTCGTGGTTTCCTTGCGTCTCTCTATGCTTCCCTGGTGGGAGGGACTCGCAGCGTCCACACGGCGGCGTGCGTTGAAGCTTGCCAGTGGGCGTGTCTGAAACTCGACCAACAACCAATCACATGAATCTCCGGACACACAAGCACGCGGTTTGATTGGCTAGAGCTTGTACTGGCATATGATTTGATTGACTGACGCTTCGTCGAAGCTTCAAAAGTTGAACATTGCTCAAAGCAAAGCGAGCAACGCGAGCAAAGCGAAGTGACGCGACCACAATGCAGTTCGGCAAAGCGTGACATCACCCCATTCAAAGTGAATGGGCAGAAGCGTTGAAGCTTCAACGCACGCCGCCGTGTGGACGGGCCGTAAGACGCAAGGAAAAGACGCAAGTGAGGGACTCAAGGATTGCATTTAAGAGAAGTGAGAAGCAGCCAGAGAATCAGCACTTTTGAAACAGGGCTGAAACAGAGGGGATTATGGGATGCTGCAATGATCTGTTTGGTATTTGGAGCCAAACATTTCAGAGACATGTTCTATATATAACTTAGAACTATAATATATTGATGAAAAAGAGTATAATAGGGGGGCTTTAATGTTAGTTATCACCTGGGGAAGTTTTATGGTGATATCTGTTAGTTACGTTTTTTACCTTATACACCTGTAGTATCTCACCTTAAAGTAACAAAGTACTTGAGTAAATGTACTTTGCCCCTCCCCCCCGCTCCTCCTCTGACAGGCAGCTCCTCCCAGCTGATCCTCCTCTCAGAGCTCCTGGAAACCTGTCCTCATTTCACACTGGCAGCACATACACACACACACACACACACATCACACACACACACACACACACACACACACACACACACACACACACACACACGCACACACACAGGGGGACATGTTGGCCCTCATGGCCGCCGGCTGCGTCTTCTTCCCCGGAGTCTTCCTGCTGTCCAAACATGCTCTGAAGCACATGATGGGATGGAGCCGGGGGGAGGCTGACATCGTGTCTGCACGGTGAGAACACACACACACACACACAGACACACACACACACACACACACACACACACACACACACACACACACACACACACACACACACACACACACACACAAACCTGCTGGAACACAAGAAAGTACAAAGCTACACACATGTTGCAGGTGGACAAATACAGAGTAACACACAAACACATAACTGCAGATATACACTAACCCATGAACACACACACACACACACACACACACACACACACACACACACACACACACACACACACACACACACACACACACACACACACACACACACACACACACACACACACACACACACACACACACACACACACAGGCTTACATCAAATCCTAGAGTCCATTTAATTTGCAGACTTTCCCTTCATTATGTTATTCTTTAATCAGCCATTTTTAAACTTCACATGCATGATACATCTTGTTCTTCCCAAACTCACCTCTCTCTCTCTCTCTCTCTCTCTCTCTCTCTCTCTCTCTCTCTCTCTCTCTCTCTCTCTCTCTCTCTCTCTATATATATATATATATATATATATATATAAATTAACCAATATAAAGTATGCTTATTTTCAGGTTCCTATTGTATGTAGTGTCTCTACTGGGACATGCTTTAATGTTCAAACCAGAGCCCAGTCTGCTCTGATTGGTTAGCTGGCCGGCTCTGTTGTGATTGGTCAACTGCTTAGAGATGTCCCGCCCCTTCACGTACAATGTGATGGAGCTATAGCCAATATAAACGCATGTGTTCCATAGTGATGTCACTATGTTACAGAAGTAAACAAAGGAGTCAAATGGAGGCATTTCAGGCAGTATTGGAGAAACTCCCTCTGGAGGGAACACAGGGATTTTAGCCTTTGTAGACCATTTACATGCACAGAAACCTAACACACTACAGGAGAGGGAAAACCCCCCAAAAAGCAGAATAGGACCCCTTTAAAAATGTTTTTATATATTTCAAATGCGAATTATTTATGTTCATGTCATAGAGAAAATATAATATATAACTGATCTTTTTTTCCGTGTTTTCAGTCTGGTGTCGTCGATCCAGGCCATCATGGCTTCAGCAGCTGGATTTATCATCACCTCCTCCTGCAGGGACGTCATGGAGGACAGGTAAGGACTTCATATTGTGGGACATGATTCACCATCATTGTTAAGGAGGAGGATTCCTTCACTGTTCATGGTTAGGGATCTTTTTACCGGGTCAGAATTATGCAGAGAGGTCTCCCCTCCGCTCTCATTTAAAGAGTTAAAAACAGTGAATATAGTTTACAGATCAGACTTTCTCTCTGTTCCTCTAACACTGACCTTAGCTCAACTCTTTGATGATTAAAATCCTTCATATTGTTAAAAATATAGAGTAAAATGCCACCAAGATCTAAAGAGTGTATAGTAAAAATGTGTCTTATATTAGAGCTCCTGGCTGACAACGATTACACATGTTAAAAGGGGATCTAATGCCATTAATTAATGAGAAACATATATGCGGTTCCTTTATAAAAAAGATCACTTTTTTATTAACCAAGTTTTCCATTCATAAATGTGTGAGTTTAATCTAAAAGAATCTGAGAATTTTTATATTATTGTTTTGATTTTTATTTGTAAAATCCTATCTTTAAACTTTGTTTATTCCGATTATTTCTTATCCAGGAATTACCCCCCTCCCAATGCTCTGTACATTTTAAAAATATTTGACGATATTTACGATGGCCATAAACACATATTAAATGCATTATTAACTTTATTTAAATGACACATTTCTCTAACTAACTAACTAACTAACTAATTAACTAACTAACTAACTAACTAACTAACTAACTAACTAACTAACTAACTAACTAACTAACTAACTAACTAACTAACTAACTAACTAATTCAACTTGATATATAACATGGGATAATTTTCAAGATAACACAAGGGGTTTTGAGAATTGATGAACATAAGAAATTAAATTGAATATTGCCAGCATTATATTCGCAATTGTCGGCAATGTAAAAATAGGAACATGGTTGCCAGTATTAAAATAAACAAATCTCACACTACTGGTGTACAAACCAAACCTCAGTATGTGTGTAATCTAATTAACAACATGAGCTATTTCAGTCAGTAAGAAGCTGTCAGAGCTCAGTAATCCTGCACGCTGAGGATGATAGGAAACGCTGTGAGGACGGAGAGTTCATCCGAGGTTTCCTCTGCTGCTCCTTCATTTCCCTGTCAAAGTGAACATTTGGTTAACAAATCACAGCGCAGACGCACAGAGAACAAATAACATTGTGACATACAAACACAACCTTAACAAACAATGCTCTCGGCTTTGTTTACACTTTTATCTTCAAGAACATTTCCTTCAAAGAAACTGACCTGCAGCTACTTGTTAGTTATCTTATTTTCAAAGGGCCCTATTATGCTTTTTAGGGTTTCCCTCTCCTGTAGTGTGTTATAGGTTTTTGTGCATGTAAATGGTCTGCAGAGGCTAAAACCCCATGGGAGTCTCTCCCACACTCCCCCCCCCCCCCCTCCCCCCCTCCTTTGTTTACTTCCGTCACATAATGACATCACCATGTAACACTTGCGCTTCTATTGGCTAGCGCTCAAACACATAGTACACGATAGGCTAAGGGGCGGGACGTCTCTAAGCAGTTGACCAATCACAACAGAGCTGGCCAGCTAACCAATCAGAGCAGACTGGGCTCTGGTTTCAGACAGAGGGTGAAAAGAGGTGCTGCAGCACAGGCAGTATGAGAAAAATAAAGAGATTTTTTGAACATTAAAGCATGGAGACATGTCCCAGTAGAGACACTACATACAAATATGACCCTGAAAATGAGCAAAAATAATTAAACAAAGTAAAAAAGTAAACCTTCAGTTAACCCACCGATATCATTCAAATGTACTACCCTAATTGGCCATTCACAACAAAGATGTCTAGAGTGATACCGGAGGGTTAATGTGTTAATTTGAAAAAAAACACATTCTATGGAAGCTAAATATTGTTTAATAGACACACAGCATCAAGTTTTTCCTATTTAAATTTGATTTTACTTTTGGGGTTTTTAAGCCTTTGTCAATTATTTAATCATTTTTTGTCCTTTTTGATTTTGTTTTTGTAGAACACAAAACATTTATTTCTCACTCAATTTATTTTGAATGAAATTTCAATAAAAAAAAACACGTGAGCCAACAAATTAGAGGATTTGCTATGAAAAGAACCCACACATTTTACACATTACACATGTATTTTCTTATCACAATATAGTGATAAAACAAAATGTTATTTGAGTAAAAAGGTGAATATGAATTTACATCAGCAGACGATCATAGTGAAGGGGAATATTTCTACAATCAAAGTGCATCAAATGTTGATTGATAATCTACTTTCTGTTTCTGACCTTTGCTCATCATTTCCTGTTTGCTTCTCAGCCATTGGCTGACGGACAACTACATCCTGTTTGCTACGCCGTACTTTGCCTACGACATCTACGCCATGTTCCTGTGCTACCGTCACAGGCTGCAGGTCAAAGGTCACGAGGAGGAGGGGGAGGGGGGGATTCGGTGGGCGTCTGTGGGGGGGTACCTGCGCAGAGAGAAGCTGATGGTGCTGCATCACATCTTCATGGTGACCTGCTGCTTCCCCGCTTCACAGGTTACTATTATTTGTTGTTATTGCACGGCCAGGTTGAACACTGATTCAGCTTGACTGCTGATTGGTTAATTTGGACATTGTATGTTCTGTTATTCTGTATAACAGTCCCAAAGTCCAGTTAATTCAATAACTTCTGCTGTGTCCCAAAAACACGTTTATTTCCTCTAGCTCCATCAGAAAACACTATAGCAATCTTCTTAAATATTTATTTTATATTTGTGGATAGCACAACAAATTGGATTCATCATGGCTAAACAGTAGCGAGGGGTTACGTAGCCCTTGTTATATAAGCACAGGCGGAGCCCTCTACTGGACTCTATGGGTACTACCCCTTGATCATATCATGCAAGCATTCATCCACTGAGACTGTCAGCATAGCAGCATAGGACAGACAGTGCCCCGAGTAGAGGGCTCCGCCTGTGCTTATATAACAAGGGTTACCATACGTAACCCCTCGTTATATCTCTCACAGGCTCCGCCCTCTACTGGACTCTATGGGTACAGTGGGCGGAGCCCCGATGTATACACGCGCTGTCGTCCAACAACATCGTTCCACTCCACTGCCCCTGACCGGCTTTCTGGTTAGCAGCCGCACCCTCCTCTACCTCGGTTGTGACCGTGGAGAAGACTGGTCCGCGGCTGACAGAGCACACTCTGACACGCTTACCTCGCGAAAAGTGTGCTCGGAAAACAGTGCTGAGGGCTCCCCCCGTCCACCCATAGGCGGACGGAGAGAGTCCTCAGCCCCGTATGGGCTCACTGTGCACCACCTCTCCCGAGTCCCTAAGGAGCACGGGGAGAGCGCAAGTGCCCCATGTCCCCCACACTCAGACACTGACCCCGTGCAGAGTGTGTATGGACTATAATGTGGAGGGCTCTCCCCTCCTGCCTTAAAGCAGGGGGAAAGAGTCCTCCAGCCCCATATGGGCCCAGTGCGTGCCACGTCCCCCGGGACCGGGGCCCGGGAAAAACGTAAGCGCATTACGTCCGGGGAGGGGGTCAGATGCCCACTGACCCACAGCCCCCCTCCCTCCTCACCAGCCCTGTGTTGCCCCAGCAAGCACAGACGATGAAAAGGAGCCAGACATGTCCAAGAGATAAAACTTTATGAAGGGGCCTGGCGTTGACCAAGACGCCGCCGTGCATATGTCCTCCACACTCACGCCGTTAAATAAGGCTGTTGACACAGCCACAGCCCGTGCAGAGTGTGCACGGACCACCGTGGGGAAGGCTCTCCCCGCCTGTCCGTAGGCATGTGAGATGCACTCGCAGAGTGCTCTCGCTCTGGTCACCCCGGATCAACAAGCAACTTGGGTGCACCGACAGAGCGGTTAACTCGGACACTCTCTTGGCTGACGTTAAGGCAAGTAACAATGCTGTCTTCCACGACAGTGCTTTCAGGGAGGAGAGCTCCAGAGGCTCAAATGGTTCTGTGACCAAAGCCAGCGGCAGGTCCCACTGCAGGGCGGAGGCGTGCACTACTGGGCGCAGCCTCCTGACCCCCTGTAAAAACGCGACATCAGTGGCTGACTAAAGGCTGACCTGCCGCCAAATCCCTCATGGCAGGACGAGATGGCTGCTGCATACACTTTAATGTGGAATGAGCAAGCCCTCTGTCCACCAGTAACTGTAAGTAGGATAAAATAGAGCTCAACTCACAAGATAGGGGCTCTATTCTCCGCTCCTCACCATCCCTGGAATCCCAGCCACTTTGGCCTGTAACAGGCTGTGGTGGATCCCTCTCTAGCTGCCTGAATAGACTGAATAACGCTGTCAGACAATCCACCCTGTCTCAGCCTGTCCCTCTCAGGAGCCAAGCCTGAAGAGGACGGCCCAGAGTGGGTAACGCCCCGATTGCACCTGCTTCCTGAGACATCGCCCCCCAGAACTGGGGAACCGCCCAGGGCTGGCCCACCTACATCTGTGTCATCTCTGAGTACCACGGCGCCCCGACGCGGTCCGGAGCCACTAGGATGACTGACAGACGTTCTCGCCTCACTCTCCCCAGGAGAGGGAGAATGAGACGCAGCGGTGGAAAGGCGTATAGCAGCTTTCTTGGCCATGGCTCGTGTGCAAACGCGTCTACCCCCAAGGGCGGGTCGTCTCTCAGGGCCATGGAGAACCACAGGGCACAGTGGCTGTTGCGCCGGCTGGAGAACAGGTCCACCTCTGCTCTCCCGAACTGGGCCCAGATCTGCTTCACCACCTCTGGGTGAAGCGCCCACTCGCCTGGCAGGGGGCCGCCCCTCGACATGAGGTCGGCCCCCCTGTTCTCCAGTCCCGGGATGTGGAGGGCTCTCAGAGATAACACCACCTCTGAAGCCCATAACCACAGTTTCTCCGCTGTGGTCAACAAAGCGGCGAAGCGGACTCCGCCCTGCCTGTTGATATATGCCACTGTGGTGCTGTTGTCGCTCCTGACCAGTACATGTCTCCCTTGAATTAAGGGTTTGAAATGCTGGAGGACCAACCGGTAGCTCTAGGAGGTTGCTGTGCTGTGTTTCTGTTAGAGACCAGCGCCCACCTATAGCTCTCTTCAGGCAGGTCCCTCCCCATCCTGTTCTGGATGCGTCCGTGAACACTGTGATGTAGGAGGTCACCCGTCCCAGTGGAGACCCCCTCCGGAGGTGATCCGGGGACCCCCAGAACCGGAGGTTGCCCTCCACTGAGGGGGGGATGGTCACCAGACGTCGTTTGTGCCTCTTGGGATCTAAACGCAGGCTGGAGAACCACCTCTGCAGGCGGCGCATATGCAGTAACCCGAGCGGGACCACAACGTGAGCAGCCGCCATGAGACCCAGAGTCTGCATGATAGTCAAAGCTGTCACTGTCGCCCCCTGTCGCAGCCTATGAACCGCCTGAAGCAGGGACGCGCGTCTGCTCTCTGACAGGGTGGCGCGCAGCCCGCCTGCATCGAGCACCACTCCCAAATACAACGCCTGTTGGTGAGGTATGGGGGTGCTCTTTTTCCAATTGATCGCAAAGCCCAACTTGGTTAGTTATAGGATCAATTGGGCTGTGCAAAACATTGCCCATTCCCTGGACCTGGCCATGACTATGAGGTCGTCCAGATAAAAGAAAACTCTCATGCCATGGGCACGCAGCGGCTGGAGCGCTGTGGCCACACATTTGCTGAACGTGCGTGGGGATAGGGAGTAGCCGAACGGTAGTCTGTTGTACTCGTAGGCTACCCCCTGGAAGGCAAAACGCAAATACTTTCTGTGTTTTGGAGCAATTTCGACATGAAAGTAAGCGTCCTTCAGGTCGATGGTTGTGAACCAATCGCCTGGCTGCACCAGTCCCAGCAACTGTTATATAGTTAACATCTGGATTTTTTTGCGTGCAATGTGCCGGTTCAGGCTGCGAAGATCCAGAATGGGCCTGAATTCTCCTGTCTTCTTGGGAACCAGGAAGTACAGGGAATAGTGCCCTTCCTCTCTGTCTTGAGCTCGCACAGCAGACACTGCCTGTTTTTGCACCAGGGCCTGAACCTCTGCTGAGAGGAAACCTATGTCCCCTCGGGACGATAGATTTGCCTCTCTTATGCCTGTGAACGGAGGAGGGATGCTGCAAAACTGGAGTGAATAACCCAGTCTCAGCGTCCTGTCCATCCACTCCGTTATACAGTTGCGTTTCCATTCCCCATAACACTGCGTTAGGGGATGTGCAATCAGCTGCGGGGCCCCCGCTATAAAGCTGTGGTACTCCCTGGCGACCCGCTCCGCCGCAAAACTCCCCGTGAAGGGAAGTTCCGCCCATGGGGGGTCGACACTGAAAGGGCCGTTTTAATAATAATAATAATAATAATAAATTCGATTTATAAAGCACCTTTCATTGCTAACAGCAATCCCAAGGTGCTACAGGAGGCATAATAAAAACAAACAAAATAAGCAAAAGTTGAATCAACATTTTTTTTTTAAAGAAAGGTTTTTAAGCCTTTCTTGAAGGCGTCAGTGGTCTGTGGAGTCTTCAGGTGGTCTGTGGAGTCCTCAGGTGGTCTGTGGAGTCTTCAGGTGGTCTGTGGAGTCCTCAGGTGGTCTGTGGAGTCCTCAGGTGGTCTGTGGAGTCTTCAGGTGGTCTGTGGAGTCTTCAGGTGGTCTGTGGATCTTCAGGTGGTCTGTGGAGTCCTCAGGTGGTCTGTGGAGTCCTCAGGTGGTCTGTGGAGTCTTCAGGTGGTCTGTGGAGTCTTCAGGTGGTCTGTGGAGTCTTCAGGTGGTCTGTGGAGTCCTCAGGTGGTCTGTGGAGTCCTCAGGTGGTCTGTGGAGTCCTCAGGTGGTCTGTGGAGTCTTCAGGTGGTCTGTGGGGTCTTCAGGTGGTCTGTGGAGTCTTCAGGTGGTCTGTGGAGTCCTCAGGTGGTCTGTGGAGTCTTCAGGTGGTCTGTGGAGTCCTCAGGTGGTCTGGGAGGGAATTCCACAGGCGAGGAGCAGCTGCACAGAAAGCCCGATCCCCCATTGTGCGTAGTTTGATCCTCTGGGGGCGAAGCCGATGGTTAGTTGTGGAACGGAGGTTGCGTGTGGAGGTTTGAGATGTGAGAACTTCCTTCCGGTATGGAGGAGCGTTCCTGTGGATGCATTGATGGGTCAGTAGTGCGATCTTGTATTCGATCCTGAATGAGACAGGAAGCCAGTGGAGGGAATGAAGAATGGGTGTGATGTGGTTGTATTTTCTCACCCTCATCAGGATCCTAGCGGCACTGTTCTGTACATATTGGAGCTTCTGAAGGCTCCCGCTAGGAGTCCCGATGAGGAGAGCGTTGCAGTAATCGAGCCTTGAGGAGACGAAGGCATGGACCAGTTGTTCTGCATCTGACAGGGAGAGTGTGGGACGGAGTTTTGCATTGTTCCTGAGGTGGTAGAAGGAGGTTTTGCACAGGTGTTTGATGTGGGTGTCAAAGGTCAGATGTCTGTCAATATATCTATCTATCTTACACCCAGGTTGATAACTGCTGTGGAGAGGGGTATGTTTTGGCCAGAAAAGGTCATGTGGGTTATGGGGGATGACTGGACCTGGTTTGGTGTGCCAACTAAAATAGCTTCTGTTTTGGAGCTATTAAGTTGCAGGAAGTTTTCTCGCATCCAAGCCTTTATCTCCTCAATGCAGGTGTTAAGGGATGTTGATGGGAACGGTGACGATGATGGTGACAGTGAGGATGCATGTGGGATAGGGTCTGTCTTTATATATAGCTGCGTGTCATCAGCGTAGCAATGGAATGATATTCCATGCTTGCTGATGACACGGCCAAGGGGCAGAGTGTACAGGGTGAACAGAGTGGGCCCAAGGACCGACCCTTGAGGGACACCACAGGTGACAGGGTGTGTCTGGGACCTCACACCTCCCAAGGAGACGTACTCTGTTCTTCCAGACAGGTAGGACTGGAACCAGCTCAGGGCGGAGTCAGAGAGTCCGATGGTGTGTTTGAGGCGCTGAAGGAGGATGTTATGGTCGACAGTGTCGAATGCTGCAGTCAGATCCAGGAGGATGAGGAGAGATGGGGATCCAGTATCAGCCGCCATCAACAGGTCGTTTGTGACCCTGACCAGAGCTGTTTCAGTGCTGTGGGCGGAACGGAAACCGGACTGGAATTTTTCAAAGAGGCCGTTTAGTTGGAGATGGTCCTGAAGCTGGGCGGCAACTACTTTTTCCAGCACCTTGGCTAGAAATGGGAGGTTGGAGATGGGCCTGTAGTTGGCGAGGATATCTGGGTCTAGGGTGGGTTTTTTGAGAAGGGGTCTGATGACGGCAGTTTTAAGAGCCGATGGAACATGACCAGCCTTGAGGGAGCTGTTGATGACGTAGGTGATCATGGGACTTATAGCCGAGATGTTCGATTTGACAAGGGCTGTGGGTAGAGGGTCTAGTGTGCAGGAGGAGGGTTTCATCTTGCAGGTGATGTCCTCAACCTCTTGCTGACAGATCTCCGTGAAGCAGCAGAGCGGTTGGAAAATCCCATGCTGTGGGTTAACAGTAGGGACAGACACAGCGCAAGGGGTGGAGAGAAGAGAGCGAATAGTGGCAACTTTTGTCCTGAAGAAAGTAACAAAGTTATTGCACTGCTCTTCTGTAGTGTCGATGTGTGAGGGAGTTTGTGTGGTTGCCTCCACCGCAACCAGTGCGGTGGGCTTTCTCCAGGTAATTATAGCCAGGAGGACAGGTTTCATTTAGGACTGAAAAGGCCTCTGGCTGATGCCAGGTCTCAGTAAGACACATTAAGTCAATCCCCCTATCTAGGATGTGATCATGTATGAGACATGATTTATTAGTGAGGGATTGTGTGTTAACTAGTTCTATTTTGAGGCTTGATGAGACGGTGCTATGTAGAGGAAGAAGTAGGCTGAAATCCACTCCACGTTTTCTGTCCCGCTTGGTGTGTAGAAGTCTCGCGGTGTTTCCAGAGCTACTACTAGTTCCATGAGCGGCGGTATTATGATGATGTGGAAATAGTGCGACAGTGCGCTCAGCTGACCAGAGTGATGGAATGGAGTCTCCAGACTGGGAATAAACAAACTTTCTATGGGAGCTTCTGTGGATATAGCGGCTTCGGCGTAGAACTCCAAGTTGTTTAAGTGCTGAGATACAGGTTGGAGTGCTGCTATGTCTTAACTCGAGCAGCTGCGTGATGGAGTACTTTAGCGTCATGCTGGTCCGGACAGATGCAGAGTTTTCTACTACGGCCCTTGAATGCACCGCGGCGCGCTCTGCCATGACACATTCACCCAGACGGTGAAATGCACCCAGTGGAGTTTTTACACTAGGCGTTGTGTGTCTCCTAACCCAAACACGCCAGCCATAATGTCCCTGTACCCGCATAGCGCGGTTTATCACTCTCACCTGCGCATGCCCACTAGCTGTTTCCTTTACTGGAGTTACAACTGGGGCAGCGAGTGGGGAATCTGTACAGTTAACAATAGCCGCGTTCACACCGGAGTACTTTTCCCCGTACTTTTCGCGTTTAGTTCCGTTAGTACCCCTTATGTCGCGTTCACACCAAAAAGATTACTTAGTCCCGGGAACTTTTACCCCCATTTGTAGTGCCTGCTGAGAGATGGTACTTTCCAGGGGGAAAAAAGTGCCCCAGTTCTGGTTGGCTGGGCGAATTGCAAACCAAGCCCCGTAAAACTCTGAAATGTTTTGTAGAGCCGCCATTTTATTATCCTCGCATTAGCATTATTAGCATTAGCATTCGCCCAGCGCACAAACGCAGAGAGACTAACTTATGGCAACAACACAAAATAAAACATGGGAGATGAGGAGGTGTCGGCGTTCTGGCGTTTTACTCGGAAGGCTTCAGTAGAAGCTGCTGGGAGTCCCAGCAGCTTCTACTGAAGCCAGTCCCCAACTCCGGGGACTTCCGGCCGGGGACTCCGGGTGGCAGTATACACCGTGAAGTGGTTTGTGGCCTGCCAGTAAAGCCAAAGCAGAAGAAGACGAAGTGACGTCAGCGGCTCATTTGCGTAATCTTCCCTCAGGGAACTTATTCCGGTGTGAACGCGATCTGTACTAAGTGCCCTGGGGTAATAAGTGCCGGGGCACTAAGTGCCGGCACTAAGTACGGCAAAGTACTTGGTGTGAACGCGGCTATTGTGTGGAAGTGTGGATTTGTGGAGAGAAATTACACTCAAACTGGGATACATGCAATCATTTTTATTTGGAAAAGATGAGCGTGTCGCCACAGATGGATCATATAGGGAAGAGACAGGATTTGCCCTCGCGTCTTGGGTGGAGAAGGTGACCCTCTCCGCCGGGACGCTTCCTCCCGCCGCCAGTCAGCTTCTGGAGGACGGTGCACCCCACCCAGAAGCCCTTCACTGAGACGGAGCCGGGGCAGGAGCCGGGGCGGGAGCCGGGGCGGGAGCCCGTCGGGTTCGGCCAGCCTGTCCCCGCGAGTGCCGGTACTGAGCCGGTTCTCCGGGATGAACCGCGGAGGCAGAGGGAGCAACGGGAGCCACGGGGGCTCTGTACCGGCGCCTCTCTCTCCGCCTTACCACCACCGGGTGCTCTCTCCCCTGAGGAGCCTGAGGACGAGCCAGCGGCAGCATGCGGCTGAGCTGCGCCCTCTCTTCCTCCAAGCGACTGAAACGCTGGGTGACCGAGGTGATCGACCCGAAGAGCCCTTCCGTGGATACGGGGGCCCCAAGGAGATCATCCCGGTCCTTTTTTGACAGTGCGGTCAAACCTAGCCACACGTGACGCGACGCCACGGTGGCCAGGGACATCACGTGTCCGGCTGCGGTAGCCATACCGTGGACCAGATTATTCATCTGGCCCACGCAGCGGTCCGAGTAATCGCTCCCGTCCGGAGGCGGGGAGGCGGGGATGTCCTGCTGAGGGGTGATCAGCGAGACCCCCAACACGCCGAGATTACTGGCCGCTGCTGCCATCTGCGCTCCGAGCCTGAACATCTTATCCAGATATTCCAGGATTTCACGGTCACGCGGCAGCGGGGGCAGAGGCTTTCTCCCCTCTGACCACCCGGCTGCCTGCGGAAGCAGATGGGCCGCCAGGCTCTCATCCAGGGGGGGCACACCGGGACAGCGGCCCTGCACCCTGAGGATTCCAGCCCATGTTGCCACTGGAGCCTTCGTTTTAAGTGGCTGTCGCCACGTCGCCTCCACACACCGCCAGATGTCTGGCAAGGGGGGCGAAGCGAAGGCCGGCTGTGCCGGACGAGCCGGGCCGTAGAAGCCCTGACGGAGGCGGCTCACCGGCCTTGTTGGCAGCGGTGGGGGGAGCGGTAAGCCTACTCGCTCCGCCGCCATAGTCATCACGGCCGGGAAGTCCTGCCGCGCAGACCTGTGCTGCGGATCCTCCTGGAGGCTGCCGGAAGCATCGGACAACGAGGTGTCGTCGTCGTCGTCGTCGTCCCTCTCCCCGGCGAACGGGGCCGCCTGGTCCGCTGGCATGGTGAACACGAAGGGCACTTCGTCATCGTGCTCCTCCATCTCCACCACCTCGAGGTCCGGGTCCTCCGCCTCTTCCGGCGAGACATATCGCTCCATATCGCTCCATATCGCGCGCATTCAGGTAGGCCCGCCCCGGGGCCGGCTACGTCTATAGAAGTCTCAGTGGATGAATGCTTGCATGATATGATCAAGGGGTAGTACCCATAGAGTCCAGTAGAGGGCGGAGCCTGTGAGAGATATAACATAAAGAAAAGCAAAAAGGGAGAACAAAACCAAGAAAACAGTGTACGACAGGAAAAGAGGTTAAAGACTTACACAAACATAAGAACATAATACAGACTTAGTAGAGTAATATCACTCAAAGTAAGTATGTGTGTGTGTGTGTGTGTGTGTCAGATGTGGCGTCAGGGGAAAGGAGATTTCTTCCAGGGTGTTTTATTTCTGGCTGAGCTCAGCACCCCGTTCGTCTGTCTTGGGAAAGTACTCATCCAGGTATACCAACCCTATACATAAATAAAGATGTATATCTGTTAAAATATAATTATATGTTTTAAATGTCAAGATGATTTGGTAATAAATGAATGATTTCAAGATACATTGGCTTATTATATATCACATTTAATATTAGAAAATCAAGACCTTAAAAAATACTTTTGCAATATTGTCCTGTCTGAGCCTCCGTACTTCCTCCCCTGTGGTCAGTACCAGCAGCAGCACACTGTGCTGCACAAAGTGAACGGAGTCCTGATGCTGCTCGCCTTCTTCTGCTGCCGGGTCCTACTCTTCCCTTACCTGTACTACGCCTACAGCAGGTAAAGTAACTCATTACTTCTAGTACTTCATTTTTCACTACTGCAATACATTTCAGAGGTAACTATTGTTTTATTTCACTACATTTAATTTATTTAACTTCAGCTTGAGTTACTTTTTATTATTGGTTATTATTTGCAAAATAGCCTACATTTTCAAATTACAAAAAAAGAACTGCGTTTGGATTTGAGGGAAACCATATGCCATGTTCTTTGTTTAATTTATATTGTGTAAAAAAAAATGTATTTTAAAATTATATTAACTAAATATATTATGTATAGAATAAGAAATATATATAAAAGAGCACATATACATTAAATATATTAAGCATAGAATTACAAATATATATAATAACATATTTAAAAAAAAAGGCCACATATACATACATGTGAAAAATCATACAGATATAATGTTTTAATTAAATATTGAATTGATCACACTGAATGTATGTTCTTTGCAGTGAAAGTTGTGTTATCATTTTATTTTTATTTTAGCATCAATCACTAAATGGAAATTCAACAGATTGCTCTAATATGTTTTTAATACTAAAAGAAACCTGCTTAAAACATTTTCTCCTATTTAATAACGGGAAAAACATTTATATATAATATATCAAAAATGAATGAATTTTATTTTTTGTAGCAGGGGATAGGGGATGATTTAAAATATTATTTTAGCTTAATTTAGACTTAATTACCTTTAGTATAGAAAGACAAATCACCTATGTGTTGAGGGTGTTTTTAGAACATTATTAGTTTTCAATCTAGTTACATGGAAAGATGTCCATAAAGACTTCTGAAAATATAATATGACGCAAAAAATATGCTTTCCTTATAAAAACAAATACTTTTTTGCTAACTTCCTGTCAGGAGACAAACTGTTTAAAGACACAGCGCCATCCAGTGGAAGCTTGCAGGTGGTTGTTTTTCTAGCTAAATCAGTGTTTTCCAATCCTATCTAATATTTTTGCCATAGTTTCCTCACATTTTTTGTTGGTACATTAATGCTTCTTTTAGTTTTATAAAAGTTTTTATAACTGTTTTTTAATTTTCTACTTGCTGTTATTTTTCCATTTTCTTTTAATTTCTCTTTTCGTGTTTATGTGCACCAATATACACCATTTTAGTTGCACAATAATGTATCTTGCACTGATTTATTGCACTGTTTTATTTCGTTTTTACGTCTTCAGTGTTGTATGTTCCACTGTTGGAATCCCTAGGAAGATGTTTTTTAGCCAAAAACTAAGCATTTGAATAATTGAGTTTGAATCAAAGCAAATTCCATGAATGTGAAAACAGACTTCCTTTCAAAAAACTTCCCTCGGGGCCCCATGACCCCTTGTGAAGCTGAACTGCGACTGTGGGTCATGTTATTACCACTGAATAGTAATGAGCATGATTGACTCTTTGTGTCTCAGGTATGCGTCCATCCCCGTGTACGTGGTGCCCCTGGTGGCCCCGTGGCAGTGCAACCTGGGGGCCGCCCTGCTGTGGCCCCTGCAGCTCTACTGGTTCACTCTGATCTGCAGAGGGGCTCTCCGCCTGTCCGCCGCCGGTGGATGCTCCAAATCAACGTGTAAAGCTGACAATGACTGCTGCCTGAGCTCCAGTAACGGCTGCAGGAAGAGAACATGAGGCAACACAACGGACTCTGCACATGTTCCGTTCACTTCAAAGGAAACCTCACATCCTCAACAAGGGTCATTTCTGTTATGCAACAACATATTTTTCCACATAACCTGCTTCCTCATTATTTTCTTGAACACTTCTGAGTTTAAGATGGTCTCTATTTTATATATACAGAATAAACCAATGCAATGTAATGAACATCAAAATAACTATTAACAGTAAAATACTCAAAATATTTCTTTATTATTATTTTAAAGGCCATTGTAATTTCTGTTTAATTGTACATTATATGTACAGTCAATGATTGTATATATGTATCGGAAACAGCAATATTGAGTCATAGGTAATTGGAAATAAATAAATAAAAAATTAAAAGGTAAATCAAAATGTTAACATGTGAACATAAATGAAAGAAAAAATGCTAGTAAGTTAGTACAACATGTTGAAATAAACAGAAACAAAACAACATAAATAAATAAATAGGAAGTGTTGAAATACAAACAGAAAATATTGAAATGTAAAACAAAATAAATAAAGAATAAATAAGTAAATCAAATATATGGAAATATATACAGAAATAGCTACAATAATGAATAGATATTATATATTTATTTACAAATTACAAAATATTAGTTTATTCTCTTACATATTTTTTCCCCTGTGTATTGTTTTTATTTATTCATCTTTATGTTGTTGACATGTATATATTTTAATCTCTTTATTTGTACTTTTCTCTGAGCTGGTGCGGGTTAAACCAGTATCCCTACTCTTATACAATTACTAAATATCTAATAGTAATATTCTAATGATATCATTTGGGCTATAATATTATGAGAATACTACATTGTTATAATTCAAATACTTGAACTACATTTGATTGAATATCTTACATACTTTAACAGCATATTTTGTGTGCCTATAGTAGCCTACAATATTATTGATTTGTAGTATACTAGTTTTACCTGTTTAGAGATATATGACTTTTAAAATATTTATAATAGGAGTAGTGTCGTACCCTTTGTTTTTAAAACTAAATCACTTTTTTTCATTATTATTTTTACAACTGGTGCTTGTTTTATTAATTATATGAGCTTATGTTTTTTTTCTTCTCCAAGCACATTTTGGCTGCATTTTGGTATGAAATATTCTATATAAATAAATATATAAATAAAGCTGAGTTTGTACTTTTTCTAAAATAGGCTGAAGGATATTTTTCCACTACAGTTTGTTTGCTTGTTTACTGAGATAGGGGTGGAAATCCGGGAGGAAGGTGTCAGTCTACGTCGCTGTTCTCCCACGGGGCTCATTTTCCCGTTTACCTTCACATGTGTCACTCGAAACGACTCGTCCGGTTAAATCCAGCGTTTTTTTAAATACTTTTTTTAAACTGCAGCTGTCAACGACCGAACACCGACCTAACGTACTACCGAACCATCGCGAGAGTCAGGGGCAGTGTGCGAGAAGAACGGGTCCAGGCAAGGCATAGCAATATTCATATTTAGCAACAACAACAACAACCTTTAACGAAGAATTATTATTATTTCGTTATGTGAGTAAAAGATGGATGAAATGTGTGCCACCACACGGATGAAAACACTGGACTCTGATGTACAGGTAGAGAAAACACACACAACGTTGTGCTGAAGCAATATTGATAGCTAAGCTAGCTGGTTTATTAATAGCTAAGCTAACAGGCTAACGGTTAGCTTAGCTCGCAAATACTCTTTCGTGATAGCTGCTTGTTGTTGGGATGATTCATTATGTGGCGACATGTTATACAAAATAAGACATATCATACGAATTATTATTAAATAAAGATGCTAATTATCAGCAGGTCCGTTAGTTAGCTGACGTTGGTTAGCTATTGTTAGCTAGCGAACGTTACACGTATTTAAAGAAAGCTGAATGAGCAACACTCACATTGCTAGTTCATGTTAGCTAGCTAACAAGTGCGAATGTGATATTTGAAGACATTCATTAATAATTATCAATCATTTATATGTTTGACAGTGGTGGAGGATGTGTTCAGTTAATATAATAAATGCACAAATGTAATCCTGTAAAAATACTATGTTACAGTAAAAAGTCCTGCCCTGAAAATGTTACTGCAGTTAAAGTATAGGCTATAATCAAGAAAATGTTGTTAAAGCATTTAAAGTATAAACATGTCCCAGATATGACCACTTTACTATTATACTTGATATCATTATATTTGTTTTACTCTTGCAATAATGTAAAAGCAAGGTTTAACTGTTGTAGTTGGTAAAGGTATAGCTCGTTTTCAAATACAAACTGAAGATTATGTGTATTATGGTTTATCTGCGTATTGTCAATGAGTCGTTTGCTTTGTAATAATAGTGGAAATAATAAGAAATGGCGTCCCAATTACCCAAAACCCAAATCGACATATTAACCATGTGTGCTTTGACCAAACCTCCATTTACTTTTATTACTAACATATGAGGTGGAAAAAGCAGCACATTTTCTCGTTTTTGAAATCATGTTTATACATAAAAAGAATGAATTAATATTTACATTATAATAATCGACTTTGATTGTGTTTACGAAAACCTTGATCTGAGGAGAATTTAAAGCTGTCAGATAAATGTAGTTTAAGTAAGTAATGTACATTCAAGATGAAAGAACTTGTTCCCAACACAAATCAGAGCTGATTTCTAAATCTTCCATCTGACTAACAAGGTAACTCTAATCACATCCTGTACGCTGGTTATTTAAATGTTACCTGGTTTAATTAAACGTTTTTGGGCTCCCCTCCTTTGCAGGTAATTCTCACGGCAAATGTGGAAAGCTCTGCAGATTATTTTTTCAAATCCAGGTTTAAACAGATTGTTATGTGCATTGGTCCGGATAGACTAATAGCCTTCATTCTGTTGTTGTTGTGGTGATAGCTCTCTTAATTTCTCGATCCGTAATTCTGCTGCAACCTCTGATGTAATATTCTTCACCTGTTAATTACCAGCCTTTGTAGTATTATTAAACTGATCTCACAGTTTGTTTCTGTGTTTTTACAGGATGTGGCCACGCTTCTCTGGATGTATGACAGAAGAAAGGGCAGGTCTAACTAATCCATCCTCCTCTTCCCATCCTCCTACTGGCTGTCTGAATCTGATATTTTCTTGCTGAAAGTATTACAATTATAAAAATAATGTAGCAGAAAGCTGAGCCTTGAAGATATTTGACCTCTTTTAACCCCATCTTGCGTGGGTCCGGTGCATTTCAAGTCTTCTTTTTAGATGGGGCTCCTGAGCACGACACTTAAGTTCACACTCATTTGTAAATTATTAGACCAATGTGCCGTGTTTGCCCCCAGTCAGTGACCCCAGCTGTGCAATCACTTCAGCTTTCTGTCGTATGTTTGAAGTGATTTGATTGACCATCAGGATGAACGGCTCTCTTTTAACCCCGCCCAGCCCGCGAGCGGCAAACTCCTCTCCTCTACCTCCTTCCCCCTCCCCGTCTCCATCCCCTCCATCTCCCTCCATGCTGCCTATGTCCCCCCGGCCGCCCCCTCTCCCCCCTCTGGTGAGCCCTCCACCACAAGCTCACCCATCTTCCCTGTCAGACACCCCCACCCCCTCCCCCTCTCCCTGCCTGAGTTGGACCGAATTCTGTGAGCTCCACGCCCGCGTTGCAGCCGGTGACTTTGCACGGCACTTTCGGGCTTTCCTCCTGGAGAACCCCCACTACTCTCCGGACTCGGCGTCCGCCTTCTGCCGACGCTTTACCGACCGCTTCGTCCGTCACTTCCAGAGTGAGCTGGAGGGGGCGCTCCCGCCGAGCTGTGCTTCTGGGGAGGACGACATGGCGAGCTGGGCTCCCCAGTCAGACGCTACTTCCCTGGAAGAGGAAGCAGTCTCCCCTCTGTCGGTGACTGGGGCTGCTGTCCTCCCGTGCCCCCCCACCAACACAATGCGGGCTTTATCCAAGCCAGCACCGGCACGACTGGTGTTAGAGAACCGCGGTGGTGACAGGTTCCAAGATTCCTACGCCCACACCCAAGTCCTGCCTCCATCCTCATCATCGTCATGCTGCTCCTCAGTGGGAGGCAACAACGGGAGGCGTGAGGAGCGGGGCGCCATGATGGCTCCGGGGAACGGGGAAGCTCCAGTGGAGGAAGAGGAGGACAGCTGGTTAGGGGTGGCATCTGTGGGGGAAGACGTGGAGCCAGAGGAGCAGGAGGCAGAGTTGGCGGAGGTGGATGGTGCAGACCCCTGCTACACTATTTCACCTTCCTCGTCCTCTCCCCCGCCCGGTAACAGTACGCCCAACTCCTCCAAAAACAAACTGAAGAAGCGCTTTTCTCTGCGGAGTGTGGGGCGTAGTGTGCGGGGGAGCGTGCGGGGCATCCTGCACTGGCGAAGCTCCTCCAGCGACTCCGCCCAGAGCCAGCTGCCCTCCAGCTACAGCTACACCATGGGCGTGCAGGATGCCACGCTGGTGTCAAGCTCAAAGAGGAACTCTGGCACACAGCCTCCTACACCCACCTCCTCCATGCCCGTTTCCCTCTCCATGCCCCTCTCCCTTCCCCACTCCTCCTCCTCCTCACTGCCGCCCTCTTCTTCAAGTAGCGCCACCTCTCTGTCTCTCTCTGAGGCGGCGAGGGATCGGCGGCGGAGCAACGGCGAGGGAGGCGAGAAGGAAAAGTGGAGCCATCGTCTTGAGAAGCTCAGACTGTCACGATCCCCTCCCCCTCTCCTCACTCCGACCAACGCCGGCCCTCACTCCGGCTCCTCTACGCTGCCACCCAGCAGCGCCGCCGCAGCCGGCATGGGACCCCCCAGGAAGGTGGGCCGGCTGGTGCGGGAGGGTGGGGTGAGTGTCAGTTCATCCAATGACGAGCTAAGCGGAAGCCACGGCTTCTCCGGCTTCTCGTTCGGGCTGCTGCACCACGGTACGGACAACAACAACGCTGCCTCGGGATCCTCCACTGCCGCTCAGGGGGGGGTGCAGCCGCTGGCCAGCGGGGGGAACGTCCCCTGGAGAGGAGGACGCTGGCATAAGTGTCGTCTGGTCCTCAAAGAGAGGGACCGGGAAGGGGGGGAGCGAGGAGAGGAGTACTACCTGGAATTCTTCATTCCACCTAAAGTAAGTGTGGGAAATTGAAACATGTTTAATTGAAATACTTTTAGCGTTACGAGGTCAGATCAACTTTATTGATCCCTGCCAAGCAAACTGAAGTATCACTGCAGCACAGGTACAAGAGCAGTTGTTTAGTTTAGTATTTAGAGTACATGATCTCCTTTTATATTTGAGTTATTGCTCATTAGTGTTTTATATTGTTTAGGTTACTTTTGCTTTTTATTTTTATTTTGTTTCTGCTGTAACACTGACATTTCCCGCGGGGATTAATTACCCTAGTACCCTACCTGCTTACCTATAAATATAGAAGCATTGTGAACATATACTATATACAAAATACATACAAAAAATGTTTAAATGCTATATACACAAACAATATATTAAAGGTGGGGTAGGTAAGTTTGAGAAACCGGCTCGAGATCGCTAGAATTTGAAAATACACAACCGGAGAAAATCTGCCACTTCCTTATAGAGCCCCTCCTCCAACACACACGAACGCGCACATGACCAATGAGGGCACGAGATAAGTTTGTGCACAGATGGAAGGCTGACAGGCAGGTAGGCCATCCAATCATTTTAGCCGGGCCGGCTAAAATGATTGGTCGTGCTTTTTACAGCACTACAGCTTCCACAGATGACATTTTTTTATGGATTTTTTGTCAAAGCACTTAAGATATTCATTGCTATCGGGATGTTAGATAGATAGATAGATAGATCGTACTTTATTGATCCCAAATTGGGAAATTGTTTTTGTTACAGCAGCATAAAAGGCATTTTACAATAAAACAAAATATACAAGAATAGAAATAAAATAAAATAAAATATAAAATAAAATGTTAAGAGCATTCCATGGAATATAACAAAAAGTGTATCTCGAGTCGGTTTCTCAAACTTACCTACCCCACCTTTAAGTAGTCACAGACAATAGGAGGAGCAAAGGATTTTGCAATATATATATATATATATATATATATATATATATATATATATATATATATATATATACAATGCCATTTTTCTTGTTTTATTGCATTAAAACATTTAATTTAATTTGATTTTTCGAGAATTTGTATTATTTGATGTCTACAACTTTGAAGATGCAACAAATATTTGTTTTGTGAAACAAACAAACAAGAAATAATAATGCAAAAGAAAAAACATGAGGGTGCATAACAATCACCCCCCCCGAAAGTCAATACTTTGTAGAGCTACCTTTTGCAGCAATAACAGCTGCAAGTCTCTTGGGGTATGTGTCTTTAAGCTTTGGCACATCTTTCCACTGAGATTTGCTTCCATTCTTCTTGGCAAAACTGCTCCAGCTCCTTTAGGTTAGACTGGTTCCGCTCGTGTACAGCCATCTTTAGGTCATACCACAGATTTTCCATTGGATTAAGGTCTGGGCTTTGACTAGGCCACTCCAAAACGTTTACATGCTTCCCCTTAAACCACTCTGGCGTTGCTTTAGCAGTATGCTTTGGGTCATTGTCCTGCTGGAAGGTGAACCTCTGCCCAAGCCTCAAATCTCTGGCAGACTGAAACACAGTTTCCTCAAGTATTTCCCTGTATTTAGCTCCATTCATCACTCCTTCTATTTTGACCAGCTTCCCCATCCCTGCCGATGAGAAACATCCCCACAACATGATGCTGCCACCACCTTGCTTCCCTGTGGGGATGGTGTTCTGAGGGTGATCACAGGTGTTGGGTTTGCGCCAGACATAGCGTTTACCTTGATGGCCAAAAAGTTCAATTGTAGTCTCATCCGACCACAGGACCTTCTTCCACATGTTTGGGGAGTCTTCCACATGCCTTTTGGAGAACTCCAAATGTGTTTTCTTATTTTCTGATCAATGCTCTCCTTGCACGGTGTGAGAGTTTTGGTGGGCGGCCCTCTCTTGGCAGGTTTTTTGTCGTTGAATATTTTTTCCATTTTAAAATAATGGATTTAATGGTGCTTCGTGGGATGTTCAAAGTTTGTGAGATTTTTTTATAACTCAACCCTGTCTCATACTTTTCCACAACGTTGTCCCTGACCTGTTTGGAGAGCTCTTTAGTCTTCATGGTGTCGTTTTCTTGCTTAGAAAGGCCACTTGCTGTGGTATGTTTTAAAACATGCTCTTTTTCTTTCACTTCACCAATTTTGACTGACTTTGTGTGGGGGTCTTGCCATAAAATCCCCCCAAAAATATTATATTATTTTTGCTTTTAATGCAAGAAAATAGGAAAAATGGCAAGGGGGGTGAATACTTTTGCAAGGCACTGTATACTCTCGCATGTTCATATTGCAAGCCAGAGACAAATAAATAATTCAATTAATTGTTCTACACTAGTTGATAAGTTCTTTAGAATGGGGTAGGGAAAATGTTGGTAATGCTCTTACTGCCGTGAGTTAGATGTGCAGATTGATTCCTCTCCCATGTTTGTACAGTCAATTTAAAAGCCCAGACAGCAGCCGGTTAGCTTAGCTTAGCATACAGACAGGAAACAGGAAGAAACAAGCCTGGCTCTATCCAAAGGTAATCCATCTAAGAGCACTTTTAAAGTTTGTCTAATCTAATACATTAAATAAAGTTCAAAAACAATAAGTCTAGGTTTGACAGGGTTGATTATTTCTTGCCTGGGAGCAGTGACTTCAGGAGTCTCCACTGGTCACAAAGACAATATTTATGTTACACTTTTGTAGTCAACTAAAATGTATTGATTTCAATGTTGCTGGTTTGTCCCCCCAGTCGTCGAAGCCCCGGCTGACCGTCCCCTGCTGCTCCATGGTGGATGTGAGGAGCACCACGGCGCTGGAGGTCCCCGACAAGGAGAACACCTTCCTGCTGCAGGTGACCAGTCTTTATTCAGCTTCACTTTGTGTTTTGAAATGCTTTGTATTGTAATTTCTTTGTGGTTTTTGCAAGCAGTTTTTCTTTACTATTCTTTGCTATGACTTGCTGATATTATTATATATGTTGTTTTACTATTTTATTTAAGTTACCTGAATCTCTGAAAGGTTTGCTGTGTAAAGGACAATTAAACAAATACACCACTGAGAAAAGAGTCAATTAAAGGTAAGTTAAAAAGATACCTTCTCAGGATTAAATTCAGAGGCTTTATTGTCATATGAACAATAGCTACATCATAGTTTTTGGCATCAAATATCTCAAGTCCAAGGCTCCTCCTACAATTCAACATACTATATTTAAGAAATACAAATAAATACAATTGTGCAAAAAACATAATGCTGCAAGTAAAATGCAGGAATAAGTTTATGCACATAAAATTAGAAAAAGATCAAACGGAATATAAAATTAAACACTGTACAGTATAATAATCAGTTTTGTAATATTCAAAAAATATGTGGTTCAAAAGCCTTTGTAAGTGATGCTGGCCCACATATTAATACATCTCTTTATGTTACACCTCTCAGCTGGAGGGCACGGCGCAGTACGTGATCGAGACTCGTGACGCTGTGCAGATGAGAGCCTGGCTCAGTGACATCAGGAACGGCATCTGTCTCAGGTAATGAAATGATGAAAGAACAAGGTCACCTCAAAGTAAGGTACGGACAACATGATTGAACTGTCTGCCTCCCACAGTGAACAGGAGGATGCTGAAGGTGTGAGTGTTGGGCCGCTGGACATCAGTGGGATGCCTGATCTTGCCGACCGTCTCTCACAAGGTACGTCTAAAGGTTTCCGTGTGTGTTAAGCATCGTCTCAGAGGATACACTCTGTATATACACAGATAGGCTTGGCCAATAACTTTGCAAGATCATGCGCTGCTCTCACTTTTTAAATCACAATGATGATATTTCAACCAGGAGTAGATTTTTGAGCTATAGCTTATGTGTTACTTATTGATCATTCTTGGGTGTATTTTCTGCCAATACATTCTAAACTTTTTGTATTAATATTATTAGTTTGTAGATGCATATTCAGGGTTTTGTCTCAACTGGATAACAGGGACGCTGCGCCCTCTTACCAAAATGATTTTTTTACCTGAAAATCTGCCATCAGACGGCATAGACAGCTTTGTTTTCACAGAGCTCCGACGCTGCGTTGTTGTTTACGTCGGCGGCGCCATCTTGTATATGGGCGTCATGTTCTCGCGAGAATTGATATATCTTATATACAAGATCAGCGCCACAGTATTGCCCTCATACTATATTTTGCTAGAAAAACCCCTGCATATATATATATATATATATATATATATATATATATATTAGCTGTTAATGCGCCAAAGTAAGCCACAAGGATATTTGTAATTTGTAGTTGTTTAAAAGTTCTTTATTGGGGGTAATTCATTTTTGGGGATTTTTTTCCCCGCGAGATAGCAAGTTAGTTAGTTCAGATTAATTTGTTTTCATGTCTGTACGCTGAATTTAAAAGCTAAAGCCAACAGCTGGTTAGCTTAGCTTAGTATAAAAGCAGGAAAGCCTGGTCCTGTCCAAAGGTTTTCCATCTACAAGCACCTCTAGAGCTGACCGATTCACTTATATTATAATATATAATATATATATGTTATATGGTCTAATCTTATAAATACTAGGTTCAAAAGCAATAAGTCTTGGTTTTGACGTATTACATTATTTATTGGCTGGAAGCATGGACTCCAGGATTCTCCACTGGCTGCAAAGACAATATATTTCAAATATATATATTGCCGGCAGATTTGCCAGGAAAATGATAGTCCTTTTAAATGAAAGACAATGCACAAAGTATAAAATGATTGTATTTTGAATGATATATGATTTATATAATATGTGTATTTGCTCCTGTTGGTTTTGCTAGACTTCAGGCGAAGTAGTATAATACTTATTTGATGGTTCCTCGATGAATCTATCTATCCCTCTACATCTTTATGTGTGTGTTTATACTCTCTGCTGCTTGTTTGTGTCCTCAGTTTGTTATGGAGGAATAGGAGGCTCCTCACCTCTGATGGACCCTCTCCCCCCGGAGCTGCCCCCCCGAGCGCCTCTTGACGAACCAGACAGCCGGATTCTTAGCGGGAACAGCCTGGGCACACCCTTCGCTGAGACGCCAGACGCCACAGGTGAATACGATCCTAAGACGAGTAATAATTGCAGATATTGAACCAGAGGTGTGGTAATGGTCACAACATGATCAATAATGCATGCTGCATGCTAATAGGTTAGCTTTCAAATAAAGAAAAGCTCCTTAGAATATTAGTTAGGGTTTGTGCTTGGAAACATATCGGTATTATATTGATATTGTGATATGAGACCAGATATCGTCTTAGATGTTGTATATTTCGATATGGCATAAGTGTATTGTCCTTGTTTTAAAGGTATATATCACTATGTGATATTTTTTCCAAATGATTTACTATTTATAAAAATGTCACTGTCGACCCTACATATCAAGGTAACAATATGTCGGGTTCTGATAATCTCCCTATTGCCCAGCCCTGGTTATGGTTCAGTTTAGTCTGATCTGTTTCAAACACCACTTGACCATCTTTTAAACTTGAATACCCAACATGCACCACCCTGCAGGCTCCTTCCTGTTCTCGGATGTGATCGCTGCGGAGGCGGTGGAGCACCCGCTCAGTGAGTGTCAGTGGTTCCACGGCACGCTGTCCCGCCTCAAAGCGGCTCAGCTGGTGTTGGCGGGAGGACCGGCGAGCCACGGCGTGTTCCTGGTGCGGCAGAGCGAGACGCGGCGCGGAGAGTACGTCCTCACCTTTAACTTCCAGGGCAAGGCCAAGGTGAGTTTCATTTTGAGCACTGACTTCATAATAGGACTATTATTCATACAAAATGAATCATGTTACTACATTTAAATCTCTGATGCTACTGCTCTATTAATATATCTCTTTCTTTTTCTTTTGTCTTTTCTATCATTGCAAATAGCTCTCAAATATGAAATCAAGTTTAAATATATTAATTAATAAATGTGAAAAAAATAGAAAATGTCCACCAATTTTTTCAGACCCTGTCTTAAGAAATCTTGTTTTGTTTGACCAACATTACCATATTCAATTTACAATAATATAAAAAAGCAACACAAATTCACGTTGCAGAAGCTGTAAGCAGAATGATCTGCACAATTTCATTTCTTCCAATTTAATATAGTCAACAAAAATGTATTGGTAAACTGGTAAACCTTGAGTTTGACTTGCTGTCCCCTCTGCAGCACCTGCGTCTGTCCCTGAACGAGGACGGTCAGTGCCGTGTGCAGCACCTCTGGTTCCAGTCCATCTTCGACATGTTGGAGCACTTCCGTGTGCACCCCATCCCCCTGGAGTCCGGCGGAGCCTCGGACGTCACACTCATCAGCTTTGTAGGGGCCACCGCTGTTCGCCAGCCAGGTACCATCCCCCCCGATCCTGCCCCTTTATTTATCGGTTCATGGAATAAAACGTATTCTACAAGAATAATAAACACAAACAAGGAATTGAACTCCGGGAGCTCGCACACAGGACTATAGAAAAACACTTTCAGCTAAAAACAAGCTTATAAATATAGCTGAAATAATAATTGAACTCATTAAACTATATTTCTAGTCATTTTAAATTCTGATATGTTGTATGTGTAGTCAAGTCGGGGTTTACTCGGGTCTAAACCAGTGTACAAACCGAGTTGTGTACAAACCGAGTTGTGTTTACTCGGGGCTAAACCAGTGTACACACAGAGTTGCACGCCGCCGTGTGTAGGGGCCGTTAGTTGCAGCCCTACTGCATTATCCTATCAGGCGATTCTGCACCATCAATGTATTCTTTTAACCAAAGTACCTGACAGGGACAGAACACTTTTTGAAGCAAAAACAACCTTTTAACATATACAGTGCTGCACCATTAGTGTCTGATTAACTTAAAGGGGCCCTATCACGCTCACTTTCACGTTCATATTTGTATTTTGTTCCTCCCCCGTGACATGTCTCCATGCTTTAATGTTCAAAAAGCTCTTTATCTTTCTCATACTGCCTGTGCTGCAGCACCTCTTTTCACCCTCTGTCTGAAACCAGAGCCCAGTCTGCTCTGATTGGTTAGCTGGCCGGCTCTGTTGTGATTGGTCGACTGCTTAAAGAGATCCCGCCCCTTAACCTAACACTTACAATGTGTTGGAGCGTGAGCCAATAGAAGCGCAAGTGTTGCATAGTGATGTCACTACTCATACTTACATTTCTATGATTTTGTTTCAACATTGAAACTGGATTACATTATATATTATTATATTATATTTTCATCCTTCATTGCAGGTAAAAAGCTCAAAGAACAAAGAGTGCAATAAAAGTGGTGCAAGTGACATAATTCTGCAAGTAGAATGCAGGATTATTCCCCTGCAGCGTCTCCCTCTGCCCATGTGTTGTCTCACCTCTCTGATGTTGTGTGTATCCGTTGGCTCGTCCCTTTGCAGGCCGCGACAGGGCAGGCAGTCGGCCTACAGTCTGTGATGTCATCACCACGCGCCATCCTGACTCTCCATCAACCCCCATCTCTGACTGTGTGTAAGTGAGACCAGACTCAGCTGAGAGAAACTTAGCGAGTGAGAGAGTGGGGGGTGTTTGGGAGTGAGTGGGGACATATTTGATGTGCTTAGTTAGAACGGACATATTTCTCTCACAACAGGTTTGTAACCTTTGATTTCAACACAAAGAAATCAGAATTTGGCGACTCACATTCAGATTGACACTTTTGACAGAGACTGGAAGATAAAATATGTTTTGACTAGTCTACAAGTATTCTGTAAAACGTCACTTTTTTTAGTGTATTTGAACTTATTTAATCATTTCGATCAGACTTAAAAAAACACATCGGAAGATATTTTTGTTTTCTCTCAGGGCTAACGTACATTGCCCACCACTTAATAAACTGTGATTGTGAGTGTGTGTGTGTGTGTGTGTGTGTGTGTGTGTGTGTGTGCTCCTTGAAATTGACTGGCTCCATGACTCCCATGGACTCCATGACCGCAGACCTCTCCACCTAACATTCACTCACTGTCACTTTCTCTCTTCTCTCCCGCCCTCCTCTCCTCCGACTACGCTGTCACTTCCTGTCACTTTTGTCCTTATTTCCTCCTCTTCCTCCTGCCTCCTGTCTCCTCCTTTATTTACACTTTTCTCTCATTTCACCCCTCTTTGTTTTTTTTCTCTTTTTCTCTCGTCTAATTCCTCTCCATGCAGACTTGACCAGCAGACCCCGTAGCCCCCCGCTGCCTCCTCCTCTGCCCCCAGGCCGCCCGCCACCCCCGACTCCCCCTCAGGAGAGAGCTGACGAGGCGGAGCCAATGGCGGCGGGAGGAAGTGCAGCAACAGGAGGAGGAGGAGGAGGAGGAGGAGGAGGAGGAGGGGGGGCGGCGGCGCCGGCCGTGGCGACGACGACAGCAGGAGGAAGTGGCGGCGGAAGTGGAGGCAGCGGCGGTGGAAGTGGGGGAGGAGTGGAGGACTGGGAGGAGCGGGACACTCCTCTCCGCCAGCTGGAAGCCGGGGAGGGGGAGGAGCGCGACGGAGCGAGGGCGCCCCGAGCCGTCGACAACCAGTACTCCTTCTTCTGATGAAGGGAAGAGCAAGAGCGGGAGCAGGAGGAGGAGGAGTGTGTATGTGCGTTTGTGTTTGTGTGTGAGCGAGCGTGAGATTGGATGAGGCGGCGTAAATCATAGCCATTCATAACCAGTATTTTTATTTTGTTAGCAAGGTTGGAGGCGAAACGGAGGAGAAGGAGAAGGAGGAGGAGGTAAAAGTACTAACACTAAACGAGAGAGAGAGGAGACAAAGCAACGGGAGAGACAGGCGGAAGCAGCTTTACGACACTAACTAGCGGTACACTTGTTTTTATTTTTTTGTAGTCTAATAAGCTTTGATTTTTGCCGGTACGAATCGCAGCGGGCTCTCTCTCGCTGTGGAGCCAGCAGACCTGATACCTCACGTCGGTCCTGCCAAGTCAAACCAGAGGCCAAACACACACTCACACACATCTGCACTGTGGCAGGTAGACCCAAAACTCTACTCACTGGTACACAGCAGGCTCCTTTTAAAGATGATACAGATTTAAAGTTTCTGAATGTAGCGTCTTTGGTATTTTTCAACCCGGACTCTGTGGTCACATGTTTTTGCGACTGATGGAGACAACAGTCATGACATTAGTTGACTTTTGAGCGTTATGGGTAGAGCTGCAAGGGTTAATCTATCAGTTGTGAAATATGAAATGAATCGTCCACTGTTGTGATAATCGATTTGTCAGTTTGAGAAGGAGAAAAAAGTCCAAATGTTATGATTCCATCTTCCTAAATTTAAATACCTTTTTGTTTCTTTGCTCCAATAAAGACTGTAACTGAATATCCTTGAGTTGTGGACAAAACAAGACATTTATCATCTTTCACTATTTTCACCTAATCGTCAACTTAATCGACAAAGATGATTAGTGTTACAATTAAATTAAACTAAATTAGTGTTAGCCGCTACACACGGCGGCGTGCGTTGAAGCTTCAACGCTTCTCCCCATTCACTTTGAATGGGGTGGCGTCACGCTTCACCGAACTGCATTGTGGGAGCAAAGCATAGCAGTTGCTCGCTTCAAAAGTTGAGCAATGTTCAACTTTTGAAGCTTCGACGGAAGCGTCAGCCAATCGAATCATATGCCAGTACAAGCTCTAGCCAATCAAACCGCTGCTTGTGTGTCTGGGGCGGGAGATTCATGTGATTGGTTGTTGGTCTGCATTATCCTATCAGGCGATTCTGCACCATCAATGTCTACCACTAAACGTTTGAGTTGACACTGACTCAGGCTCAGGTTGTTATTTTAAGCATCTGACAACAATATAGAAGCAGTCTGTAGAGAAATATAATGTCTTTCTTTACATTTCCCCCTTGATGCACTCTGTTGTGTCTAACAAAGTCTCACTCAAGGAGGAGTCACTTTCTGAAATCTCATGTTGCATCCACGTTGTTGAAATCAGCTAAGTATTTCTTAGATTACACTCTATTTCTACAAGTCACAGGACACAATAATAACGTGATAACTGTAAAGGTAAAGAAAGACACTTTCCTCCGTAGGATACTTTCCATAATGTTGTCAGAAACCTATAACAATCTGAGCCAACTTTTTCAAAACTCAATTATTTTCATTGTGGATTAAACTGTGGATTATAATGTTCAATCAATTGTTTTGACTAACGTGTCAGAAAAAAGGGGGAAATGTTGATCAAATGTCTCGTTTTGTCCACAGCTCAAAAATGTTCAATTTACTGTCATAGAGAAACTAGAATATATTTATATTTACAAAACTGGAATCAGAGAATTTAAAAGTTTTTCTCTTGCAAATAATTATTCAGACCGATCAATCGATTATGGAAATAGTTAGAAATACTTTGAATAGTTAACAAATAATGCATTAATCTGTGCAGCCCAAATACTGAAGCGCTGAATACTGGACTCATTTCAAAATGGTTGTCACAATTGTATTCTGTAACTGACAAAAATATGGGGGAAATAGGGTTTGGTTAAGAAGTTAACTTTTAAAGAAATATATTAGCATGAACACTTGATACGCTCATGGCTGATTGGAATAGCTACAAGACCAAACCAATGTGAATTCTTAATAAATAATATGATATATAATTGAATGTATTGTAATATTAATAATAACACTAATGGTGGTTTCAATATGTTTCCATTTATCAAGCAAAGAACATGTCCTTGGTTCAAGCTAACATTTGACAGCTTGCTTGTTGTATTTTACATTATCGTACATTTAATTACATATATTTGTTCAATAAAAAAAGAGAATAAGTTAGTATATGACTTACTATTTAAAAAAACAAAAGAAAAATGGAAACTGCAAGAACATTTGGAGACAAAAAAAATCTATCAATGACATTGGGTTGTTTTTCTCAGTCAACTAGTAGTTTATAGACTACACACTTTAACAATTGTATAATAAAAACAAGCTAGTCACTTTTCAAAACCAGGGGAAATTGTTGGTAGCAAAAAAAAATATATATAGAAGTTCATCAAACAACATATCTGTATGGTGGCTTATTAGGGCCATTGTACCATAAATAAAAAAAAATGGGGAGAGGGGTTCAATATTCAGAGAAAAAACTCATAGATAAAATTCCAAAATGTACGAGAGAAATAACTTTGATATTACCAGAGATAAATGTTGTCAATTTATGAGAGAAAACAAAACAAATTTGTTCCTGAGAAAAGACAATGTACCATTTTAATCTAAATCCCCCCAAAATATGTTTTTTCTCGCAAATGTATTACAAAGAATATTCACGTATTCTAGTTTAACCACTTTCATTGATATTTTATTGAATATTTCCCAGTTTTTTTCCCTCTGAATATTACGCCCCTCGCCCTGCACTGTATTAATTATTTTAGCGATGGCCCTGATACGCCACCTCACACAAGGCGTCCTGAAATTGAAATGTTTTCAATGGAGTTTGGCGTTACACAGCAGAGTAATGTAATGTTTTGGGTCTAAGTGGCACATAAACCGGAGCAGGCAGGAAACCTTTACCTCAGTCACACTCAGCTGCTCAGTTAATGTCTCTCTCTCTCTTTCTCTCTCTCGCTTTTCTCTCTGACGCAAAAGAGAAACTATTGATAATACCAATAACAATAATTATTGATGGAAATAATAATAATGATAATATTAATAATAACGGTCCGAATAATAGTATTAATTGTATTTGTTTTTAAGACACCTTTTTATTTTTATTTTGTATGCTTACTCCATGTAACACTTGTTCCGACTCCATCTTGTAATTGAGACTGTGTTTGTGCCTTTTTTTAATTTTTGGGATAAAAAGAAGGAAAAAAGTATATATAAGATTTGCTATGAATTCCTCATTCTCAAGGCTACTCTCTTTTCATGCTGTCCTCTCCTCCTCAACCTCATTCTCTATTCATCAAGGGTAAAGAAAAAAAAATACAATTAGCAGAAACATTTCAATGAGAATACCTACTTTTTCTACTTGTGCCTTTCTGTGTCTGTCGTCATCGGCCTGCGTTCGTGTCGCTCTGTCTTCATCGTTCAGTTTAGAGCTTTGCCCGTTTCTTTATCCACCACATAAACCACCCAGTCATTTCTACCGGTCTTTTTTTTTTTGCTCATGTATTTGTCTATATGCACCTTTTCCCCTCCCCTCCCCGTGCCCTCCCCTTCCCCACCTTAATCATCATGTTTAGTGTCCTTTTCTCAGTTTCAAAACTCTTTGTGCCTTTCTCTGTCTCTTTTCTCTCTTTGCTGGGACCGTGTGTTGAGGGCGGGCAGCGTCGTCTGTCCTCCCTGTGTGGTTAGTTTCAGGTACTACATTGAATTTAATGATATAATATAAATATAGTGAAACATAGAAGTTGGTGTGGTCTTTCTTTTCTTCCTGTCACCTTTTTAAATGCTATTTCTAGTAAATCATTTACACTGCTAGGGCTGTATCAAATATTTGTGAAGAATTTTGAATTTAAATCACCATTTATTATAATTTTTAGTTTTAGCAAACTGTAAAAGCTGTCGGACAAAGTCGAGCTATACTTTTATTATTAGTATATGCTATTAGTTAAATTACAGTGGTGGCTGCAAATAATTGTTTCAGACCTCTCTAATAACCCCAAAGCGTTTTAAAGTCCAAAAGTCAACATTTATTGAAAAATAAATATTTAATAATTTCCAAAATGCACAATATATTTTGATCTGACAGAATGTTCTGCTTCAGTGCATATTTGTTGGCTCTTCCGACTGCGCCACAAAAAAGGAGGCTTGCACCTCAAATAACTAACCGCACAAATATTATAACATTTGTATAACCACAAAAACTACAAATCTATTTAACCTCTAACACCATCATTGCTTATTTACATGTATCTGCATTTTCTCAGCGCCCCATTAAGGCGTCATCACTTTATACTAACAAGTATGACAAATGTGGAAAAAACACCAGTTTTAAAGCTTTTAAGTTAATAAATCAAATAGAACTAAGTTATTTAAAAAAACGATTTTGTTAAGAGTTTTTATGACAATGGCGTTATAAAATATACCGACAGACATTTGAAACTTAAATTGTTATCTATCCGCCATTTTTCTTTCTCTACATTTTTAAAAGGAGATACAAACTTTATAATTTTGGACTAAATGTGTTATTTTTCATTTCAAATAGTTTTGGCCCCAGAATAAATTGATATTAGGTTTATATCAGTGTTATACGTTTTTCTGAGTATATGTGTAAACTGGATCCAAGATGCAGGATTTTGTCCCTGGACCCCCAAGTGAGTATTTCATGTTTTGCCTGTATAAAAGGCATCAGGTTACTGGAGCACATAGAAGCTGTATAGGGATATGTGGATTTTTTTTAAAGTCATATTATTCTTCATACGCACAAGCAGTGTTATGCAGCAATTATGTTTTTAATTAATTTCTTTATCCTGCAGTGTTAAACAAATATGGTTCCTGCTGCATTGTGTTGGAAATCAACATAAAGTGCCTCCAATAGTGTATTACATATTACAAACGGTGACAAACTAAACAAAAGGCTTTCAACCACATTACACAGTCGTCTTCAATTGAAATGACACATTGTATATAACAGCATAGCACACACAATTTCTTGTTTCAAAGGAACAGGAACGTGACCTGTTTCCAAGGTCAATAATGTCAGTTTATTAAGATTTGATATATGGTTAAATATTATATACTAAAAACCCTTTTTTGTATATTATAGATATGGTTATTTTCTTAAATGTTTCCTTTGGACTATTAATTTGGAAAATATTCTTGTACTATTATTGTATTACTTATTATGGGGATAAAACTTACTTTATTCCCTATTATATTAAAATATGTGTTCATTTTAACTTTTCTTTACTGAAACCAATTAAAAACATGCTGCAGCATCAATTTCCTTACATGACCTCAATCATTACGACCCGTCGTGAAAAATGATTGACATGAAAACCAACCAATGATTAAAAAAGGTCAGAAAGTATTGACAGCAGGTTTTGTCCAATCAGGTTTTGGATTAAATGAGTAGGCGGGGTTTACGATTGGTGCGTTCGTTACAGCACCTCGGCTGAGCCCGGTTCTTGGGCGTACATTCATAGATGGGGAAATTCACACTCCGGGAGTTCTTTCATGGTTGAAAAACGGTCACTTTTAAACACAATGGAGTGTTTTTATTGAATCAAACTATCTGTGTTGATTTGACTATTTCCTGGAACCTGCCCGGGAGCTTGATTCGACCCTCATCACATGGACAGCAGTCACCGGGTCCGGACAAACCTAATGCACCCGCTGCCGTGTTTTGTTGTTTTCCAGCGGTGTATCGTGTTTGGCCTGTCAAACTAACCGTGTGACTTTTTGCTGAAACGACGAGACTGGATTATCAGGGATGCACATGACTAAAAAGTATAATTTAAATACTAAAGAATTGCTCAACTGTCAGTTTCTAATGTGATGCCGACGTCGTTTCTAGCGGTTCGTTTGTGTCTCTGTTGTTAACATTCGACGTCTACGCCAAGCTAGCTCCATTAGCTGACTTAGCTAGCCGAATTTTGCTATTTTATACAACAACAACCATCATATTTAACTATGTTACCCTTAAGACAAACAGTTTAGATTATATTAGCCGATTTAATTTGTACCTAATTATGCCATGTCATTAGTTTAAATTGCTCGCCTGCTAGCTAGAAAGGTTGCTGTGTTGCCTGTTAGAGGCTTGTGTTATTGTTCTCACTGAAGGAGCAGATTTGAGCTGCTAGCTGATGTTTGTTTTTATTTTGTTCCACTCTGCAGGACCAGGAACACAATGAAACCTCCATCACAGTCACCTCCTGTAAGCAGTTTAGTAAGTAGTGACAGCAGAGCGTTTCTATTCAGAAAATGTACTTGTTAGAACCAGGGGCGGAGCTAGTATTCATGGCCCAGCCCAAAACTAGGGGGCCCGGGGTGGCCTGCATGTTCCCTACTTTTATGGGAATTTTAAAAGTATTTTACCAGAGTCTTAAAATAAATGTTGAAGAAATTGAATAAATCAACAATACAATGAAATAGAAAGAATCATACAAATGATAATGGATCAAATAAAGTAAAAAAAAAAATACATGTAATATAGCCAGGGAGGGAAAATAAAACCTGGCAACATATTAAATAGTTTCACATTTTCAAGAAGGTATTTCAAATAACTTAATTCATCACTAACAAAGACTTTAAATGTATTTTCCGTCAATTGGTAAAATGATGTTTGTTTTTTCTCTACACAAAAATGTATGAAACATTTTGTTTTTGTTGAGAGACATTAGAAAAAATAATATACTATAGTGCAAATATTGGCATCAATATATTTATAAAAGTTAGTATTGTTCCTCTAAACATACCTATTAATGCCTCAGATTTCTGTTGAGGCAGTTTAACCAATGCAACACACTCTCATGTCAGCTGTATACCTGCAGGTATTTGATGGCGTCTACAACAATGCCAGAATGCTCCATTTCCTCACAGCAGTGGTGGTAAGCTGTTTTGTCTGTCTGAAGTTGTAATCAGAACAGTTTTTTATTAAAAGCACCACATACAAAGGCACTAACAGGTCTGGTTTTCAGGGCTCCACCTGTGATGTGAGAGTGAAAAACGGCGCAGCCTACGAGGGAGTCTTTAAGACTTTAAGCTCACAGGTAAAAAAAAAGAAGAAGCCTCCTAACACCTCACTTTCTCTGTATCCAAGTTATGTGATTTATCAGTGTGTACTCTTCTGTCCATCTTCAGTGTGAACTGGCTGTGGATGCTGTCCATAAACAGAGCAATGGAGAAGGTGATGGAGGAGGAGGAGGAGGAGGCGGCGAGGAAGGAGGAGGAAGCCAGTCCTCTCAACCCAAGATCGAAGATATCACAGACACCATGATCTTTAGCCCCGCCGACCTGGTGACCATGACCTGCCGCGATGTCGACCTAAACTTTGCTGTCAGAGGTAAAAAAAACAAGAGGAATTTGTATTTGTGGTGTGTAATACTGTAAAACTTTTCTTCTTGTAGGTTAAGATTTAAACGTTTATGTAAGCCTTTAAATTCTTTAAAGATGTCACATTTTTTATGTTATAACCAGTTTGTCTGGTTACTCTACGTCTAATTACAACTGATGTGGCATCTCTCTTACAGAGGTGAAAACAACTTAAAGTAAAAAAAATAACAAACATGTTAACAAAAAACAACATTTATAGTTCAGATCCAGGTTGCTCCATAATACTCTTAACTCAAAACATCCGCATGGCTGTAAACTTTGAGAATAAATCAGGTTACGTAAACCAAATTGTGGTGAAGACAAACTAAGTGGTCTAAAGCTATACACATATTTTTGTGAGGTTCATTCGAGGTGGCAGCATAACAGTGTCTATGAGAGTTGTAATTGTTGACTCATTTGTGTGTCTAGACACGTTCACTGACACGTCTATCAGCGCAACCCGGGTGAACGGGGACCACCGGGAGAAGGTCCTGCAGAGGTGGGATGGAAACGGAAACGGAGAAAACTTTGAGCTGGAAGCAGACGCGGTGAGATCTCAATCACTAACATATTCAAATGAAAGGAAGTGTAATACACATTGAAGTGGCTGCTAGAGATGCATCACTTTATTACCTATCTGAAACAATTTATCTATATATCTCTTTATTTATACAAAATCACTGAGACTACTCTGATCAGCATGCTTAGGAATTAATTACATTATAATTGATTTGAATACGTAATTTTTGTTTAAATAAGTCACTCAACGTGCCGCTAGTTTAGAAATAAAGAGCTAACATAAAGAGAAGGTCGCCAAGTTGAGTGTAAATGTGATATGGCAAGCAGCGGCCTTGTTTCAGTCTTTGAATGTTTGGCCGGCTGATAACAGAAAAATGTGTGTGAAATATGTGTTGAACTAGCCTCCACTGTGTCCAGTAGAGATATGGTCGCATGAAGGGAACTGCTTCAAATGTCTCACTTTCATGTGTTTTTCTTCCTCAGTCTAACGGCTGGGACGCCAACGAGATGTTCAAGTTCAACGAGGAGACGTACGGCGTCAAGTCCACCTACGACTCCAGCCTCTCCATGTATACGTGAGTCAGTTTGACTCCTCCAGGCAAAGTGACTATTCAGCGGGACTATAAGCAAACCCTGACTTTTCATCCCGGGTTTATTATCTGTAATAGTTTACTCTCTTTCCTATCAGTTATGGTGATATGTTGGTGAGAGAGCTTTAAACGGGAGCATAGGTTATTATTGTATCATATCTATCCCACTTATTTCAATATGAAACTTGATTTTACTATTAAAATATTATCATAACAGATATGAATGATGGTTCTAATCTGTTTCTATTTTTATTATATTTTACTGTCAACATTTATCCCTTATATGAAAGTATAATAATCTGATAATTGTACTACAACTAGAAGGGCTGCAACTAACAATATTTTTAAATGTTGGTTAATGTGACCATTTTTAATGAGTCAATTAATCGTTTGGTCTATAAAATCTCAGAAATGATTGAAAGTGGTCTATCGTAGTTTATCAAAGTCCAAGGCAAATTGTAGCAAAACAGGTTAGGAGTCATTTGAACTGTAATTCTAATTGAATGAATCTCCTGATGGCATGTCAAACGACCTTGTCCTTCAGTCTAAACCTGTTCATAACAGTTTATTCAGCTTGTAATAGTTTTTAACTGAAAATCTGTTTTATTTCCCAGCATGCCTTTGGAGAAGGGCACCTCTGAGGGATTCCGTCAGAGGGAAGCGCGAGCCGCTCGGCTGGCCAATGAGATCGAGGGCAGCCTGCAGTACCGCCGGCGTGTTTCTCTGGAGAACGACGAGGGCCGCAGCGAGGAGGACAAATACAGCTCGGTGGTGAGGGAGAGGGAGGAGAGGGCGAGCCCCGGCTTCATCCCCACCGGCAGGTAACACTAGTTTATTTATTATCTTTAATATGTTATTTATTGAAGGACAGATTCGTCATACAATATTACAATTGAAGCATCATAACATTTACAGTTACAGAAGAATTAAACGTTTACTTTCTGCTCCACAGAAATGTCTCTGATAGAAAACTTCCCAGAATTCATCTGACCACTTCTCCCCTCCGCCTTGTTTCCCAGGGAAGGTAAATACATTCCCCTCCCTCAGCGGGCTCGAGAGATCGGAATGGGCCGGTCCGGGGCCTCCGGGCGCACCGCCCCCCCCTCCTCCTCCAGACACCCCCCGGCCGGCGCCTCCTCCCCCAAACCCCCGTCTGACCGCAGCAGCCCGCTGTCCGTCAGAAGCTCCTACTCTCCCCACCAATCACAGGGCAGCCCACCCGCGGCCGGCAGCCCTCCCTGCACCAATCACGTCCTCCCGAACTCCCTCTCTCACCCACAGGCCCTCGGTGACAACGCACGCTCTTCTGTCAACGGAGGTATGGAGGTTTAAAGATACCAGTTTCGAGAAAACGCATCATGCCTTAGCTACATACCTACACTGTAGCTATGTTCGTATGACAAAATAAAGAACCTTGACCTTGAACCTTGATAAGGAAGCACATTTTATCCATTAAAGTTCCTTTTATAGAGTGGTGCAGGAATGAGTCCTTAAACCCTTAAATAAATCAGCATTTTAGCACTTCCTGTTCTCTAGCCTGGAAGTCAAAGGGTTTTTGGTTTTATGCCTGAAATAAGGTCTGTGGATTATTATGTGGAGGAAACCAGGGAGATGCTCACAGTCAGTGAGATGCTGTTCAGTGTGTGTGTGTGTGTGTGTGGGGGGGGGGGGGGGGGGGTGTGTTTATGTGTGAGTGTCTGTTTTCTCATGCTGTTTCCCTCTCTCTGTCTCAGTTACTTCCAGAACTTCCCCTAAATCCCAGAGACTCCAGAGCAGGACCCTGCGCAACCCCAACTCCCAGTCCTCAGCAGGTACATACAACACACACACACACAAAAAATACATGCACACAGACACAGACACAAAGCACACTGCTGATTTGTGAATCTTCCGTGCAGTCTCTCGAGCCACGCCCCTCGATATCCCAATGGGCGGCCCTGTTTTCTTGGACTCCAACTCCACCTCCGCTGTCACCATGGCAACAACCGGCGCCAAAGCCTCCGGCCCGACCCCGCTGTTCACTGTCGATGGTGAGACTTTTATTAAGTTATTTAATACATGGGGCAGAAGACGCTATATTACATTTGTTGGGGTTTCCCCTTTCCTGTCAAGTGTTTATATAGGTTTTTGTTTGCGTATTATTATTATTATTATTATTATTATTATTATTATTACTAACCAATCAGTTGCACTGGTTTCAGACAGAGGGTGAAAAGAGGTGCTGCAACACAGGCAGTATGAGAAAAATAAAGAGCTTTTTGAACATTAAAGCATGGAGACATGTCACAGTTGAGACACTAAATACAAATATGACCCTGAAAATGAGCAAAATACGTCCCCTTTAAAAAAGTGCATTTTGCATACATAGATAGATCAATGTTCTTTTTTTGACCATACATTTAAAAAAAATGGTCATGTGTAGCTTTTCAGGCATTGCACAGGATTAAAACAGTTAATACAGTATATACATATGAACACTACAAAGACATATCTAAAGAGCACCTCTAGGATACACAATATACAAGTTTGATATATTATAGTAAAATAATATAATGCAAAACTGCTCCAACCCAAATATAAACATAGGATAATGATACATTATACATTACGTGTGCAAAGTTTATCTTTTTATATTTGTATCTAATGAGGTAGAGTTGGATTATAAGGTTTTTGTGTTAATGTGCATGAGCATAAAAAAGTGGAGTTAAAATTACTCTGATTTGAAGAATGTAGTAAATGTGAAGTCCAAACTTGATCAACCACAACACTAAATGCATTAAATGTGTCAGTGTTCTCTTGGTGATCAGGTTTCTCTCTGTCTTCCACAGTGAATGAGATCCTGAACACAGCAGCTAAAGAGAGATCTGAAAGTCTGGCTGAAGGGAAGAGCACCAAAGGTAAAACACGTTTACACTTGACATTACAAAACACTGGGTTTATGTTGTGATTATGTCAATCTTTAAAATCCCACTGTGTTTGGTTAGGCTGGGAGCGAGGTCTAGCCCTCTGCTTTCTGCAATCTTATTTCCCTGTTAATACATGTTGTTTAGAAAAAGCTATCTCTGCACAATATTTATAATAATTTGTTTTCCTACTGTTAGATTTGAGATATATTGAAGCATTTAAGTCAAAGTAGCTGTCATTTTTAAGTTAGAAAAGTCAAATTTGGCTACATTGAACTATAAACTTGAGAGGTTTCCTTTGTACAATTGACGCAGGCATAGTCACTGTAAAGTACGGTGGCTGAGAAGTGCAAACGAGAATTACAAAGTGTGAAACACTTTAACAAAGCTTGAGACAAATGTACATTTTATAAAACTAATTTACATTAGCAAAACACTTTTACCAAAGAAAAAACTATTTAACATTAACAAAAACAAATTAACAAGATGCAAAACACTTTTACAAAGCTAGAGACAAAATTACATTTTATAAAACAAAATTACATTTTATAAAACAAAATTACATTTTATAAAAACAAAATTACATTTTATAAAACAAAATTACATTTTATAAAACAAAATTACTTTAGCGAAACACTTTTACAAGAACTGAGACAAATGTACAAGTCTCTAAACACTTTAACATTTGCCGAAACACTTTAACACACTAGAGAATCAAACCGGAGAGGGAATGTCCATCATACCAGAAGTGACGTGCAAGTGATTGACACAAACTTAAGTTTGTTTTGGCGGATAGACAGCCGGTACCTATGGACGGTACGAGTGTGTTTATGGTCGTTAAACATGTTTAGTCCGTTCTGTGGAAACCACCTGGGCCAAGTGACACGGTTTTGCTCATCACGATATACTTTCTCGTGCGTAAGAGATACGTTCTTGTGCGCACGAGAAAGTTACCGGTTCGCCAAGTAGGAAGTGGAGCTGTGCCTTTTACACACAGCCTTCGCTGTTTTTACCTTCATTAGAACAGCTAAAGAGCCACTGCAGGCTGCTTCGTTTTAACACACGCACAGACACAGACACAGACACAGACACAGACACAGACACAGACACTGGCATTTGTTTTCAGAAGATATTATGATAGTGTTGTCCATTCCGGTACTGCGGTCAACTCAGCCATCTCTCGCGTTTGCTTGGTCAAATTACAGCTCTTCATTTTTGAGTGCGTGATTAATCGCGCCTTTAGGGTAATCGCTGAGAAGCGGCACTGACGCTAGTACAAGAGTTAAATAATGCATGTTTTTTCTGCTTTATTTGCGATACAAATAATTTGTACCATAAGTTCTTAATAAAACTGACACTGTTTGACTCAGTCCTAGTTTGACTGCTACCAACAATAAAATGAAGTACTTTTTCTGTGTACTTTTTGGGTAATACTCTCTCAAAGTAGAGAACAAAATCATGCCACTTCTGCTATATTTGATGAGGGATAAAAAGATTTTTAGCCATAAGTTCTTAATAAAATTGGTACTGTTGGACTCAGTACTTGTTAGACTACTACCACAAATACAATAGCCGCGTTCACACCGGAGTACTTTTCCCCGTACTTTTCGCGTTTAGTTCCGTTAGTACCCCTTATGTTGCGTTCACACCAAAAAGAGTACTTCAAGCCGGGAACTTTTACCCCCATTTTTAGAAGCTAGAGAGTCCCAGCAGCTTCTACTGATGCCAGTCCCCAACTCCGGGGACTTCCGGCCGGGGACTTCGGGTGGCAGTATACACCGTGAAGTGGTTTGCGGCCTGCCAGTAAACCCAAAGCAGAAGTGACGTCAGCGGCTCATTTGCGTAATCTTCCCTCAGGGAACTTATTCCGGTGTGAACGTGATCTGTACTAAGTGCCCTGGGGTAATAAGTGCCGGGGCACTAAGTGCCGGCACTAAGTACGGCAAAGTACTTGGTGTGAACGCGGCTATTGAGGTACTTTTACCGTGTACCTTTTGAGTAATACTCGATCAAACTCCCCTCCTGACTACAATAATGCATGTATTCTGCTATATTTGATGAGGGATAAAATGATGTTTTGCGATAAGTTTTTAGTGAAATTGATACTGTTGGACTCAGTACTACTTGGACTACTACCACAAGTACAATCAAGTACTTTTACTGTGTACTTTTTGATTAATACTTAGTCAAACTCCGGTCCTGAGTACAATAATTCATGTATTGTACTCTATGAACTATGAATTATTGTACTCAGGACAGGAGTTTAACCGAGTATTACTCAAAAAGTACAGAGTCAAAATACTTGATTGTACTTGTGGTAGTAGTCCAAGTAGTACTGAGTCCAACAGTATCAATTTAGAAGAACAAGTAGAACTTATGGTAACAAATTATTTTGATCTCTCATCAAAGATAGCAGAAACGTGCATTATTGTACTCGGGAGGGGAGTTTGACCGAGTATTACTCAAAAAGTACACAGTAAAAGTACTTGATTGTACTTGTGGGAGTAGTACTGAGTCCAACAATATCAATTTCATGTAGAACTTATTGCAAAAAATCATTTTATCCCTCAACAAATATAGCAAAATACATGCATTATTGTAGTCAGGAGGGGAGTTTGATCGAGTAGGCTATTACTCAAAAAGTACACAGTAAAAGTACTTCATTGTATTTGTGGTAGTAGTCTAAGGCCCTGACACACCAAGCCGATTTCGGCCGTCGATAGATGTCTGGCCGTCGATGAGCGTCCTGTCGCCCTACTCAGATTGGTGTGTCCCGCACCGTCGTGTCTTTTCCAGGGGCGGATCTACCGGGGTGGCATGGGGTGGCAACTGCCACCCTAAAAAATAGCCTTGCCACCCCAGCTGCCACCCCAGTTGGCATCATTGTTTTGAAAGAAAAGTTGTGGCTCATCGGACATTTATGAGAGAAAATCTCTAATGTCCGAGTGCAAGTGAATGCAGCACAAGACGGAGCCTTGTAACCCCTCCCCCGGCCCTGGCGCGAGCTTGGAAATATGATTGGCGGCGATTTCATTTGAACGGGACGGCGCAAAACGAGAAGCATATTTTGGACTCAAGTAGACGGAAGGAATGAGGTATTTGCGGTCTACAATGACAGAGAAGAGACTGTCAAGTTTGGCTGTACTCAGCATTGAATCAAAACGCTTTAGATCTTAATAAGTTTGTGAGGCGTTTTGCTGAACAACATGGTAATCGCCACATTCAGCTGTAATAGGCATGCCAACTTGATGCTCTGCTCACGGATGACTCGATGAGCATAAACAACTGTTAAGATGATGACCTTGTATGTGTGTATATATTTTTTTCTTTGTCGGGGTCTGCCCCCAAAAAACAGTTTTAAGTCCTGAGAAAGTCAAATAAGACGGTGTGTAAAACTACACTGCCCAGCCAAAAAAAAGTAACCACTTTGATTTAACTAGGCCAGTAGGTAAGGACTTTCCACTGGATAATAGGCGTGTGGTGCAGTGGGTTGTGCGTTGATGTTCGGATCAGGGGGTCACAGGTTCAAACCCCACTGCAGTCAGCATGTCGTTGTGTCCCTGGGCAAGACACTTCACCCCGAGTATTGAGTATGTAAGTCGCTTTGGATAAAAGCGTCTAACAAGTGACATGTAATGTAATGTTATAATAACTGCAGCGATGTATATGTTTTAGCTGAATACACGTTTTGTAACCCTAACTGATGCAGTTAGTCACTTCTTTTAATGTTTGTTCTTTCTGATGTAAAGTCAAGGTTGTAACTGTTTGCAGTAAAGTCGTGGGGCGCTGAACTGTTCTTTTGAATCTTTTGAATTTTGATACATGATATAATTATTTGTCTTTCAAATTTGAAGGAGGGTGAGCAAGCATCTTGAGGAACATTCATCATTAACTCCTCCAAAGAATACAGTTTATTCAATAATAAATGAATATGTGAATCATAACAGTGATTGACAGCTGATAATGAATAATATGATTGTTAATAGTATCATATTCATTCAGACAAACATCGATGAGACAGTTAATTAATGTACTTATTGCAGCAGTCTGCATAGATTTGGTACCCCTGCTGGTCTTTTATTTGTTATTGTTCAGTTACAATTCATTAAATTATGTCTGCTACCTTATATATTTATATGTAAGGCTTGCCACAATAATGTCACCTAATGTTATTGAGTTAAAATATTAATATTGTGTCTTTCCAAGTTAACATTGATTGATATGACTGCGATTAAAGGTGGGGTAGGTAATTTTGGAGAAACCAACTCGAGTGCGCAAGAATTTGAAAATACACAACCGGAAAAAATCTGCCACTTCCTTACAGAGCCCCTCCTCCAACACACACGAACGCGCACATGACCAATGAGGGCACGAGATAAGTTTGTGCACAGATGGAAGGCTGACAGGCAGGTAGGCCATCCAGTTATTTTAGCCGGGCCGGCTAAAATGATTGGTCGTGCTTTTTACAGTACTACGGCTTCCACAGATGACATTTTTGTATGGATTTGGACGGGTGTGTGTGTGGGTGGGTGGAGGTGTGTGTGTTTTTTTTCTTGACTTTATTTTTGATTTTATTAATCTGTGTGAATCTTTGCTGTCCTGTTTTTTCACGCTTACCCTGTTGCTGCTTTGTACAACTGAATTTCCCCACGGGGATTAATAAAGGTCCATCTTATCTTATCTTAAAACGAAGCAGCCTGCAGTGGCTCTTTAGCTGTTCTAATGAAGGTAAACACAGCGAAGGCTGTGTGTAAAAGGCACAGCTCCACTTCCTACTTGGCGAACCGGTAACTTTCTCGTGCGCACAAGAACGTATCTCTTACGCACGAGAAAGTATATCGTGATGAGCAAAACCGTGTCACTTGGCCCAGGTGGTTTCCACAGAACGGACCAAACATGTTTAACGACCATAAACACACTCGTACCGTCCATAGGTACCGGCGGTCTATCCGCCAAAACAAACTTAAGTTTGTGTCAATCACTTGCACGTCACTTCTGGTATGATGGACATTCCCTCTCCGGTTTGATTCTCTAGTTTGTTAGTGTTTCGGCAAATGTTAAAGTGTTTAGAGACTTGTACATTTGTCTCAGTTCTTTTAAAAGTGTTTCGCTAAAGTCATTTTATTTTATAAAATGTAATTTTGTTTTATAAAATGTAAATTTGTTTTATAAAATGTAAATTTGTTTTATAAAATGTACATTTGTCTCAAGCTTTGTTAAAGTGTTTCACACTTTGTAATTGTCGTTTGCATTTCTCAGTAAGTGATGGAAGTTCTAGTAAAGTGATGGAATTGGATGAGAATTCTTTTCAACGGACAGTCATTTTATTTTGACTCTGGGATGTTTTGTGTGAAATTTTCGAATAGTGACAGCAAATCCTGTAATATTATTATGCTTTCTTTCTCTTTGTTTTCATATTTGACTATTTATGCAATTTTACCTTAATATTTGTATTTACATCGAAACAAAAATCAGGGGCCGTACACATGCAGCGTCTTCTACTGGCTTTCAGGGAATAATAATATAATAATATATACACTGTCTCCAGTGTTTAGTATGTGGTGATCAGTGCTTTCTAACCCCCATCCCCTCTTTGCAGCTCCCTCTGTGCAGCAGAGGAACCAGCTGGAGGAGCTGCGCAAGTTCGGCAAAGAGTTCCGGGTGAGAACAATGTGATGCGTTTTATTTCCATTTATTATTTTTGTCAGAAGTGATGTATAAATGATGTAACATTGTGTGCATTTAAATGATTCCACAGAGCATAGGTACATTCAGGCTGTGTGAGTGGTCAGTTTGTGACGTGTTCCTTCCTGTGTGTCTCAGCTGCAGCCCACCTCCTCCCCAGCAGCGAGCCCAGCCTCTGCAGATCCTGCTCAGCACGACTCCTCCCCGCCCAAACCTGTGCCCTCCTCTGCCCAGGACCTGCAGCAGACCCTTGAGGCTCCTGCTGGCCCCCAGGCCTCAGGGCCGGAGGGGCCGCAGCCTGGGACTAGCCAGCCGGCCCCCGGAAGCGAGGAGAGCTGTTCAGAGAGTGGGGAGCGGCCAGAGTCTGCTACGTGAGTCACTGCAGCAGCTACTAACACCATACATGATAAAAGAGAGTGGACATTAGGTTCAGGTTGTCAGGTATATAAAGTTATAAAGATATTGTTATTTATTCCCGTTTAACAATGTCCCCCCAAAAATGCCCATAAAAAAAGAATCGTAAGGCACTAAACCAGGGGTGCCCACACTTTTTCAAGGATATATAACCGCTGGCAATTTACTCTCTCCAGCCAGAATCGGCACAGCAGCAAAGTAAGTTAATGTTCGGTCACCAGGGCGCATCGGGTCCGCTTTCCAACTTTTTTTAGTGCAATCGCTGTTGTATAACTAAACAATGTGATCGTGTACGAGAGACGACACACAGTTAATATTCATAAAATATGGTTGGAAACTTTTTCAAAAAAGCGATTTCATTATCGAATCGATATAACAGTAATTTCCTGGTGTTAAATAATGCTCCATTTGTCTTTGAGGAGATGTCTGTTCCGTCTCTGGATTTGAGCATGCCAAAAGGCGGCATGAGTACGGCACCTGAATTAGAAATATTATTTTTCCTTTCCAAAAGGCTCAGAAGCATCGTCCCTGTGCGCTCTGGAGGCACTGTGTGCGCTGAAGGCGCCTCGTTGTGCCCTTGTGGCATCGATGAGAGGGGGTGGTGCTGACTACATTTGAAAAGACTTTAAATTGTGCTTATGGCAACAAAAAAACTACCAGACAATATGGTTGGAGAGATTTGAATTTGCCACGATCTACCCACACTGCATTGCGAACTACCAGTCGATCGCAATCGTCCTATTGGGCACCCCTGCACTAAACAAAAAATTAGGGCTGCCCCCTTTCGTCAAATAATCACTAGTCGACTAATAAAGTCTTAATCGAGCAATTTTTCATTAGTCGATTAGTTGAAAACAATTATTTAAAAAAAAAAAGCTCCATCCGTGTGCTGCATGTGCTATGACGCGTCAGCCGGAAACCCTCAGACTTCATTCAGAGCGGAGCCTGGTCATTAACTTAATTTGGTCGGGCAGGAAATCCAAAGTGTGGATCTTTCTGAGCGAGTAAAGGCAAACTACGACGGCAAAAAGTCTGCTCCATGTCCACACCATCAGAGCGCAGCTTCCTGAAGGCCGGCTTCATAACAAAACACGGAGCTTAATTATCCCCAACGTGTGTTACTTTCTCAGACTCTGAGGAAAACGGCAGCAGTGAGTCAGGCAGTAGCCTAGCTTTGTATCAACATATATAGACCTATAATATATAATCATTCTGACCTCAGAAAACGATAAAGCTTTCATTTCATGATGAGGGATTTTTGCCGACGCTCATATTTTCAGTGTTTCCGTTTCCTCTGTAGTATTTATTGGGTTGTTATATTCAGATATGAATAATAGAAACTATAACTAAATGTTCCGTGTGTGTCCTCGCTGCTTGTTCACACACAGGCGCAACATCTTGCTAGAAACAGCGTCTCAAGGCTTCTTAACATTTAACAACCTATTCATGATGCATACCCACTTCACGGGAAAAACTCAGCTAACAGACGATATGAACCATTTTACCTACACGGAACAGAAGTCCAACACCAAGAGTCTAAATCAGGGGTCTGCAACCTTTTTGACCAAAAGAGCCATTTTGCCCCCTTTTCCAACAATTTCTTTTGTCTGGAGCCGCAAAACATAATTGATAGCTTGATAGCTTATAAAGTTGTATTTATTGTTACATCATAGACAAAAACTACATTTTTTTTGCATTTATTATTTATTACATTATATAAAACTGTTTACCTCTAATAAGAAACAAATAATTCTTATAAGGAGAATTAAAAAAAATACACAGGTCTACTTTAAAATAAATCAACACAGCACCTGGGAAGTCCTCTGCACATTTGAAGGAAAAAAAAAATACAATTTAAAATTGACCCACTTTGAAATAAATAAAACATATAGCTGCACCCTACAAAGAGTTAACTGATTGAATTATGACTGAAGATCGTCAGCTATCTTCCTCTTCCGTGTTTTTCCTCGATACGTAAAGGCTGCAGCACCTTTGACAACTTCTCTCCACATATCAAACATACCGGTGAGCCAGCATCGTTTGCTTGAAAGCATATAACTCTAACCACGCAGCATGATATCCTGTGTTCCTCCGGTACTTTTCTTTTCTTTGATTTATCCATAGTTCGCTCATCGAGCCGGGGGTCAGGTTATTCACCTGCAAGAAAAGGCGCTGGCGCGGGACCGTAGCAGGATATGACGCATATTTTAGTTGACCTAATTAAAACCGTTTTTTTATTTATGTGTCACAGTATCACCTCAAAATACAAGTTACGAAACATTTTCAACCGTGCAACAAAATGTATATAGTCCTACAAATACTTTTCTTTTATTTCCTTCTTATTTTTGTCTAAGCTCAAGGGAGCCAGAGCAGAGGGCTTAAAGAGCCGCAGAGGGCTTAAAGAGCCACATGCGGCTCGAGAGCCCCTGGTCTAAATCAACACTTAGCAAAATGGGCTAACGGGGCTAACGGCTACTTTAGCACATAACTGGCAAAAGCGATCTTTTCTACGTCAACATAGCACATGAAAGCTGAGATTCCACAGATTCCATTGGTGTAAGTCTCATCACTGTACGACCAGAACTCACTGAACTAGCAGCCAGGAAAGAGCAAGAAAACAACTTCACTTTACGTAGCCATGATGATAATTATGTCTTACCTTTGCTGTTTTGTGATCAAAAGTGGTGTTCAAGGGCATAAAAACAGTTAATCCAATGTCTCTGTGTAACTTTAAAATGATTACTGATAATCCATCATTACAATTATAAATAATAAACGCAATAAATGGATTATAATGGTTACGCTGCGCACGCAGCGTCTCCGTTTAACTGAATAATGGTCATGTTTACATGGATTTATGAACTGCCCCTAATTACCGCCCCCCTTCCAGAGACACACTGTCAAACACACTCATACCTGCTTGGTATGACATTGAAAAAGTTACATTAAATAATAAATAAAAATAAATTACAATAAAATGACTGTTGTTTAATCTTCACATCTTGTAATCATGTCTATAATTTTGAGCACCAAATTATTGAAAAGTATCGATAAATACCGGTATCGATAAGCGGTATCGATATCGATAAAATCCTATCGATACCCATCCCTAGCTGTGACTCTCATGCGCTCTTTACATTTAATTTATATTTCAAAGGTTCATTATTACAGTTTTATTTTATATTTTATGTGAAGCACAACGTACCATGCTGTAATTATAACGCTCTTTATCAGCCTTTGAAACTGAAACCATTTTGGGAGAAAAGAAAAGAAGAATATTTATAATCATAAGGTATCATAAACGTGCGACGATTAGTCGACTAATCGCCTTAATTGACGACTATTGGTCGACTAGAAAAATCTTTAGTCGAGGGCAGACCTACTAAAAATGAAGGGAAACAAAGTAAACTGAAATCAATTCCTTGTGTCTTTCATTTTGTGCTCTCAAAGCTCACTTTTTTGCAAAAACAATGCAGCTTCAGAATTGTGAATATTGTACAGCTTTCATCTGATTTGTGCGTGTCAAAAGGTCAGCAGGAAATGTGGTCGGAGATGAAATATTTGAACTTTGAGCGCAGCGTTGGGCGGCCATTTTCCAACAATGTGCAACGTATAGGTTAGCGCAGGGGTAGCCAACACGGTGCCCGCGGGCACTTAGTCGCCCGCAGGGGCAACGTGAGTCGCCCGCGGGGCATGTTCTAAAAATAGCTCGCCAAGCAAATCCAAAATGTAAAAAATACACAAAACAAAACCCCTCCTCCCCCCACCCCCACAATGAATATCGACCAATCACGTTCTTGCTTGATTTGCGGGACCAGCGTTGCAGTCGGGAAGAAAAGCAATGTGGAGCGGCAGCTCACCGCTTGATAAGGAGTTTGACCGTGATTTTCCTTCTAGCAGAATCTACACAACACATCAGCCCCATTGAACAGCCTAGTCATGCCAGCCTATACAACACATGAGGGGCAGAGTTTCCACTGGGGACAGGGGGGACATGTCAAAATCCCGTTTGTGTCCCCCCACTTTACAAATATGTTTATTATAATTTTTTAACGCAAGCCGTCATCGCCACGGAGGAGAGTAAAAAAAAAGGGGAGTGATTAGTAAAATATGCATAAATAGAAAGAAAGAATGCTAACTAGGAAAGATAAGATAGGAATAAACCAGTTTAAATGATTTGTTATTGGTTGTGATCATATTCTAAAGATGTTTGGATTATTGAAAAGTATACAGCTCCCTTTCATCTGAGTGTTGAGAGCTGTATCCATCAATTCATGTTGTGCTCAAAGTGCTCCAGATTGATGCATTTCACTTCAACATTTAAATATAATCTTCCCGGGGGGTGCATGCCCCCGGACCCCCCTAGACGTTGTGAGGTCCACCTCCAAATAAAGGAGGTTAAAATCATTAAATTGCATACATGTTCTTTTAGTAAACACTGAAAAGGGTCCCACAGACCCAAACAGCGCACAAAGGTTAAAGGTCAGCATATAATAATGTTAAAATGTGCTAAATATATACACTGCAAAAAACAAAAAAGAGGAGTAAAAGTAGCTCACGACTTGTTTTATTTTGTGAAAGTAGCCCTCATCCTAAAAAAGGTTGGAGACCCCTGAGTTAGCGCTAGGCTATCAGAACCACGTCATGTGAATGCAGCATAAGTATTATAAAAATCTGCACGGTGTTTTTGCTTCTGACAGACGTTCATACATAGATATATAATAAAGCTGGACTTCCTGAATCATATTTTATACGTTCGGTATTTTTTCCGTATATTTGTAATGACCCTTTTTTCTGTTTCCTTTTTGCAGGCAAGTGAAAATCTCAACATTGAATCCAAATGCAAAAGAATTTCAACCCATAAAAGTGAATACAGTCCAGGTTAGTTTGTAACACACACAACCACTCGCATTTAGATTTCAATCAAATGTTTAATATTTTCCTAACAACATTTCTTTCTTGGTGTTGTGACAGAAGCCTGCACCGACCCCCACCCCTCCTCGGCCGACCCCTCCCAGCCCCTCTCTGATTCTGGCCCCCCAAGGACAGCCAGGGGGAGGCGCCATCTACAACACCCCCCCGGGACACTACCTGTCCTACATGTCCCCCCTGCACATCCAAGGACACCAGATTCAGGTCTGAACCCTCCTTTAGTGTCATATTACAAATATCAGTGTTCATTTTGTAATAGTGACCGTCTCACTGCAGGTCATCCCACTTATTACATGGATACAACATATTGATTTGAAAAGGATTGAATTCATTTAATGAAGATTGTAGATTGTATTCCTTTCACTAAGCGAAATGGTCAGTCAGATTGTACTGCGTAGCTCTGTGATTTAGCAAGTTTAGCAATTTCTACTTTATTAAACTTTGAAAATGTCATCGTCTCCCAGCACTCATGCTGTGTAACTGTCTGAGCTCTTCCCTTACATTCTGCCCGGCAACTGTCCAACATTTTATTTTCCATGAACCAGTCTGTAAACACTGCCAGAGCACATAGCGTGTTCCCTTTGATGTTTACTTCCTGTCTGCCTTCTTCTGCTGATGTATCTGACGTCCAGTTCTGTCTTCAAACCTTTTTACTTCTCTTGTTTGCTTTTGCTTTCTTTTCTAAGTACAGCTTAGCCATAATGAATCCAAATGTGTGTGATCTCTAGATTCATAAAAATGAATATTTCAAAAGTATTCCATGTTGTTTTCTGATGGTGTAACAAATACGAATGTGTTTTTTTGCCACAACTGACATTGTTCATTTGACTGGACTTCTTTCTGTGGATTGATATGATTGCACCAGCGCCTGTGATCAAAGTGTCCTTAGCAGCAGTCTGTTATACACAAATAACAGACCAATCAGAACTGAGTACTCGCCTGAGCAGTGATTCATTTCAGAGGATACTTTTAACTGATGTGATTTCAAATGTGTCCTCCTCTCCTCCTCAGGCTCCTCAGATGTATCAGTACACCATCAACCAGGGCAAATACCCCAGAGCCAAAGGTAAAAGCTGCACACATGCTGACCCATGAGTCAGCATTTTTGTTTTCCTAGCCTTTGCAGTTTGTATGTTGGGTTAGAGGTCTGAAATAGACTGTGGTTAACCTAAGCTTAAGAGATTTTACCATTTTGTTCTACGACATCATTAATGTCAGTAATTAGCCGATTGGGGAATTTTGAAGCTTTTATGTGTCTTTAAAATTGGCGGTTGCTAACAAGTGTCTAAATGAAACCTCCTTAAGGCCTCACTGCAATTAGCCTTAGCGGTGGTGAAGTGAAACCATGTGTAGTTTGTTTACAGCCTAATAGCTATTTAATACAACAATCTTAAAAGTGGTGTTGGAATGAGAAGAAGAAAATTGGTTTGTATAAGAAAGGTCCCCAAATGAAGTAAGATCAAGTCTAATAATAGGATGAACTTATTTCTAATATATTCTTGACAGTACTGTGACTCGTAGCTACGAGCTGAAGCGCTGAGCGTGTGTTGTTCTGTTCTCAGGCCCGGTGGTGGGCCAGCGTCCGGAGCACCACCCCTCCTCCACCTCCCCCATGATCTCCGCTGCAGCCTCAGCAGCAGGACCCCCACTGGTGGCCTCACCGTACCCCCAGTCCTACCTGCAGTACGGTCAGATGATCCAGACCCTGCCCCCCCATTACCACGGACAGGTGCGCTCAATAATCAGCCTTTTAATCATAAAGTGAAAACAGACCCACGGTGAGGGTTTTTATTATTACTGTGGAACAGCCTCCCAGGAGACGGCAGAGAGCGCTCGCACTTTGTAAAGCAAACTCAAAACCCTCCTTTTTAATATTGCTTTTAACTGAATTGTATTTTATGATTTATTTGATTGTTATTTATTTTTAAATATATGGTATTAAGTCATATTTGTTAATCACAATTATGTGTTACCTGGGAAGGGGGAGCTAGTATTGTTTTATTTGTAAATTGTCTATGTGTTTGGTTGGTGAAGCACTTTGAGTTACCTTTGTGTATGAAAGGTGCCTTTATAAATAAAGTTTGATTTGATTCAAGAAATTATAAAAAACATCTAACTAGTGTATCAACACCTGTATGGCTCATAGCTACTTTTTAAAGAGCACTTTGAGCCCCTTGTTTTAAAAACTTTATTTACATGTTTTAATTGTTCTTCTGTGTTTTTTGTCATTACCAGCCAGTTTACTCGATGCTGCAGGGGGGAGCGAGGATGCTGACATCAGGGGCCCCCCCTCAGCAGATGGGGCCTCCTGGGGGCCAGTACCCCGGCCAGGCTGAGAGCCTGCAGGGGCAACAGCAGGCCATGTATGGTAAGCAGAATTATACTTTATTAATTATACAAACACTAGAATGATGTTTGAGGTGTAGTGTCTGTAATGAGAGGCTCAGCAGATCAGGGATCAGTAGCTGCTTCTGAAGGAGTTCCTTCCTCTAATGTTGTTGTTTTTGTCTCTCAGCTCAGTCGTTCTCTCACCACTCGGGCGCCATGCATCACCCTCAGCCCTCCAGCACCCCCACTGGGAACCAGCCCCCGCCCCAGCACTCAGCCCCCAGTCCAGGACACAATCAGGTAACGCTGCACCCACATTCATAGGGACCAACAGCAGGACGAGGACATTTTAATTCAACTTTTCAGGCAACATTTTACAATCATAAAACAACGAACAATACTGTTTTGCACTTTTTGAAACTAATTTATTTCGTCACAATGCTTTTTTGGCGTTTGAGTTGCAAGAAGCACATTTTTCTGCAAATTTGATGGAAAAAAGACGTGTAAATAAAATATAAATTCTATTATAATAATTTATAATTAAATAAGTAAATATATATACATATTAATTACTTAGTCGTTATTTTTGAAATAATGAGGCTTTATTTGTATTTAGTATTTCAAATAATGCATTACTAAAATAATGACTTGGAATTTAAAATATTAAAATAAGGGAAAAAATAAATAAAGCTGAAGTTTCATTTTTTTGTCTTTTAATGGCTGAAATGGGCTTCCATAGAATTAAGATAACTTTCAAAATAGGGAAATAATGGGAGATTATTCTTCAAAAGTGCAGCATAAACATGTCTCTTTGTGTGACGCCCTTAAGAGCAATCGTCTCCTCCTGGTTTGATTACTCTTGCTTTTTAAACATCTTTCTTAAACTGTGTTTCCCCTCAGTCGAGTCAGGCTGGCCCTCAGCCTCAGAACATGTTCCACACTGGAGGTCTGTCGGCCCCCACCCCTCCTAACATGCAGCCGGGCCACAGCTCCCCCCAGGCCTCCTACGCCATGCAAGGCTACAGCCTGCCCACCCACCAGGCTCTGCCCCACGGCTTCCCCTCCATCAGCCAGCTCACACAGGTCAGTGAGAGGGAGGGTCTCAAGTCTGTGTGAGGGTCACAACTCTCTCTTTATACCTTTAGTTCACTACATTTAAAACATTCATTTAGCATTTTGTTCTCCACTTCATGAATCTGACTGCTTGAGATGTTCTCAGTTTTACATCCCCTTCCTTTATCAGTATTGATAGAAATAAATGAATGAAGGGGGAAATGAAGGCAACATATTGATGATTAAATGAACAGGAGAATTATTCCAAAGATACATCAAAAAAAGTAGCAAGTAAGACAGAAATATCAATTGATGTAGCATTTGATCGATTAGTTAAGGCAGTGGTTCTCAAACTCTTTCTGCCAGGCCCCCCCTTTGGAGAAAAAAAAAAGTCGGGCCCCCCCAACACAAGTCAGGCTCAGTGGCGGCGCCAGAGATTTATTTTGGGGGTGCTGTGGGGTAGCTTGACGTTTCATAGAGGGTGCTCAAACATTTAGGGTTTCCCATTAATGTACCGGGCGCTACAGTGGAACTTTCTACTGCAACACTCCCCACGCACATACACAGTGTACCTGCAACTGTTACAATGAAGGCTCGATAATCAGCTCACGGCATATAGGTGTAAGCAGGGGTAAAGTGCTATTTTTATAGGTGGTGTGTGGACCTCACATAGGGGGGTCCGGGGGCAAGCTCCCCCGGGAAGATTTATTTTTAAATATTGAAGTTTAAAGCATCAATCTGGAGCAAAATGAAGAGATCTATGGATACCTCTCTCAACACCCATATGAAACAGAACTGTAAACAGATTTACTTTTTCTTTATGGATATTTTACAAACTACTCCCCTTTTAAACTTTATTCTTGTTTTACTGTCATATAGTATTTCATACCTGTTTTTCATTTATTCTCTTATTTTTTTATAACTATAATGATCATATATATCATGTGCCTCGTGTTTACATTAATGGTGACCAAAACGTTTGAGACCCACTGAGATAACACTGAGAGAGTCCTTTAGTTCACTGAGCCTCTCAGTCTGACAGGAGAGGACTCTCCTCCACTTTGTTGCTGAAAAAACTCCTTATATCCGTTAGCGTAGCTCGCTAGCACCAGAAGCTAACAACAACGATCTCCGGTACCGGTGCGCTCTCTCTCTCTCGCACGCACACAAAATGGCTCGTTCCACACACACACACACACAGAGCCGAGCTTTAATGAAGCGCAGAGACCCAGACGTAATAGTACTGTACTGTATCATATTATTTTCGAATCAATCATTTTTCAAATTATGATTTCTTTTTTTATAACCATTTTTCCTCCTGGTCTCTCGCGCCCTGTCATGCCTCTGCGCCCCCCACTTTGGGAACCACTGAGATAAGGCATTCATTAACATTTAAATATATGTATTTATGAGTTTTCTTCCCTTCCCTCTTCAGTGGAAGCCATGTACTGCCAATCTGGATTGATTGGCATAAAGAAGTATTGTTCATTATTACCTCAATTAAGGAGAAATATAATAATATAATAATCTATTAATAAAATCGCTTGATAGTTATTTTTGACCCTTTTGTAAATAAAAGAGGAAAGGAAGTAGACAAACACATAGGGGAAATGAAAATGAGGTACATGAATGAAGAAACAAGTTAACATTTAATATCAATTAATGTAACATTTTATCAAAATATTAATAGTTTTATTTATATTTAAATATATGTATTTATGAATCAAATCACCTCTGTCATTTTTGAATCCCCTCCGTTTTAGAAAAAAGAACACTTATTACTTTAACTACATCTTATTATTATTACTTTAAGTACTCACACAGTACTACATTTTACTGTACAATACAAATGTTTTCTTCAGTAAGGTTTTGAACTTGTAGTGTAGTATCTTACAGTATGGTAGTAGTATTTTGACTGCAGTAAACAGTCTGAATACTTCTTCCCTGACGTTAACCTTTAATCTCAGTTCCTCACATGGCGTCCTTTTTGTCCCCCCCAGGCTCATGTAGCAGGAGGCATGGCGGGCCCCCACCACTCTGCTGGTCACGGCCTGCCGCCCGTCATGCTGCACTACGTCTCCCCTCAGCAGGGCGGGGGCTCCAACCCCCAGCACGGCCCCCAGCAGGGGGGCCCACAGCACTTCTACATCGGACACCCCCAAGGTAAAAAGTCCCCACCTGAACCAGAGCAGTTTGTGGTTTTGTTCTGAAATGTTCTGCAGCGCCTGGTGATTATGATGATATGTTGGGGGAAATTGTGCGTATTTGCTTATTCATTTATTTCTATACCTTCACTTTTCTTACTTTATTGACATTTATATGACATAATATTTAATACGTAGAATATGATTAGTTTTTATGACATTTTTGACATATTTCACGTGATATTTCTGACTTTTTTAAAATAAATTAAATGACTTTTTAAATACTTTTTGAATTTGAAAGGTCATTGTATAGTATGAATTTGACTAAAGTAACATCTTTTTAAAATCTTTATTTATATACATTATGATTTAATTAATTATTATGTAACACTTATAGTTTGTTTTACACTATTAATTGTTTTTTATTTGAACAGATAAGTGTAATGCAAATAGAAAATGTTGTCATGTTTTAAAAACCAACAAAAGAATGGAATATATAAATGTTCTGTCTCCAGCTGTCCAGGTGCAGGCTCACCCCTCCCAGCAGCTGTCCTTCCACCCCTCTGCAAACTGAAGCCCTCCCTCACCGCTGGATTCAGGAGAGGAAGAAGAAACCCCCCCCCCCCCACCCCAAAAAAAAAAATCCCCAAGCATCTTGTAACATTCCCACCTCCTGACACCAAATTAACACTATCATTTTTACCCACCTCATCTTTTAGACATGGAGACGTTTCTGGATTTTTAAGTGTAAATACAGACTGTTTTCACTCGGAGCTGGACTAAAGACGGTAACTGGTGGAATCATTTAGACTGACGACAGTGAAAACAGCCCTCCCCCCCTCCCCCCCCACACCTCCTCTGTCCTTTTACAGAAGAAACCAGTTCATTAATAATAAAACCACTGAAAAAAATCTGTGTCCTTGAAGTTATTTTATAGTTGAAACAAATAAACTGTTAAATGTGGAGCTGCAGCCACTTAGCGTAGCATGAGGACTGGACTCAGCTAACAAGGGTCTGCCGTCTGCTTTCATTATCTTTTCTTTCACTTTATTGATCGACTTTAATATTACCTTTTATGACATACTATACTTGTATGACTTTTATTTTAGTATGTGTTTTTTTTCTCAGAATTTAGAAATATTATACTATGTAATTGTTCTACTATTTTCAACATACTATACCATGTCGTTTTCTATCAAAATCTCGACATACTATACTATTTTTTTCCCCTCTCAAAATATCAACATATGTTGTTTTTTTTTCTAAAAATGTCAACATACCAATGTTGTTTTGGGGAAAAAGACATTGTATGGTATGTCGAATTTTGTAAAAAAAGACAGTATGGTGCATGAAAATCTGCAAAGAAATAGCATGCAAAAGTATGTCAAAAATGTGCAAGAAAATAGCAAAATACAGTATTTTGAAATATGGGAATGAGAAAAAGAGAGAGAGAGAGAGATCATTCCAATGTGTATAGGACAGTAAAAAAAACTGTTTAAAGGGGAGTGATTAGTAAAGTAAGCATAAATAAAAAGAAAGAATGCTAACTAGGAAAGATAAGAATAAACCAGTTTAAATGATTTGTTATTGGTTGTGATCATATTCTAAAGATGTTTGGATTATTGAAAAGTATACAGCTCTCTTTCATCTGAGTGTTGAGAGCTGTATCCATACATTCATGTTGTGCTCAAAGTGCTCCAGATTGATGCATTTCACTTCAACATTTAAAAATAAATCTTCCCGGGGTTGTATGCCCCCGGACCCCCCTAGAGGAGGTGAGGACCCCCCTAGAGGAGGTGAGGACCCCCCTAGAGGATGTGAGGTCCACCTCCAAATAAAGCAGGTTAAAATAATTAAATTGCATACATGTTCTTTTAGTGAACACTGAAAACGGGTCCCACAGACCCAAACAGCGCACAAAGGTTAAAGGTCTCTCATCCTAAAAAAGGTTGGAGACCCCTGTGTGTCGAAAATGACAGAAAAAAAAGACATGGTATATTTTGATTAAAAAAATACTATTTAGTTTACTCTCAAAATGTTGACATTCTATATGTTTTTTCCTGATATTTTCAACATGCAATACTATGACTTTTCTGACATACTATACAATAACATATTTTCATATTTTTCATCATACTATACTATGACTTTATTCACAATATCTTGACATACTATACTATGATATCATTTCCGACATACAATACGTCATATTTTAACATTGATAAATTAGGTTTTTCCAAATATTCAGACATACTTTACTATTCATTTCTTTCAACATACTACTGTGACTAGTTTTGACATACGAGCTTTTTTTCCCCATACAGTAATATACTTAGCATTTTTTTAACATTCATGTCTACATTTTTACGTTATAGTATTTTTACAACCGTGAATTTGTACACACTATACTATGGTTTGTTACACAATATACATATTTAACATACTTTACTATAGTTTGTTTACATTAAACTATACGACTTTTATATTTATTCTGTAACTTAGACTTAAATGTCACAATATGTCAAAATACAGAAAGATAAGTTGTTTTTGTTAAAAGAAAGGTTTTACAACTAAAGAATACAATCTTTTAGAATTTAAGGTTTGATGAAGGTTTAATTGAATAAAAACACAAATGGATTACAGAGAAAGGTAAGACACATAAATACATAATTAAAACAAATTGTGAATAAGGACATTCTCAGGACTTGTCAGTAAAATCAAAGTAAAGCTCAGATATGCATCAACAAAAACGTTCATAATGTTAGAAACTACAAAACACTTACTTTCAGAAATTCAAGGTTCTTATGAAATCATTGTAATAGCGTCAGTTCAAAATGTGTAACCTTAATCTGCCTTAAATACCCAATAATAGTCTGTCTATCATAGCCTGATTAACACTTCTCTGGTTCCTTCAAAATAACAACATCTATGTAGGCTATAAAATGTACACAAAATATGTTTGCATTTCAAAAATGTTTTTAAAAGCCGTTTTATCCATCATATATATGGATATGCTGATTCTCTCTATTTTATAGCACAAAGTGAATATCTAAACATTTAAAGACCGCCATAGTTTTAAAAACTGAGATGGACTTTTTTCATTACTTTCGGACATGTTATGGAGCGAAGCATTCATTGAGTTACCTAAAAGATATCATCAGGTTAATCAATAATTAAAAGTATTATCATTTCCAAGTTGCATATTTTCAGAGTATACATGAGGAAAAAAGTGGTCCGAGTATTGACCCCTGTGGACTCCCTTTGTTTTATGTCAGAATTGAGATCATCCGTACTTGTACATCGTTGTCTGTACTCAGCAGAGATGAGATCATTTCATAAGTTGCAAAACAAGCTCACTTTTGAGTTGGTGCCCTAGATTGATTTATGTATTCTACAACATGATGACAATTCCCATCATCATCTCACAAAGCAACGTCATTAATTGTCTAGTTAATTTGGATCAAAAGGTGACCAACATACCCTCTATGTCCAACAGCTTTCTGTCGGTAAGACTTTTGATTTATTATGGCTTTTTAAATTCTACTAATGCAGTTCAGATGCAGCGTTCTGCTGCTGGCCAAACGTCTGGTTGGTGCGTTAGCAGTATCCTCCTTTCAGAACCTGGAAAGCTGAAACTCTCAGGATCCGACAGAACGAACGAGTTTCTGTTCTCCATCAAAGCTATTTCTCATCCTCACTTTCTATCACATTTCCTCTATTAAATTCAACATTTTTATGTCAAAATATCAGATTCTTCTTCGCATGAATTTAACATATTAATTTGAGAATATCAAAAAAAATGTGCAAGTAAATTCAAACAATATTCAAGTTGTTTCTCAAATAATTACTATTTCAATATTAGAGAAGATCCAAATGTATTTTTCTTGTAAAATAACAAATTGAAAAGTTTTAATTCATGTTCAGTTTCTTTCCTCAGTTTGAAATCCAACCTAAAAAAGCCATCATGACTTCAAGGAGGAAAAAAGTGTAGATGGCGCTCACTAGAGTCAGTTAATCAGTCAGTGTCACTTCATGCACGTTGACGTAGTTTCCTTCATCATCGTCACTATCAGTTTCGTCGTCGTCTCCATCATCATCTTCTTTACCAACATTGTCGTTATCGTCTCCATCCGTGGTGCTGTCACTCCGGACGGACAGATCTGGTGTTGATCCTGTTGAGAAACATGACAAAGAATAGAAGAGGATCGAATTCAAGGTCTCCGTCCTCACCCACCAGTGTGTCCATGGAACTGCCCCTCCCTACCTCAAGGAACTCCTCACCACCCATACCTCCTTGCGGACCACCCGCTCCAGCAACTCCAACCTGCTCAAACCCCCCAGGACTAAGCTCCGTATGGGAGACCGGGCCTTCTGCTCGGATGCTCCCAGTCTGTGGAATGCTCTCCCCGACCACATGAGAGCACCACAGACCGTGGAGGCTTTTAAAAAAGGCCTCAAAACCCATCTCTTCAAAAGAGCCTTTGCCTAGACCTTTTTACCACCCTTTTATTTTTATTTTATTTATTTTTTATTGCTTTTTATTAATTCTACTGTGTTGTGTCATGTCTATTTATACTGTTCATGCTCACTGCTTGTAGCACTTCGGGATTTGAATTCGAATATGAAGTGCTTTATAAATGGAACCCATTATTATTATTAAGAGTTCATCCCTCAGTGCATTTCATAATATTCTGTGCATTCGATTTGACATTTTATGTGTGGAGGTCGTCATCAGAAAGAACACATTTAAGGTATTTGTACTTTAGTTGAGTCTTTTTCTTTTAATGCTACTCCATACTTCTACACCACTACATTTATCTGACAGCTAAGTTCTTAACGGATTCATATTTGTACACAAAACATACAAAGATTAGATAGAAAACTAAATTCATATCAGCCAGTTTTCTTGTAAGCCATTAGCTGGTTCCTGATTTGCTTCTTTTGCTTTGAATGTGGTTACATGTCACTTAGACGCTTTTCTCCACACATGCAGTCCTGTGGACAATCCCCACAGGAGCAATTTGGGGTGAAGTGTCTTGCCCAGGGACACAACGACATGCTGACTGCAGTGGGACTAGAACTTGCTATCCCCTGATTCGAAGTCCAGCACACTATCCACTGAGCCACAGAGCTCACAGCTTCCTGTGTTGAACACCACAGAGGAAGAAAGAACAGCAAAGAAGAAACCCACGTGATCTGAGAACTCACTCTGATACTGCAGCAGCTCCACGTTCAGATAGTCTTTTTCCTCTGAGGAGAAAACACAGTTTCAACAAATCTAAAATGTGTCTTTGTCAGGCTAATTATAAATATTATAAAATAAACATTATTATAAATAAATATTTAGAGTTTTTTTATCTTAAATGTCCCACTTAAATCTCAGAGAATAACCATTTGAACTGTCTTCTTGTTAATGGAATAAGATGATTTAGAACATCAAAATGCATTGAAGCGATTAAAATAAACAAACGATTAAATGAATACGAGAAAATACAAGGGAAAGATTTTAAGAGAAAAAAAATAAACTTGTTGGCTCTTATAGGAAACTATAGACACTTAAAACACAAGGAATTACAATTATAATATACAAAAAGTGGACAGACGCCCTCTTAAAACACTCACCCTTCTTTGTTGGGACATTTTCATAGTCATGTAGAACATCTGAAAAACAAACAGCTCATCACTTCACATGCGACCTGATGAACATTTATCCACCATGATGTCATTATATAAAACATATCAAGTGTAACTGTTCTCTCGCTCCAATTCTTAGTTTGTCTTTCTTTCTTGTTCTTTTCTTGTTTCCATTATCTAGAGGCTGTCAAATCCAATGTTCTCATATTACAAGCCAAACAAAAAGGGAACAATAAAATACACAACAATGTTTAAATAACATCGTTTTAGCTCAGAAAAAAAAGTCAAACTTCAAACTAAACCAGGAATATTAAAAAAGCCTTTTGATAAAGTCTTCAAATGTGTTTTGAAGAGTGGTGGTGTAAAATAACATCAATCCCAAATCATCATTTCACTAAAACATGAAGTGAAGTCACTTTTTGCCAGGGAGACTTTATAAACTGGATGCTGGGCGAAACTTAAGTCTGACTTGGGTTTCCGGTTTCCAAACTGTACCTGAACTAGGCGTGGAGGCTCGACTCTGATTGGTCACAGGGGTTTCACCTTCAGGCAACACGATTCTGCAGAGGAGGAGGAGGAGGAGGAGGAGGAGGAGGAGGAGAACAAACAGTCAGTTCTGATTTACTGTTCCAGCTTTAAATCAATCTTAGCTCCAGATGTTTCTCCTACATGTATCCGGGGTCTTCTGCATCGCTCTCAGTGTTGATGTAGTCCGGACCTGCAGAGCACAGGCCGATTCAAATGAGAAGATGTTATTCGGTTGGCTTGTTTAATATACAGCATCATATTCTCTTAGATCATCAAACAGAACAGTGTTTCTCTAAAAAGATCAAAACGTGTTTCTCTGCTTTGTGGCAAAGCGTTTTCCAGCTGATCCAAGAGGCTTTTAAATGACTTTATTTAGACTAACATGTAGGAGAATCTACTCAACAAATAAAAGTAACACATCAGCTTTCATCAAAATAAAACAGATTTATTTTTACTTGACAGGAAGGAGGAAAGAATTACTTAAATGTAATTTAGACAGAGGCAATAGTTGATTGATAAAATGTGACATAAGTTGATAATTTGTTTTAATTTGATTTATTTACCTGTGTATTAAATCATTCTATTTTATGTTACTTTTTTTACTTTATTTCCCCCTGTATTTATTTATTTATTTAAATGTTGTTTTGTATTCATTTATTTCATGAATTTATTTAATAATGAATATATTTTGCATTTGAATTATGTATACCAAAAGCAGCGAAATACGAAAGAAAATACATAGTTGGATTAATACAAAGGGAATTTATAAAGAGGCCAATTATAAATATATCACCTTTGATCAAATATTGAATTGAGCCATCTTTTAAATCTTTACCCTGGACAGGAAGCGGATCAACAATAGCAGTCTGAAAGGTAACTAAAGCTGTCGGACAGATTGATACTTAAATACGGAAGAAGATGACGTTGCTGCAGTTCCAATCTTACCGTCTGTTGGATTCTCATAACTTGGATTACTTTCTGTAAGACAATAAAGTATGATCGGCAACAAATTAACTTAAGTGATACACTGACTGGCAATTCCGACTAACATGACTTATAAATCAAGAGTAATTCAACTTAACAAACAAAGGTGCTGTAAACAGTCAAACTCTTAAATGAAATCAAACAGCAGAATGTCACCAGTTTCCGTTGGGGTGTAGGATCTCTGTCTGCGCTGTGTTCCAGGGTCAGACAAGGGGAGGCTGAGCGGGGAAATACAAATATAATATCATTGAATTAAAACATGAATACTGTCAACCATAAGCAGGGTCTTTGAACATTTTATATTTTTAGAGCTTTCACAAGTAGTAACTGTAACTGTTTTGAATGTAAATTTGCGCAATTGATTAAATATTGAGAAATTACATTTCTATTTTTATTTGGTCTACACTCAGAGGTGGTAGAAGTACTCAGGTCTTGTACTTCAGTAAAAGTAGAAGTACCAGAGTGTAGGAATACTCTGTTACAGTAAAAGTCCTGCATTCAAAATGTTACTCAAGTAAAAGTAGAAAAGTATTATCATTAAAATATAGTTAAAGTAGCGACAGTAAAAGTAGTCATTGTGCAGATTGGTCCATTTCAGAATAATATATATGATATGTTTTATAATGATTGATCATGAAAGTGGTTCTCAAAGCTGGTAAAGGTGCAGCTAGTTTGAATGACTTTGTATACTGCAGGGTAGCTTGTGAATTTACTCCAGGTGGAACTAAAGTCTGATTTAACACTTGATTATATTTCACATCATTCATCCACATCTGTAAAGTAACTAAAGGTATTAAATACATGTAGTGGAGTAGAAGTACATGATTAACCTTTGATTTGTAGTGGGGTAGAAATACAAAGGAACATCAAATAGAAATACTCAAGTAAAATACAAGTATCTCAAAGTACTTAAGTACAGTACTTGAGATAATTTACTGAGTTACTTTACACCACTGCATACGCTGTATATAGTTCACAGCATTAATGAATATCATTGACGTAGAATATTAGCTTATAAAACATGATTCTATATGAACGGCAGCAGGTGTGTTTAGTTTGAAAGGAGTGACTCACAAAGGGGACAGCAAGTGGATGGAGTTCACATCAGAATTCTGCTGGGCTGCAACTCAACACGAAGGAAGTCACCATCATCATCATCATCATCATCATCATCATCATCATCATTACATGTCGACTTACATACATTGAATTCTGTGGGCAATTTAGGGTGAAGTGTCTTGCCCAGGGACACAACCACATGCTGACTGCTGTGGGGATTGAACCAGTGCTCCCCTGATTTGAAGATCAGCGCATTAACTCACTGAGCCACAGCCTCTTATATATATATACAAGAGCAGGTATATATTTTGTTAGCTTGCCGTAACAATAATTTATTCCATTAAAGAGCACACCTAAGGGAAAACTTCACTATCAATGTCCATTTGTATATAAATGTAATCACTACTTCAATAGAGTGGTACAGGAATGAGTCTCAAAACCTTAAATAAGTTGGCATTTTAACACTTCCTTGCTCCCTCGTCTCGAGATCACGTTTTGTTCCACGACATAAAATACGTCAGTAAATACCTCACTGGTGAATGTCTGAAGCTTCTATGTGTGTGTATAATATATCAAGTTATTAATGAGAGCACAAAACATCATCACGCCAAACATTAGCCGCATTTAGCTTCGCTGCTTTTTTGTGGCTTGTTGTGGCTTTTTGTGGAGCGACCCCTCAGAACTGCCACAGACTTTGTGCAATAAACTTCTTTACACCTTTTCAGGTGTTTCAGACTTACAGGGATGGATGACTCTGAATTCAGTGGATCTGATTAAAAGAAGAAAGAAAATCAGTCATTATTTCATAAAACACTGTGAGATTAAATCTGAATGATTGTACTTTAAAAATATGATCTTTTAGCTATGTGTTGTAGAAGTAAAGGCTTACGGCATGTATTCCTCTGAAACATTCGCTTGCCTGATGGAGACTGATGGGAGGAAACAGAAATACATTATTATTTAAATGGTTGAAATAAAAGCACCTGTCAGAAGCTATAAAGCAATGTGGCAGTGACCACAGGATGTAATATTGAGGTCACGATGAACCACGTGTGTGTGTGCTGTGTGAGTCGAGACGGCTGCCCACCCAGAGGCCCGCTGTTCCTGCAGTGCAGACACACCAGCGCCAGCAGCACCACGGAGACAAGGACGGCTGCTGGCAGAACCCAGACGAACCAGGAGACGGCCATGTTTCATCTGGAGACAACGTGAGAAACATTTATATATTAAATTATTTCACTACTTTAGGCCAGACTGGTGATCAAACCTTTCAAAAGTAGCATTCAATGGAGCGGTGAAGTGATGAGTCTAAAACCAGGAGAGACTTTGCACTTCTTGTTCCCTCGTCTCAGAGTCAACGTTTTTTTTTACGTGTTGCCGGAAATAAGTTCTATGGTAAACACAAGCTGAAGAGATTTTCACCTTTTGTTCTACACCATAAAAGATGTCAGTAGTTACCACACACGTGAATGTCCGAAGCTTCTATAAAAATGGTGGTTGCTAAGAATTAGCTAAATAAACGACTTAACGTCATCACAACGAATATTAGCCGCTTTTAGCTTAGCGTGGTGATGCGCAGCCGTGCGACGGTGGTTGTAACGTAACATTAGCTCTTTACTTCTGCCGGTTGCATTTACGCTTCAATAATCACAAAGTGGTATAAATATGTGGAGATTATCCTGCTGAACAAAACCTGTTAAAGGGCCCATGTCATGCTTTTCCGGTTATTACCCGTCCCCTTGTGTGTTATGAAGGTTTTTATGCATGTAAACGGTGTGCAGAGTCAAAACCCTCAAAGTACACCCTGTAGCGAGTAAAACTCTAACACAGTCTATGCTGCCCCAAAACGCCTCGTTGGAGATTTCTCATTTTCCATTGTTTACTTCCTGGGTACTGTGACGTGTGAATACCCAGAGGCCACACCCTCTGCCACAGCGACGTGCAGTCAGGGGAGGCAGGGGAGGCAGAGCCTCACCTGTCATACTCCAATGTAACGGAAAAACAACTAAAGAAAAACTAAATAGTAATAATAATAAAATGTCTCCACTGATCTGTGCTGTAAGTGTGATTTATGTATGATTCCAATCGCTTTTTATAGTCAAAATCAGTAAATTTGCCGAGCTCCGTTACGGGAGCGATGACAAGTGAGGCAGGGACGAGCTCTGCCTCTCGTAAGCCCACAGTAACTTGCTGGAGCGCGGGCACTAATTTAGCGCGGGCACTTATTTTGTGAGCGCGCTCAAGCCATTTACTGTGGGGTAGGTGAGGCACAGATGAGATCTGCCTCACCTCAGAATGTGTCACCCCACAGAGACTGACTGGAAAGCGGGCCCTAAGTGCATGCCTGTTACCATCTCACTGTAGGTCACCAATGTAATGTTTGTAGATCCGTTTATTACATTTATCCTCGCCATCCATAGTCTCTAAATAACTTATTTCACGTATATATGATATTTAGGCCCGCTGGTCTCATCATACAACGGCAATGAAAAAAGCACCAGGAGAGGCAGCCATAACCTCTGCCGCACTGAAGGGGGCGCACGTGAGCCCACAGGTTCTTGTTGCTACTGTAATTCTACGCAGAGACGGTAGACGTAACAACAAACTAGACTTTTGAAACTACAGGAAGATAAGGAGGACTTTTACAAAACAGTAATAGAGATTGTTGTCCAGAAGGATAGCATGGACTTCATCTTCAAGTCAAGGTAAGACCACAATTGTAATGAAAATGGGATCTTACTAAGAAAGAACAATCCAATATTTAGATTTTGGGTATCCTTTTGTTGAACGGTCTGTTTAAAATGAATCGAAGCATCAGACTAAAAAAGCTTTTGAAAATAACCGAATATTTCGATTAAGGTCAAAATATAATATTTGTAAATCTGACTCAGTGAGTCAGCAGCCTCACCAGCCATGAACCTCACCGCACGTCACTGCTCTGCCAGCATTTCACGAAACAAAGCTTCACAAACCTTTCAGCGATTCATGCCGGATATGTACAGCGTAGGGCACTGAAGAACGATGCTGTTCCTACTTTGTTTGGACCAGCGGGAGATTCGGGTACACAACCTGTAAGTATTCATTGTTGTTTGTGTATTGATGATGTTTAAAACAAACAAGGTATCTACCACGACTGTTTAAATGGGTAAACGTTTTTCGGGCTGCTAAGTTGGGATCACGGAGAAATGCTCTCCGCAGACCCATTCTCTATAAACCTTTTTCTTACTCAATATCAAGCCACACTTATTGTTTTTACTTCGGCTGTGAGTGTTTGTGTGTGCTCAGGATGAGTTTTGCTTGTTCTCGCTGTATCGCCGACCCGGAAGCCTGTCCGTTCCTCGCAGCAGATCGCAGCAACGAGCCTCGCAACTTCCCGACCAATCAGAGCACACTGGGCTCACAGGGAGGGGGGGGGCAGGAGCTCCAACAAGCCGTTTAGGACAGAGAGTGAATACCGGTGAATACACATACTTCACAGAGATGCTGTATGAGAAACCAATGTGAGTTTGGAAAATTGCACAGTATAAATCTATTTTAGTATACCTCAACAATGGAATTATGATCAGTAGAAATGGCCATGACATGGGCCCTTTAAGTATCATAAACGGTTGTTTGCCACAGAGCTTATCTTTTGCAATATACAGAAATCCAATGCAAAAATGCCATTGGCTTTTTGTAAAGGGAGTCCTTGCTGAGCTAACATGCGGGTCGGCCTACAAAATGGCGTCATATGTATACCACTCTATAGTGTATTACATCATGTCCTGAAAGAGTATTAAGATTTGCTCTTAACCTGATTGAAAGGTCATGACTGATGTTATAATAAAGATGATAATATTTTTACACATTTCACAAAAACAAAAAAAAATCTGGTTTTAAAACATGATTGTGTTTTGACCTTCAGGGCCACTGTAATCTACTAACACACGATCACAGAGTTCTTCTGCCCTGTATTTATCTCTGAATAGGCCTTTCTCAATTGCTAGTTTGCATATCCTCGATTCATCTCCTTAGCCGCGTTCACACCAAGTACTTTGCCGTACTTAGTTCCCCTATGGAACTAAGAGCCGATCGCGTTCACACCGGAATAAGTCCCTGAGGGAAGATTACGCAAATGAGCCGCTGACATCACTTCGTCTTCTTCTGCTTTGGGTTTACTGGCAGGCCGCAAACAACTTCACGCGTATACTGCCACCAACATGTCGAATCGGCGGCGGAAGGTGTCGGCACGGCCGAAAAGACACGACGGTGTAGTACACACCAATCTGTGTAGGGCGACACGACGGTGCAGTACACACCAATCTGAGTAGGGCGACACAACGCTCATCGACGGCCCGACATCTATCGACGCCGAAAATCGGCTTGGTGTGTAAGGAGCTTTAGTCCCATCCATTTATAGAAACTGAATAAAAAAGTATCTTTTTACAGGTGTAAGCAAGTATTTAAGGTGAAACCACCTGCTCTATTTCTTTTGAATAACTGGTGGTTTTTACTTTCCTGAAGCTCACAGGAAGTACCCGATGATAATCACAGAGCTGCGTCACACAGGAAGGAAAAGCAGACAGAAACTTATCTGTGCTCTGAGAACCAGAACACTGCTCTCTGACACGGAACCTCCACAGAAACACTGTGACAGTACTAATACCACACTGTGAAAATACTGTGTTACAGTAAACTGACTTATACCACACTGTGAAAATACTGTGTTACAGAAAACTGACTTATACCACACTGTGAAAATACTGTGTTACAGAAAACATACTAATACAACACTGTAGAAATACTGTGGTAAGGTAAAAGTAATAGTTACCTCACTGTGAATACTGCATAGTTACTAATTATACACTGTGAAAATATTTTATTACAGTAAAAAGTACTAATATCATATTGTTTAAATACTCTGATACAGTTAAAGCACTAATACCACACTGTAGAAATACTGTGGTAAGTTAAAAGTACTAGTTACCTCAATGTGAAAATACTTCCTTACAATTAAAGTAATAATAACACGCTGTGAAAATACTCTGTTCCAGTAAAAAGTACTGGTACCAGACTGTAAAAATACTGTGATAAGGTAAAAGTACTATAGTTACCTCACTGTAATAATACTCAGTAAAAGTAAAGTTACTAATACCACACTGTGATAATATTCTGTTACGGTAAACTCCCTGCATTATAAATGTTATTGTATGTAAGTATATTGAAATGTTGAAACGTACTGTACTGAAAATACCTAACAATACTGTGGTTATAATACAGTTTTTATTATTTTCTTATGTCATTGGATCTTGTTTTTCATTTTCTATGTATGTTTGATTGTTGTGCTTTTAATTGTTTCTTATTGTACATTTTTAAATATTGAATTGAAACAGTAGATTTGAAATGCAGGACTATTAATTATACATACTGTAGAGGTTTTCTAGGTAACTCTCGTTAAATCCTGTATTCGTGTCATTTTTTTCATTTTAAAACTGAAATACAGCAGTTAACAATAACATTTTTCAAACCTTAGTAATTCATTATTTTCTGAAAAAATGTAAAACAAAATGTACAAAAATGTTTATGTATCGCTAACAGTTTAGTCTATGAAACGTCCAAAATTGTTAAAAAATGGCCAATAACTCTTCACAGAGCCAACATGTGGTTTTCACAGTCTCAATTTTGTCCTACAAAATACTTTGTGTGTCAACTAAACACATGTATGGTTTTGACACATTTGTATGGCTTTCTTCACCAGGAGATTTATAATCCATCCTTGGTGTCTCTGTGCTTTATCACAGGAATATATGTATGACTTTTGTCCTGAAGTGAAACAAGGAGCCTGCTTTTAGTGGAAATGTGTCTGTGTTTAAACCCAAGCCCTTCATTTCACACCTGACACATACCGTAGAAGATCCTGAGTTGTTTCCTGTACGTATCATCTTTTACATTTCAGCTAGCCTGATTGTGTATCAATATATTCATTGAAGGACGACAAAGCAAAGATTGTCTACCCTTTAACCTAAGTCATGTTTCATTAAGATTTCTTTTACGTCTTTTTCATTTATTTTATACACTTTTTTTGCCTTTGTCAAATTCAATTGAATAATTATTTTGTTTTGAAATGTCTTTGCCTGAGAGAGAGGATTAAAGTCCTCAGAGTTTTCACTTAAGTAAAAGTACTAAATTGTAAAAATAAGTAAAAGTCTTGCATTCAATATATTACTTAAGTATAAGTACACACATAATGGCATCAAAATATACTTACATTTCCAAAATAAAAGTGCTCAAAATGCATTATGGCCCATTATAGAATCATATATATAAAATTACGGAATTTTGATAAGTAACTAAAGCTGTCAGATAAATATAGGAGTGGAATTATAAAATAGCATACAATGAAATTGAAGTACAAGTCACTCAAATTGTACTCGAATACAGTAATTTAGTAAATGCCTTCACCAGGCCTCCATGCTTAGCTTCACCTCCTCCAGGTGCATGCTGGGGAACAAATGAAGCTTCCTCCATGATGTAGAAGTCCCTTATTTAAAGGTGAGGATGTGAAAATGAGAGGACTCACCTGTAGACACGGAGGACGGGTGACGGGTGAAGCTTCGGCGTGTCTCCTGGCAGAGAGTGGTCCACATGAGGCAGCTACTGCGACCCAGCGTCCTCCATTTCTGAACACTTCTTCTCGTTGCACCTCCTCCTCCGTCGCTGTGCTGCACCCAATCACCTCGCTGCAGCTCCCGCCACGGACCCTCAGATGGCTTCTTCAAGTTTCCTATTCCAAAGCATCAATGCAAGTCAAAGAGAGTGAGCATCTGCCACTGAAACAAAAAACATTTCAAAATCACCAAATTTGAGCTCAGGTTTTGGTTGCCAAATAAAGGATGATATAGTACAAGCTCATGTATTACAACTTTACGATTTTACTTTATTAATGGCTTTTATAATTGTATGATGGTACGGTCTCTCTCTGTTAGTCATATTTCTTGTTCTCTTGTTTTACTTTTCTTTGTTTCTGCGATGAACTCAATGTGATTCTGAGTAAGGGTTGTATTCACCTTCAGCTCCCGCCACGGACCCTCAGATGCTTCGACGAGTTTCCTATTCGAGAAGCATTAATGCAGGTCAAAGAGATGGAGCATTCTGAAAGATAAGAAAATGTAATTCCAGCTCAAGGTTTAAGACTAAATGTGACAAACTTCTGCTAAAGTTGACTCACCACCCAGGTGACTCACCGACATAAAAGTGGCCCGCTCTGCTGCAGGAGGCGTGTGGGCTGATCAAACTGCAAAAACTGCAACTGGAGAAAAAAAGAAGCAGTTTCACACACAAACACCTCGAGCCAATGAGATGTAGCCGTGATGTTAGAGGCTGCAGCGCTGTGTGAACGCTGCTGCAACCGTCTCCACATCCTCCACCTACAAACAGGAAACCACACCGAGGGGAGGAAGCCGAGGCGCTCCTCTTCGTCTCCTCTATCTCATCCTTTAAAGAGGAGAAAAACGCAGAGACAGTCACCCAGGGACGAGGGAGGATAAGGGGGACACCTGCTACAAGAAAGGCGGGAAAACACACGAGTGAAGTTGCCAGATTTGGGCTGTTATTACCCCTATCAATCATCTTTTTAGTGGGCTGTGAAGGTAAACATGGTTCTGGTAAGACTGTGGTGATGCTGGGTAGTTTGTGACAATAAATGAAGACCCCGTCTCTAATCTCGGCCATCTCTATTTACATCTGGCCATCGCCTGTCTTCATTCTCTCAACCCGACCTCCCTCTCCCTTCTACCCATACGGTTCCCCTTCTACCGCATACTCAGCCAATCTCTTTCATCCCTCCACCCATCGACCCCCTTCAACGATACACCCCTACATCCATTCATCCCTCAATCCTTACATCCCGTCATTCAGACATCCCTCATCCCCTCATCCTCTGCCTGTCACTATTCATATTTAACTCGTGTATATTTAAAAATGTCTAGCAGGGAGCATTCCAAAGAAGCCATCTGTTAGAAAGTGAACCTGCTGGACTCGGCTCCAGACTGATATGCAAGTTGACCTAGGTCAGAAGCACACCTTCCCACCAGAGATCATCACAACCAATCTCTGGCCAGATTTGATCATGTGGTAAAGCGTACAAACGTCCTTACATTGTTGAATTAACTGTACCATGGGAGGCTGCAGTCGATGAAACGTACAAACTGAAACGTTTAACGTACTGGGATATAGCAACCGAGGCAGTACAGCGGGGATGGAGAACACAGGCACTCCCTGTGGAGGTCGGCTGCAGAGTTTGTAGCCAGATCAACCACCAGGGTACTTAAAAGTAGGGATGTCCGAGGGCAGACCTGATGGCCTGTGGGGTCACATTGAGGAGGTTGGATGGGGTCACAGGCCATCTGGTCGCTGGGAGAAGCCACGGACCGAAGTATCAACTGGCTGAAACGGAGGGATTCCATCTGGGCTGCAAAGTAACCAGCAGGAGGGGTAAAGAGGACGGGGGCCCTCTGGAGGTGTCGTGGGCCTTTCAACAAAACACTGAGGAAGGAGGGGGCCCACCTGATGACCCCAATGATGTTATTACCCCTTCATCCACTCAAGAAGGTGCCAATTAGTATATCAAGTCCTATGAGCTCAACTATACTTGTTGGGAAAATACTAAAAGTACTCTTTCAAGGATGTGCACATGATAACGAAGGCCCAAGTGTATAACAGTGTACATGACAGGATGTATGATTACCAAGAAGAGAAGACACTGTTGTAGGCATGTGATAGCTATGTGACAACGATTAACATGATTCAGCCTATAGGAGAGACATGTTTTATTGTAACAATATATATTTCATAATAATAATAGATGTATTTTGTTAGCGCTTTTACAGGTGCTCAAAGTCGCTTTACAGAGATAGTGAAAAAATCTATAAAATCAAGCAATACAAAATCAAGGTTGTGGGAGTGAGTTCCAGAGGGAGGGGGCAGCGACGGAGAAGGCTCTGTCCCTCCAGGTCCGGTGATTGGTGCGGGTGGGGACGGATAGGAGGTTGGCTTCTGATGATCGGAGGCAGCGGGAAGGGGTGTGGTGGTGCAGCAGGTCTGTGAGTTAGGGGGGGGTGATTGTTGAGGGCTTTGTGAGTAATGAGGAGGACTTTGAAGTCGATTCTTTGATGGACGGTGAGCCAGTGGAGGTTCTGGAGGACGGGAGTGATGTGGTCTCGGGAGCGGGTGTGGGTGAGGAGGCGGGCAGCAGAGTTCTGGATATGTTGGAGTTTATTGAGGAGGTTGGATGGTATGCCGTAGAGGAAGCTATTGCAGTAGTGGAGTCGTGATGTGATGAATGCATGAATCTGGGTTTCAGCAGCAGAGGAGGAGAGTGATGGGCGGAGACGGGCAATGTTTTTGAGGTGAAAAAAGGCGGTCCTGGTGATGTGATTTATGTGGTGATTACATTTGAGCTGACTGTCGAAGATGACTGAGGTTGCGGATGTGAGGGGGGGGGGGGTAGAGTGTTGCTGTTAAGGGTGAAGTTGAAATTCTGGATGGTTTTGGTACAGGATTTATTGCCAGAAGCAAACAGTAATGGTGTTTCCCCGCTGTGCGACATTGGTGGTGGTGGAGGCATGAAGGGATTGATGGAGGTTGGTCTGAAGAGGAGTGGTTTAAGCTTGATGTGAACCCTGGTTCGGAGAAAAGGAAGGTGGAGGGGGTGGTGGAGGGGGTGGTGGAGGGCTGCGCTGAGTCACCTGCAATGACAGCTGTCAGGAGGGGAGAGAGCAGATTTAAAGGTTAGACGATGTTCTATGATTGGCTTGTGGGAATAGAGACAAAAGTGATAGGTTTAGGGAGTGAACACCCCCAATCGCTGATTAGAGGGGTGATCGTACTAAGAAGGATATACGTGAATGACAGATATAAAGACGGTCTTCCTGGTTGAACTTGCGCTGAGCTTCATGACATGGCATGATCATTTCTGACGTGGGTTTTAGCTAATCTAAACATTGTATACTGCTTTGAACCGGTATTCGTCCATCTTGTGACTGTGTAACTCCCTCTCTTGTATATCAGCATGTGAAGGACACTGTTCGGGAACTAGTTGGACCAAATGCTCTGTATGTGATGACTACTTCCATTCTGCAAGGATCATAAATACATGGATCCTGTTTTGAAACTCACTGACGAGTGAGATATTTCTAACAATACTAAACAATACTATATTTGGACATTTGATCAGATGTTTTACAGAAACGTACAGAATCTTTCGAACTACCATACATTTAACCAAAACATACCTTTTCAACCTTTGACTGGATTTCCCCCCAAAATCAGTTTACAATTAAAGGCAACATTTTTGAAGTCAAAATTGTGAACAAATGCTTTTCATCTGTTCTTAAGGTCACTTGGTAAAGTTATCAGAACTGAACCTGAAAATGAGCAAAGAACAGGAGAAAACACACATAAGGAACATTTGGTTGCAAAAACAAATGGAAATGTTTGGAAAGGAGAAAATGTATCAAAGACAGAAACGTTGTCATCGTCTGGTGAACTTATTTTTCAACAACGCAATAAAAAGACCTTTTAACAGAACAAACATTGCATGTTTTCTCCTAAATTCAGCCCTAGTTCCTGCTCTTTGCAGACGGTGTGGTTCTGTTGGCTGTCTGAGTTAGGCCACGGTAGTCTGCAGGGGGGTTTAGACTGGTCGTTTGTGAGTTTAGGGGGGTTTCTCTGGGGCTTGATCACGATTAAAGGCAAGGTTTCTTTTGCAGCGTCAGCAGGAACATGGAAGGTCGTAACGGACCGCTGTGGCGAGCCAAGCCAAAAGACAAAGCTTTAGATATACAAGTCCATCACAGGGCTGGGAGATATGGATTATAATAAAAATCGATATTTATGTCCAAATACTTTGATATCCATGTTGCGATGATAGGTAGTTAGCTATTGGTGCTTTCACAAAATATTTATACAATGACATTTTTTATAAATAACCATCACTGATGTGGAAATACTGACTTTTCTGTAAAAACAAATAAAAACAAATTAGAAAATGACATAACTTTCTTGTAATGCCCTTAAACCTCTCCTTAAGGCATTACCAGTCATCATGTATATGTTAACCTTAATAGAGTTATTACTTTAATGGTTTCTTTCTTTCTTTTTTTGCTATTAAGAAGTAATGTGAAGCTTGGTAGGCTTTTAGCAAATACATTTTTAGGAATGTGATCTTAAACCTCTCGTCTTTTGTAATTGTTTTACATTTTAGAACAATCATTTGATTTTACATTTAATTGATCTCATTATCTACCATAACTGCAAAGGGATTTTTACCTAACTATAACTTGTTAACATTTGAATTGATATATTGATCGTATTGATCTATAAACGTACTAATAATTGTTATCATTGAGTGGTAATGACTTTTTAATGGTGCTTGTCAATTTGTTAGTATTTTTGCCTTTTTCTTTTATGAATGAATGAATGTTTTAAAATCTAACTTTTGCTTTGAATATAAGATTCAGATTTAAAGGAAATACTCAAAGGTCTGAATGTTGATGTTTAATTACAGCCGCATCAACAGATTTGATCATCTTGTTTCATAAAAACTCTGAGCTAGATGATAAGAAAACATTTCCATCAAGTGCAAACACACAGACATGTGACAAGTTCATTCCTGTTTAATATTTCACAAAAAGGTTTGCTAAAATAATTTGAGAATAATTACAAACTTTGCTTATCAACATGAATTTAAAATGTAAATAGAACGGAATGTTCCGCAGCGTGTGCTCTACCTGCGGACACAAACGGTGGGGAAATGTTTCCTTCTTAAACTCAGCTGCGAAGAAAACCAAAGTTAAAATAAAATGTCCGAGCTCTTAAAATTCCCTTTATCATCGGAAACATTTTAAAATATAACAGGATTTAAAAGCAGGGCTGATATTTGTAAACCAGAAGGATAATAAAGGTTTTCTGGTTCTGCTAGTGTTATAATTAAACTACAAACACTTGGTTAGGATTAGATTAATAAAGCGTCTTCTGTATACAAAATAACCCGAGCTTGCACAATGCATTCTGTGTTTTGGTTACAGAGAATAGGAATATTGTCTTTGTGTTTTCTGGATCTCCAGCTGATCCCAGACCAGCTGCTGAAGGTAAGAAAAATAATAATTACAGTTTACAGATGCGCAACTTCTCCCAGGAGAGTCCTTCTATGTCACGCCGCTCTGAAAACACTTCCAACCAGCTTCATGTTCCCGGGCACGGTCAATTTTATTTTTAAAGAAAAAGAGTCCAGAATTAAAATATAAACATGTCCATAAACTATTCTGCATGGCAGATAGTCCGATCGGTCCAAAAAAATATTAAATATATAATAATAAAATGTGTCTTCAGATCAGCACGCTGGACACCGGGACTCTGGTGGAGCGGCCGCTCTTCGGGACCACGATGGGCTCGTCACCTGGGAACAGAGGGAGACAAAGGTAGGTTTATTCTGTTGCACCGCTGAAAGAAATCTGAAACATCAGACTGATTTTCTCTATGTATAATATGGCTTTGGTCAAGTTTAGATAGATACATACACTTTATTGAAATGATTTTGTTACAGAAGCAGTGTGCTCATCATTGAAATACAAATACTTAAAAAGTGGAATAGAGAATTAACAATAAAAAATGAAAAGGAAAAGGAAAAATAGCATATCAATACAAACAATATCAACTATTCTGGATAATAAAAATCTGCTTCTTTCTTCTCTACTAACTTTTTACTCCACTACATTTACTTTAGTTGTTTGTTCAGAAAACTGAGAATGTTGTATAACCAGTAGTGATGTTTTTAGCGAGGTGTATGTGTCTTTCTATCAGAATATAAAATATTTTAATGAGGCTCTATTCTGCTTCTCTGGGTTTTCTATTTCCTATAGTGTGTTCTATAGGTTTGTGTGCATGGCAAAGGTCTACACAGGCTCAACTCCCTGTCTCCCCTCCAGAGGGAGTTTCTCTCCCACACACTGATCTCATTCTGTATTCTGCTTAATACCGGTGACAAAGCTGATTTATTTTGGAAATGATTCTACATGTGGCCACTCACTTCCTGTCAGGCTCACCTGTGGGGACGTAGTTCTCGGCGCGGTTGCGGTCGTGCTCGATGAAGAGGGCGGTGAGGAGGAAGAAGCCCCCCCCGATCACAGCTACGAAGGCGCAGAGCAGCAGGGAGAGCTGCAGGGAGCGGAACTGCCACAGGAAGGAGTCCGTCTGCTGCAGGGAGTCCGACACCTGACACACACACACACACACACACACACACACACACACACACACACACACACACACACACACACACACACACACACACACACACACACACACACACACACACACACACACACACACACACACACACACACACACACACACACACACACACACACACACACACACACACACACACACACACACACACACACACACCACACACACACACACACACACACACACACACACACACACACACACACACACACACACACACACACACACACACACACACACACACACACACACACACACACACACACACACACACACACACACACACACACACACACACACACACACACACACACACACACACACACACACACACACATTAAAAGAGACTCGCATTATTACAAACCTTTCATATAGTGATTACATCATATACTTCGACATTATTTCATTTGTTGTTCATTTCAAAATTAGTTCTGAAGGTCAGTTGTATTTTTAATAATAATCATTTGGGTATTTTTGGTTCCATTTCATCCCCAAAAAATACTTGTGGAAGAGAATAAAAAGTGCAAGGCATTATGAGAGTGAGTGAGTGTGTCAGATCATTGTGTGTGTGTGTGTGTGTGATGACCTACCACTCCTATGAGGTAGGGGCTCCCGGCGTCTCCCAGCAGATGAGAGAAGACGATCTGCAGAGCCTCAGCTGTGGCGCGGCGCGTCGGGACCACCACATACTGACAGAGGCAGTAAATAAAGTGAGTTATTATAAATATATGTACAACACAGAATCAGTCATTGGCAATAAGTATCTTTGATCTCAGGCTCCCTCCAACAATGCTCATTAAATATGTTAAAGAATCCAAGACCTAAATCAGTGCAGAAGTTACTATGTAGATATAATAGTTGAACAAATGGTTAAAAAATGATATATTAGCCACCAACAAGTCAATATAGGTCAGCGCAGCCATTCAAATAAACTTATCTTGCTTTGAGGCTCAAATAAATATTTTTAGACAATTGTCAATAACTTACATTTTTGTTTGAAATGTACATAAATTGTGAGCTTTGGCTTGACATCTCAGACGATTCAAGTTAGCTAAAGTTAAACACAGGGTTCCCACACCTTCTCAAATACAAATTCAAAACCTTCCAGGCCCATTCCCCTTATATCAAGGACCCAGAGCGGCACATTTTGAGACAGGGCTCAGGCTCTCACCAGCAGGATGTCGGCCACGATGGCCCAGTTCATGGACAGGAAGGTCTCTCCAAGGAAGATGAAGATCTGAGGGGACAAACAGGAAACAGCCTTATTATTTGTGTCTTCTCAGACTTGTATTCGTCAGAGAAGGACTGTGTGAGACTCACGTAAGTGGCGACGGTGCTGGACTGAGCGAAGACGATGGCGAGGTAGAGGAAGGGCGCGGAGAGGAGCAGTCCAGCGGCGCAGACCAGCGGGTCGGCGCGGGCGGTCCGCGTCCGCAGCTTCCTGCTGATCATCACGCCGCTGGACACGCCCAGCACCCCCGTCACCACGGTGATGGTGCCGAAGATCAGACTGTTGGAGGAGGAACAGTCAGAGAGTCAGGGGCTGCCCTCCTGATCACAACCAGCAGGTGTTCACATATTTGAAGAAATACAAATGCCAATTGTTTTTATAATGCAACTGTTGCTGTATTCAAAAACTGAAATTGTTATGGGTATACTTATGCTTGGGTTGTTTTTTATTTTCACAGTCAAGCTCATGTGTATTAATACATTTAAGTTATTCAGATTGTATAAAAATAAAAATAAATGGTTTTATTTAAAGCAAATTATGTCCTGATCCACATAAAACATAATATATTTATTACTTTATTTTTCATGCAATGTCAGATAAAATAAAAAAATTAAAAACTGTTTCATTTCCTAAATCTGCAAAAATAAATAGTATATTAATAATATTTCTGCCATTCAAGCTTTTAACCCTAACCTGTCTTGGTTGTCACCACAAAATATATTTATTTTCAGGATTAAAATCTTTTGAATTTCAGTGTGTTTACATAACTCCACTGTGCACAGCATTTTTAGATAGTGCTTTTAATGTGACATTTTCTATATTTAATTTTTAATTTACTATTTTATTTTAGCAGCTGAGGGTCATCCTGCCGTATGCATCAACACAGCTGAAATGCTCCAAACAACTCAAAGATAAAGCAGCTAAGAATGCCTCTAGTGATGAAATGGGTCAGGGCTAAAACCTGGGAGCAGACATTTCCTCTACGCTGCCATGGACAGTTATTTGCACTACTGAATATATTTGTACTGTTGTAATATATTCATATGTTTCCGTTTAGAAGGCCAGACTTTCTTTCCGTTGACATGTGTGTTTATGCTCACCTTTCCGTGGAGGCGCAGTTCCCCTCAAAGCAGGGCGGCCTCTCCCCGTTGACTACGGCGGCTCTGAAGAGGAACGTGGGGGCCCACAGAGCCAGAGAGCCGGTCACAAAGGCCACGGCCGTGAAGCCCAGGGTGGAGAGCACGAAGCTGCGGCTGCACACACAGAGAGAGAGAGAGGGGAGAGAGAGAGAGAGAATTAGGCACATTTCCATTATTAATACAAATCCAGAAACGATCAATTAAATATTGGCTACATCTAAAAGAAAGTGACCCCCACTCCTACCACCACAAAGCCCTGCAGCATCAAGAGATGAACAAGGGAAAGAGTCCCCTCTCTCAGCTGGTCCTGACACTCTGTTCACAAACCGGTCCAAACTGTGATCTGCCTCAGGACCAGTCTGAGCCCACAACTATTAGAGTCAACCAAATTATAACACACAAAAAACTACCTCACTTATTGGAACACACCTCACATCTTATATATCTTATATCATATTCTATTTTGTATTAATGTATTATATGAATTAAATGAATCTGTATTCCTTGTAAGAAAAAAAAACAACATGTTCTTGCTTAATGTTCAAATTCTTAGCAGTTTGTTTATAACTGTTTATTTGTGTATAGATGTTGCAACTATCCAGAGCTTTGGCAATACTATATGTAACTATGGTCATGCTAATAAAGCTATTGAATTGAATTGAATTGAATTGAATAGAGAGCCAACACACCTGACCATTTCTAACAGGAACATTTGTAATCAGTTCAACTTTCTAAAGCCCTTTTTATAGATGGAATATACGTCAGATCGCTGTTTTATCTACCTGTTAAAAGTATTTTTTGTATTTCAAACGTAGCTGTCCGTTGTGCAAATGTTTACAGAAAGAGCTGCAAGTGTTTACACAATAAAACCAAAAGAAATGTGCAAAGTGCTGCCGATTATGGCACGTTTTCAGAAATGTGTGGATTCATTTCTTTTAAAACCCTACAGTTATCCTCCTGCATCGTCAAACATGAGCTGCAAGTATCCTTCTGATTAGTGACACGCAGGGGTTCAATTGGGCCGGGGCTGTCCGGGGCTCACCCCCAGCACATAGGACGATGCTATGACGTCATCACCCTCGCACATTTGTCATATGTTTAAAAAAAAAAAACGCTATATATGTTAAAACTTTTCTCGTTCTTAATATATGCTATATTTAGGGTCGATATGTGTTGACTTTACTTTAAAATAGCAGATCTCTGGGACCGGATATCGTTTTTCAGACTCCGCGGCTCCTCCGTGCAGAAGGTCTGTGGCGGTGTGCGTGTGTGTGTGTGTACACAGAGAGTCTGCGGCGGTGTGTGTGTGTGTACACAGAGAGTCTGCGGCGGTGCCGCCAAACGACCCGACCCGTCTTGTAACACGGAGCTCGTTTCTTAATCCATGCTAAATGTATGTGTGTGCAAACAGCTGAGTTATGGTCGGTCATAATTCAATAGTTTACAGTGAGATTTACTCACACACCTTTGGCCATACTCGCGCAGCCCTACAAATGAACTGAGATTTCCACACAAATGTTCTTTAGCAAGTGTGCAGAGCAATGTTGATTTAAAATATAAATTTGAAGGTTGGATATTTGTAAAAAATATGTTGTGTATATATTAATAATTTAAGATGTAAATGTATTTATTTGTAGTACTTACTATTTGTATTGTGTCATTTGGTGGCATCAATGTGTGCATTTGATACAGATAATGGAGCAGATACTTCAGGGCCTCATATACAGTAAAGCCCTTAAGGTCAAATAACAAGACCCCCCCCCCCCCATATCAAATCCCAATTTAACCCCTGGTAACACGTGTAAAATCAGCTGTAAGATGAAGAGTTTTGGATAGAAAACAAAGGAAGGAAGCCGCGACAGAAGTCAAATAATAAAATATTATTGTGTGATTGCAATGGGTTGGTCAGCGTGGGTCCCATGGATCTGTGCAGCACTCGCAGAGAATAAATTCCCCTGTTCAAATCTGTGAGGTGTGTTTGGAAGAGAGGGGCGTAGTTTCTTGTGTTGACCGCAGAGCAAATACTTCCATAACTGAGATTATTTATAAAATGTCTCTGTGCACATTGTAATAAGTTGATTTATTTTATTCATTAAATTACACATTTTAACTGCATTTTTTGGATCCCAGCAAAACATTTTTGAAAGCGCGTCAGACAAAGGTCGCTACATATTGCCAGCTTTCCATATTGATTTTGATTGGAAACGACAATCAGATCCTAAAATGTAATTGTTTATTTTCAAATATTAAAAAAAGTTTTAAAAAATATGTTTAAAATCAAGATGTTTTGGCACAAAGAAATGTGTTTTATGAGGTCACAGTGACCTTTGACTTTTGTTCACCGAGTTCTAATCAATTCATTCTTTAGTCAATGAGAGTGATTTTGGCCCAAAGCAAGCCCTTACAAAGTCTGGTCTCAGAGTTCTAATGAGTGAGAGGAGCTGAACGTACTTCTTGCTGAGCACCTGGACGTCGGTCAGCCAGCTGGTGTGGTGCAGGTCGGTCCGGGCCTCAATCGCCCCTCTCCTGGGCTCCTGCACCACCAGCAGCAGCAGCACCACGGCAACCAGACCCAGGCCTGGGGTCACCTGGGACACACACACACACCGTGAGAGAGCACCAACAACACCATCAGTAACATCAGGAGAGAGAGAGAGAGAGAGAGAGAGAGAGAGAGAGAGAGAGAGAGAGAGAGAGAGAGAGAGAGAGAGAGAGAGAGAGAGAGAGAGAGAGAGAGAGAGAGAGAGAGAGAGAGAGAGAGAGAGAGAGAGAGACACACAGAGAGAGACACAGAGACAGAGAGAGAGACAGACAGAGAGACAAAGATAAAGAGAGAGAAAGACAGACAGATATATAGACACAGAGACAGAGAGAGAGACAGACAGAGACACAGACAGAGACAGACAGAGATAGAGACACAGAGACAGAGAGAAAGACAGACAGAGAGAGACAGACAGAAAGAGACAGACAGATATATAGACACAGAGATAGAGAGAGAGACAGAGAGAAAGACAGACAGAGACAGACAGAAAGAGACAGACAGAGATAGAGACACAGAGACAGAGAGAGAGACAGAGAGAGAGACATACAGATATATAGACACAGAGACAGAGAGAGAGACAGAGAGAGAGACACAGAGAGAGAGAGACAGACAGACAGAGATAGAGACACAGAGACAGAGAGAGAGACACAGAGAGAGAGAGACAGACAGAGATAGAGACACAGAGACAGAGAGACAGAGACAGACAGAGAGAGAGACACACAGAGACAGAGAGAGATAGAGACACAGACACAGAGAGAGAGACACACAGAGACAGAGAGAGAGACACACAGACACAGAGAGAGAGACACACAGAGACAGAGACAGAGACAGAGAGAGAGACTCACCCTCAGAGCCCAGTGCCAGTCATGCGCTATGTTTCCAACCTGAGACCCCACGATGTATCCCAGCCCACTGCGGGATGAAAGGTGTGGGGGGGGGGGTGTCTTATTATTATTTCATTTGTTATTATGCATTATCTATACATGTACTCTGTACTTCCTCCTATACACTGAAAAAGTCTATAGTGCGAAGAGAAAAAAAAAGAATAAAAATAAGTAAGAAAGAACACTTCCTGTGCGATACGAATAATAATAAATATTATTTAAAGGTCCCCTAATATACTGTTTTTCATCAATATATAATAGGTCTCAGATATATACATGTCTCTGAAGTGGAGATTCAGGTGATTGGCTAATGCTTACACAACCCAAAAAATCATAAAGTGGCCAAAATCGGATCAGCTCATTTTCAGAAAGGTGTTTATATAAATCAGAACAGGACAAAAAGAGAGGGGGTCTTTGTTCCTGAAACTTTCAGAATCTCTTTACACAGAGGGGACACATGTTTATGTAGAAAAGACAGGAAAAAGTGCATTTTGCACAATAGGTGACGTTTAAAGAAGTTTTTGGCTGCTTATTTTATTCCAGTGCAGGAGTACTTATAAAGAAGCAGGGTTTACAAATAGAAACATAACATCACTACTAAAGCTGCATAGATTCATCAATTACCAATAAACTATTTCATTAATTGTGAACTATTTTTTTGATTCCTGCCTCTTCAATATGTTACATTTCTTGGCTGGACAAAACAAGAAATGTTTGTAAAATGTTCTAACAAAGCTCCGGACCTGGGGTGACAGGGCCTTCGCAGCAGCCTCCCCCACACTCTGGAACTCCCTCCCCAGCCACGTCAGATCCGCCAACACTCTCACATCATTCAAACAATCCCTCAAAACTCACCTTTTCACTCTTGCCTTCAACTCCTAATCAACTAACCCCTTGCCCTTATTCCACCTAGCACTTTCTACTTTTGTTGTTATTTTGTTTTACTTGTTTGTAAGCACTTTGAGCACCAGGAAAAGCGCTTTATAAATGTAATGTAATGTTGTATTATTATTATTATTATTATTAACAATTTAATGACACTGTTTGTTTCCTGAGACTCTGGTAATGTACTAAAGGTGATATATCAATTATTTTAGCAACCCTAATTCCTAAATGGTTCTTGAGTTTACATAATAATGCTGATTGGTCCAGTAAACCCACCTGCCGACAGGGATGGCGAAATAGAAGATGGAGAGCATGTTGGTCCTCTTCCCCTTCACGTAGAGGTCTGCGATGATGGTGGGGGCGATGGTGGAGTAGCTGGCCTCTCCGACGCCCACCAGGCCCCGGGTCAGCAGCAGGGCCCAGAAGTGCTGCAGGGCCAGAAGAGGAGGGGGAGGATTAGTTTGGGATTTTAAGAAATTAAGTTAAAGTGAAAAAAACTGGTTAGCATCTTTTGGTGCCTCTATTTAGGGCTGATCAGAGGGCATGTTTTTACATTTTAAACTGTATTTATTATGTTTGACTTATTTTTTATCTTTATATATTTATGATTTAATTCTGGCCTTTTTTCCATCCCATAGAAACTGTTTGACTATTACATCATACCTTTTGAAAATGGCAGGTGGTATTTTGATTGGCAGCATCATAACTATATTATTTAAAGGGGACCTATCATGCAAAATGCACTTTTTGATGTCTTTTATACATAAATATGTGTCCCCGGTGCGTCGGGGAACTCACGCAGCATCAGAAAATAAAACCCTTTCTCTTTTCCTCCGTACCCAAATCTTTTAAAAAGCGAGCGGATACAGATATGCTGCCGATCTGACGTCAAATCGGCGGCGGACCCACAGAAAGTTGCTATCAGAAACAATGCCGGACGTGTTTTGGACGTAATCTCGTCTTTGTTTACATTAGCAAGCCTGCTAACACTCAGAGCTAACCATAGACTGTATATATAAATGGACGTAGTGTCCGTGACGTCACCCATAGGATTCTGCAGAGTTGCCGAGAAGCCCTTAGTAGGCGGAGTCGGCCACTAAGGTCTCGACAGTGACGTCAGAGTCTAACTCCCACCTGCTCCAGCCTGATCCAAATAAGGGCAAAGAGGCGGAGACTAGGCGGGACCTGCTGCCACCGAGCTGGAAGTAACAGAGCTAGCTCAAGCTAAGAAGCTAAGCTAACATGAAATACATGCATACCAAGTTACTGCGTGGCACTTTGGTTTTGATAAAACAGTGTAGTTCCACTGTATAAACGTTACATTCATAATCAAACGAGACAATCTGCAAGATAATTAGCTATTTTTTGTTATTCTTAATGCTTGTCATTCACACGTTAATAAAATAAAATAAGTACCGATACATAGCAGAACAATTGTGGCGATGTTCAGCTTAATAAGCCTTGTTCAACATAATTTATTTAGCTAATATTACAGCGGGCTGCAGGCGAACCAAGTCCGCGTTTCGCTGCATTCCTTGATCTCCAGTTATAATGCCGGACTCCGCCGCCCGGAGCTAACGGAGCCCCCTGCGGCTCCGTTAGCTCCGGCGGCCACCACTGGGATAATTGGGTCCCCTTTTAACATTTGCTCCCGTTTAGCATTATGGGCGTCATAGCCATAAGGCGCGTTCACACCGCAGTACTTTTCCCACTTTAGTTCCGATATAGTTCCGAAATGTCGCGTTCACACCAAAAAGAGCCGGAACTAAAATTAGTTCATGAGAACCTTTTTACCCCCTTTTCCGTCCCTGCTAGAGAGCAGGGACTTTCGTGGGAGAAAAAGGTTCCTATGTCTGATTGGCTGGGCGGAAAGCAAACCACGCCCCGTAAAACTCCCAAAACGTTTTGTGAAGCCGCCATTTTATTATCCTCGCATTAGCATTATTAGCATTAGCATTAGCCTAGCGCAGAAACGTAGAGAGACTAACTTATGGCAACACAAAAGAAAACATGGGAGCGGTAGAGATGAGGAGGTGTCGGCGTTCTGGCGATTTACTCGGAAGGCTTCAGTAGAGGCTGCTGGGAGTCCCAGCAGCCTCTACTGAAGCCAGTCCCTAACTCCGGGGACTTCCGGCCGGGGACTTTGGGCGGCAGTATACGCCGTGAAGTTGTTTGCGGCCTGCCAGTAAACCCAAAGCAGAAGAAGAAGAAGTGACGTCATTTGCCTAATCCTTCCCCAGGGACTTATTCCGGTGTGAACGCGATCTGTACTTAGTTCATGAGAACTAAAGAGTTCTGATGAACCTTTGTGGGAAAAGTACTGCGTAGAGATGGGCGAGTCCTGATTCATCCGGATCATTAACCCGGATCCTAGAAATGAGCTGGTCGTGATGAGTCTCCCCTCTCCATTAACCCGAGTCCTTTGAGTCCCACACTTGGTGTGACGTACAAATTAAAACTATAAATTGCGTCACTCGCTACTCTCTTTATAACATGTAAAATCACATTACAACGTACCCCAGTCCATCTGCCTACCCTTTAGCAAGTATACAGGATAGCTGCCTGCCAGAAGTTATCGTTTGGCTCAGGGGAAGGGACGCGGATCAGTGAAACTTCCTGCAGACTCGTGGGGACTCAGAGGAGCCGACGGCTCCTAACCGTAATAGCATAGCAGATCCAGAGATCCATACTCGTCATGTGCACGAGCATAGCCCCTCCTCCAGCTCCCGGCTCCCGCGGCTATATTATGCACGAGTCAACAGCAGACTCAGAGATTCGCAAATCCTGACTCACTGTGCAAAACATAGCTGACTCGTGCGGACTCAGAGCCGTAACCGTATAGCAGCAGATCCAGAGATCCAGCAGACTCGTCATCATGCACGATTCAACAGCAGACTCAGATTCGCTAAATCTCAAAATGACCCTTTTTTTTGTGATCAATATGTTTTATTAAAGCAAAATACACCACTTTACACACATAAACACCAGTATTGCAATGATTACGCAGTCCATGAGAAAATATGGGGGGAATATGATTAGATATAGCCTAATTATATGTTTAATAATAATAATAATTGTATAATTAAGACATTTTATATATTCTAACTGTTTTGCAATCATTTGTCATTGTTTGTTTCTTTTTGTGTGCTATGTTCAAAATAAACGTTTTGCCAAGTAAGATCCTTATTGGAAATGCAGCTATTACACGCAGGAGACTGTTGCACAACATGACCATTTTGTTAGAAGTCTACACTGAAACTTCATTTAGAGCCGGAAACATAATGGACTTGATCAAAATCGCGGGATCCGTGAATCCAGGTCAATGATCGAGAGAGACCAGTAGTCTACGAGTTAGTCAGCGGAACTTCACAGACTCAGATTCGCAAATCCTGACTCGCTGCAACACACAGCAGACTCGTGCGGACTCAGAGCCGTAACCATATAGCAGCAGATCCAGAGATCCAGCAGACTCGTCGTCATGCACGAGTCAACAGCAGACTCAGATTCACCAAATCGCAAAATAACCCTTTTTTTTGTGATCAAAATGTTTTATTAAAGCAAAATACACTGTGTAGCGGAGGTTAATATAACGTCAGTTTAATATGCTCGTGAAATGCAACACGTTTTCGGTTTCACCGATAGGATTTCTACGGTCTTGGTGATGCTGACTCATATGACTCAAATGACTCGTATGATCCGGATCTCTTCAATGACTGACTCAGAAGACCCTGAGTCCGTAAAAGGATCCGGATTTGCCATCTCTAGTACTGCGGTGTGAAAGCGCTTATTGACTATAAAAGTCTTACCCAAGGCTGAATCATAAACTAAACTGTATATGTATGTATGTATGTATATATATATATATATATATATATATATATATATATATATATATATATATATATATATACACACACACACACACATGTATAAAGGGTTACGTCCTTAGCTGGCTAATAAGCTATATAACAAGTTAAGCTAACAAGCACACAAACACCTGCTAACGGGGTTAACATGTATAATATTATCATTTTAGACTTCTTGGAAGTTATGTTAGTACATTCAACCGCACAGCACGACATTTTAATTGTCTGGTATTTGTAACAACATTCCCTAAAAGGCACAATCACGGCTAAAGGGTCAAGTACAGTAACTACAACTAGCTAACGTTGTAGCCTAGCAGAGTGGACAAGTTGCTGTTAGCTGACAGTGAGGCACGTACTAGTGATGTGTCGGTCGCGAACGAGCCGATTCTTTTGAACGGCTCTTTGGTACGAACGAGGGGAACCGAGTCGTACTTGGTGAGAGCCGTTCTTGTTATCGTTCAATCGCTGGTCCGCACTCACTGTCTGCCAAAATCCACTCGCCTTTTAAAAAGCTTGATTTTGTTCCCCAAACGTATTCTGTGAAGACCCGCCCCTACTCTGATTGGTAGGTTTCAGCACGAGGAGTGAGATGGGGTGGGTCTTAACGGAATACGCGCGAGAGAGAAGCCATAACAAGTGGTACAGGACAGGTAGACGACGTGTTTTTCGGATGGAAAATGAGCCAAACGCGAAAACGCAGCAGCATTTGGATGCACTTCAACCAAAACGCAGGCAGTGATAAAGTGCACCATTTGTAAAGGCAAAATATCCTTTAAAGCAGGGTCAACAAATAATCTCTATTGCCACTTCAAAACACAGTAGGCCTATCTAATATTAAGAGTTGCATGAATTTCATTCAAGGCAAGGCAACTTTATTTACTTAACACATACAGAGGGTAAATTCAAAGTACATTCACTGACATGAATGACATGGATATGGCACCACCTTGTGTCATGTTTACAATGCAGATTATTGACATTAGGTCTGGCAATACAGTCAATCATTATCCTGGTGATTATTTCGCAGATAAACCTAGTAACCCCGCCCCCTTTTAAAAAAACGGCTCTTTTGAACGGCTCTTTGAAAGGAACGGAGCCATAAGATCCGGCTCCCTTCAAAGAGCCATAATTCCCATCACTAGCACGTACCTGTCCATCAAAGTGACAACGCCCTAATTTATGCAAAAACGTTAAGACCTAATATAAATAAAAGGGTTGCGTTATAAAACAATTCACTCAACAATTAATAATCATAAAGGTGGAATCTAACTATATCCCGAATAATGTTGTATTGCATCCAGGGGTAGAAACATGTTTATTTCTGCTGTGAAGTTGGGCATTTTAACATGGGGGTCTATGGAAATTAATCCTTTCTGCAGTCATCGCCTATCGACCAATAGATGAACTGCAGTTTGTGGCACTTCCTTATTGGCCTCCCGGCTCTGCCCCAGAGTTTGCCGCTTGGAGCTAACCTGTACTGTAGAGCACATGTGTTTAAAAAGCAGGAAATTAAAAAAGGACCCAAAATCTGCATTTCTCTAACAGGGCTGCAAAAGAGGGGTATGAGCAGTATGAGGTATGGCTACAATGGGTGATCTGTTTGGTATTCTCAGACATGTTTTGTATAGGTATGGCCCTACAATATATTTTTCCAATATAGCATAATAGGTCCACTTTAAATTGAGGGACAATAACCATTTTAATAATACAAATTGTTCCCCATAATTTAAGCTTGATCTTTCCCCATTTCTCTAAATTTGTTTTAATCTTTTGTAAAATTGGGTTAAAATGTAGTAAAATAAGTTCTTCCAAATCTTGACATATTTTGATTCCAAGTTATTTCATGCCTTTCGGAACCCATTTAAATTGGAATTTGTCCAACATATAAGGATGGCATGAGGCATGGCCTCAGAATTATTCCAGTTGACTGTGTATCCTGAAAGTTTAGAATATGAATCAATAGTATTCATTAAGTTTGGCAAGGACATCAGAGGGTCTGTTTATATATTTATGATTATATTTATTTAAAGCGTTTTGTATTGAAGCAGAATATTAAGTAAGATCATTCTTTTTAAATTATTTCCGATAAATATTGAATTCCTGATTTTTGAAGAATGGGGAATTTCAGAAACAGAGCTTTTATTTTGAAGGTCTGTTTCCTGCTGTGCTTTGCAGCATTTATTTGTTCTTATTCCTGCATATTCCTTAAACCTTTAAGCACAATCGTATTTCAGTATACCATACGTTGCAATGTTGAAGGAGCCTGGCATTTCAGATTGTCCTTGACAACAACTCCCTGGGTTTTTGTGCACAACACACTGAAGCCTATGAAAAAGATGTATGTAGTTGTGCAAGAGGAAATCAAGAAGCCGACTCACCTCTTTGGGGGTGTAGGAGCTGGCGAGAGTCACCAGGGACCAGAACAAGATGCCCACGCTCATGATGTACTTCCTGTTGTACCTGTCGCCCAGGTAACCAAACACAGGAGCCAAGAACATGTAGCTGCAGATAAAAACTGGAACAGACAACAACACTCAGAACTCATCTTAATACATATATTACACTTATATATATATATATATATATATATATATATATATATATACAAATACTATATAAATATAAAAATGTGTACGATTATGATTATGAATATAATAATAAATAAAGTAGAACTTGCTAGCTAACTATTATTAAATTAGCTTGCTCTAGTTTATGAATTCCTCTTTATATTTCCACATTTAGTGATTCTTGTTCTAATAGCTAATATGTATATAATAATCTAGTTCTGTTTACCAGTTTGGAGCAGGCCGGATTTCTCATCGTTAATCCCAAAAAAGTGCTCGATGTCGGGGAGAACACCTGGGGGGGGGGGGGAGTTGGGGGTTGTGGGGGGACAAAGAGGCTTTCATTTGACTTCTCAGGAGACAGACACACAATCACCACAGCTTTAAAGACAACAACAAAATATTTAAAGACGGCATCGGGATTTTACAATTTACTTGAAATTAATTCTACTTTCCTGAATGTATTAATTTATTTTTCAAACTATCATTTGGTAAAGAATAAGGGCAAGATGGCATGTGTATATTTTTTATTCAGATTATATATATATATATATATTTGAATAATAAATACATTTTTTATACATATTTATATTTGATTTAATTTAAGCCTTTTTCTAAAGAAATGTATATTACTGCTTTAATCGAGACCAAATGATTTGTTATCCAATGTTATTTTGATAATGAAATGTTGGTCATTTTTCATATACGTTACAACATTATCTTGTTATAGGCCTGAGCTTGTTAAACAGTAAACTGATGACAAAACGAAATAAATAAGTACAATTAGAACACAAAATAAAATATTTTAAAAGCAAATAACTGAAATAAAATAAGGGAGGAATACAAATAATTGGGGATGGGACGTTATGATCCTCACTAGCTGTCTCTATTGTTTACATAAACAAACTTTTCATAATGCAGTAATTATTTAATGCATATTATTCATTGAGGGATTCATCAAAGTGCCTCTAAATATATGCTTCTAATCAATATCTAATATTTATTTCTAGAAGATTATTAGGACATTAGGAAAAATAACAGTTTTTCTTACAACCCATCTTCATAAATCTTGTGATATTACATCCCTGATCAGAATCAGGTTTTGTAGCAGGTAGGTTCACACGTACGAGGAATTTGACTTGGTGTCAGGGTGCATACATACAAATAAAACAAGAATTAAAAACACAGATAGAGAACTATTATACAAAATACAAAATATAGCAGTATTTACATAGAAATAGAATGGAATAAAATATGGAATAAAATGTGTCAGTAATAAAAAAAGAAAACAGATATTGTGTACATTGTGTGCATGTTGCCTTTGGGAGTAAACATCTTCAATAATAAAAAGGTCAGAATGAAAGCCTGTGAGCGGTGTACCTGCCACAGTGAAGCGGTCCATGTAGTTGAGCAGGTTGATGTAGCAGAGGACGAGGACGGTCATCAGGGCTCGGACCTTCGACACGCCACTCGCCTCCTCCTCCTCCTGCGGGCGCGGAGCCCCCCCGCCCTGCTCCTCAGGACCCTCCGCCTCGCTCTCATCGGAGAAGAACGGCACCACGTCCGACGCCTGCTCGCTCAGAGACATGGCCGCCGCTGAGGGGGGGGTCAACAGAGACGGTGAGTGGAGAGTCAAGGGACTGCCATGAAAATACACTATTAGAATATAAGAGAATTATCACAGAAGTAATGTGGAGAGAAAGGAATACAATTAATAAGGGCAAAGCAATAAGAATAAGTCAAATGAAAAGGATAAAACAAATATTTAACCTTTTTTTTTAAAAATCATTATAAAAGAAATATCTAAAGAAAATCCAATAATAAATAACTATCCATTTCAAAATATATTTTCAAATTAATTGAGAAATAAATCAATAAATAAACGCTAATATAAATTAAGATGCTAAGAATTATTATTTTATACGGTGTTATGGTTTATTAAATATTTGTATTTGTTCCTTTTTATAATTATTTTAAATGTGGTTTATTTATTCTCTTTTATTTCTATCTTTACTTACATTTTATTTACATTTCTCTTTATATTCCTACATTCATTGAAACCTTTTTTGTTTACAGATGTGTCCTTCTTTTTGGCACTCTGTGCAAAGTGTCAGGACAGATAGAAATGAATTTGAAAGTGAAACATAAAACAATGAATCGTTCTGTGTCATGTGTTTGGCCTGAATTAGTTGTGCAAACAAACGGTAGCAGCAGCTGCACCGGAGCATCAGGTTTACTGATCATGTGGGACTGAAGTGACACTAAACATCTCTGAAAAGTCTTCTCCCTCTTCCCCGTAGGAAGGGTTGGTGTTCTGGTGCCTCACAACAGTGAATCAAAGTACATTTGATGCGTTGAACATTTTACAAATATTGCATTTGTCATTTATGGAGGTCAGGAGAGGCCAAAATAAACAATAAATGAGTAAATGAGTAAATGAATGAATGAATTAATTAATATGCAATTAAATGCGCAAAAATAATCATAAGAAAATACATTCAGGCTTGAATTGATATAACTTCCCAGATAAATTAAAAGTGAAAAATGTCCAACACAATTTCTCAAATTGTACGGGTCGTCTTTAAATGTCTTGTTTTGTCAGTCCATAATAATAATAATAATAACAATAATAATGACTTCTTATGATATACACTGAGAATTTCCATATTTCAAACAAAGCTTTTTCTGAGATGATTGAATTCATAGTGACTCTAACAGATATTTACTTGTCATAAAAGAAAAATGTTCTGTCCATTCTGTCCAAAAATAGATATGTGAAGCTTTGTTTTTTACAAGACAGATTGAAAGTGCTGAATAGGGGTATTATATAGTTGGGGGATACGCTATATTGTGTTATAAATAACATTAATTATAAAGAAGAAAGATAATCCATGACAAAATATAATAATGTAATAATCGTATGCTTTAGACTATGGCTGAAAGGCATCAGCAAGGATTTATTTCTAAGAATAAATCATGTTGCACAAAACCTTAACCCATCGAACAATTAAGATAGATTATATTATTAAAAAATGTGTAACACTTGTCTCGAAACAGAAAAATCAATGTTAAGTCTGTTGCACGAAAACAATTTAAAATGGGATCCAGTATTAACTTTGAACTAATAATGACTGACTTTTTGAGACAAATCTATGCAAAAGAATCACTTTCTTGACGCACATTAAAGGACAGAAAAAGGAAGAGAGATGTGAGCTTCTCTGTCGAGCCATCACGAGTAATGTTAGTTTCACTAAACTGAGCCCAGTTACAAGAAATCCCCTCGGACTGGGATGGTTCTCTTTTCTCACATTAATCTAAAAAATGGTAAATGAGATAAAAAATATTTAACATGATAATCAGTAAGGTTATGTTACCTTAGCTCAGAACCATGCTATCATAGCCCCCCAGTCTATATGCTAAGCTAAGCAACAGTACTTGAGTAAATGTACTTAATAACATTTAAATTAAAATAAAACTAACTCAGAGTACCTTAAAAGGCAACTTCACTGCCTGCAGAAAAAAATGTCTTGTGCTGGACAGAAGTGAAGAAGACGTGACCAGAGAAAGTCATGTGATCACTAAACACAATGGCCAGGAGCTCATGACAAAGAAGGCTTCTCAATTCTCTAATTCCCCTCCTCGACTCCTATCCTCGTGACTTAGTCCCGCCCACAGGAGATTCGAGCGGAGGAGTCGAGGAGGGGAACCGAGGAGAGAGGAGAGGAAGCAGCAGGCGGTTAGAGAAATGAGAAATCCTCTCCTCTGAGCGGACGTCCATTAATGATGACACTGCGCTCTGTCTGATGGACAGATGTGTTCATGACGATTTATATATTTACTTTTAATTCATTTACAGTGCGGTATAATGAGACAATAACAGGCTACAGATTTGGACATATAAACACACATATATTTATATAAATATATACAATTTCAGAATCAAACAAGTATGAGAGCACTCTCATAATAACGTAACACAATCAGAGACTGGATATATCAATGGATGCACTTGTTATCTTGAATGTGGCTTAATTACAAGGAAAAGGGCAGACAATGATACTTAACCAGTGTTAACCTGCTGTGTTGGACCTTGCTCCATTCGAAAGTGCATTTCCTTGATCATAGGGTTATCAGTTTCAGGACATGATCATATCATTAATCTCAGTAATCCACACAATTTCTTGTCGGATGTTCCTATAACTGGCATTTTAACTTCTTTAGAGACTCACGCTGTGTGCGCACGAGTAAATAATAAGCCACTGCTAAATATAGGCTACCAACAGTTAACCTACTTGTTGGACACCACTCCAGACTCCATTCAGAAGGATGACATGTTTAGGTACTCTGCGTTGCATACAACGTTACTTTTAGAGTGGTGATGAAATGTCTTGGGACGTTTAAAAGGTGTGTAATGCAAAACTCGACACGTCTTTAAGATGATTCTGAAACAATATGAACGACAGTCCAGACTCAATTCAGAATTCTGCCTGTTTTATGTTCCTCGGTTTGCAACGAACTAAACGTTATTTAAAACAATTAAAAGGTAATTAAATTAAATGATGCATTCGGCCTACTCAACAGATGGTTTCACCAACGCTTCGTTATAACCTATGAATATTTTCTACAACGCTCAATATGAAAAACAGTTCACCGAGAAAACAATACATCGCCTTCATAACAGTTGAAAACACGTCGCTAAAATAGTATCATGAAAAAACGTAACAATGACACTATATTGATTGCGTGTAAATGATGCAGGACGGTATGCTTACAATAAATACATTATCCTTAGTAATGTTTTAACAAAAATAAAAAGCAGACAATAAAGCGAGGCTAAATTCGCAATATTTTGAATGGAGTCTGGCATGAGATGTCTCGCCAAGTACAAGATAAAGGTACGTAGCGAAGTTTATCAAACCTTAAGTCTTATCCGTCTTTATGAGGAAACTCATGTGTGTAATAATTGTTGTTCATTTGATGCAGATAATACGCAGCTAACTGTGGTCCAGTGATCCGTTGTTGGTGTTGTTTACCTGGGAAGATGAGTAAGGGCTCTCGCTTCCTTCTTCTCGCTGCCGCCGCTTCAAATATCGTCTTCGTCACACCGAGCTGTGAATTTTATTCAAACTCCATTTTGTTGCTTTAATCAAAAATGCTACTTCATAAGAACAATCTTTACCGGGAAGCGATTTAAAATATAAAATCTTAACTCCAGGAGACTTCAGAGATGACAATTGTGCACCGCGGCCATGTTGGCTCTGACCAACCTTCCGCTTCGCAGCTCACATGACTCTGTGGTCACGTGACAATAATAATGAAATGATTAATTTAATCAATTTGATGAAAACAGTTATTTATATCATAATTGTGTCGTGTATTCATTTCAGGCTTTATTATTCATTACGTGGTGGGGAATTTGTATTATTTGATGAGTATATCTTTATTACATATGCATATTTATTTATTGCATATGTATGTTCTTTAATTACATAGCACACATTTAAATCCTAATAGGTATATATTTTTACTTTAAAATGCAAATTGATTTATTTCATAGCCTTATTTATTTTACAGGAAGATTTATAAATTCTTAGTCATTACGTATATTTATTTATTTCATAGCCATATTTGTTGTATAGTCATGTTTATTTATTTCATCTACATATTTACTTATGTCATATTCAATTGTATGTATTTATTTCATAACCATATTTAAATATTATCTGCATATTAATTTATTTTGAAGCCATTTATTGTATTTATGAGTTTTAATTTCTATCCATATAGATCATAGGCATATGTATTATTTCAGTGACATACTGATCTATTTTATGGACATAATTATTTAATATATAACTTTTATTTATCCAAAGCCAATTATTTTAATGTCAGAGAGTTATTCATTTCAGTCATATTTTTCTATTTCCAAATTCATACATATTTATTTCATAAGCTTAGTTATTTAATTCAAAGCCATATTTATTTTCTTTTATATATTCTAGCCATATTTATATGTCTATGAATTTATTATGTATTAATTATACGGCAATTCATAGTTTCTGGAAAAATAAAAAATGACAAGCTGCCATTGTAACAATAAAAATAAAGACATTTTAAATGAATGGATGAAAAAAACACATTTTGATAGTCAACAGCATTTTGAATGTAGGACTTTTACTTTGCAATATTTTAACAATGTGGTTCCGTTTCTTTTGTAACAATATATAAATACTTCTTCCACTATGACATAAGTAACTTCTAATCATTTTATTATTTCCAGTAACAGTAAAAAATTAACAAGTATTATTGTACAGTCACAAAAACATTACAAGTATACAATTGTACAATGAGGGCTTATTTACTCTGTTTAAAAAAAGAAATGGTTTATCATATAACCCTATTAACTCTGTATTTAACATCTACAAATAAAGTGACTTTTAGAGATAATGTAACTGCACTACCAAACCAGTAGATTTCCATTGTTTTTTGTTTTACTATTGCGGAAAATAAGCTCTGTGGCAGACAAACATTAATGATACTAACACGTTTGGTTCTGCATTATAATTTATAGATATTAACGCTACTGTATAATTGTTGAAGCCTAAAAGCAATTTCCAGAAGTAAAGTGTTAACGTTAGGCTAAACGGTCAAAAATTCCTTTTTGTCACCACGCAAAGCTAAATGCGGCTAATGTTTGCTGTGATGGCATTTAGAAGCTTGAAAAGTGGGTTAATAAAACCTTAAATCTCTTAAGCTTGTGTTAAGCACACACCTTATTTCATGCTTCTAATGAAAATAACATTCCAAAAAAACGTTGAATGAGACGAGTAGGAATAGCTAAAATGAAATTAAAAACGAATTTCAGGGGTGTAGGACTCATCCCTGCAGCACGCTATGGTTAATGCAAAATGAATTGATCTAGGTCCAAACTTCGATGATGTCACCGTCCTCCATGTCGAGCTGTGCCGGAGTCTGCCTGTCCGTCACTTTGCAGCCGTCAAAGTGGAAGCGCCACTTACTCTTGGAGGGGGCGGACATCTTGGACATGTACTGGGAGAAGATGGAGCCCAGCGGAGCATCCTGAAAAACAAACACACATTATTATTATCATTGTAATAATTATTAATATAATAATCTTTGTTGGAAAGTTAATAAATACATATACTCCAGTTCTTACTTCCCGTACCAGCAGCTAAAACCATATTAAAAACGGCTAAATCAAAAAAGAGACTACAATTCCCATCATGCCTATTAAGAGAAATAACTTTGGGCAACCTGTGTGGTAGTACAGTGAGCACATTTTATAACAAATAAACCTCTTGTTTCTAAAATATATATTGTTTATTTTACTTTGTTCTAAAATAGAGAACATTTTACAAAATCACATTCCAGCCTGGGAAAAATAAAGAATTCTGATTCTGTTGTAAGTTCTGTTCCAAGTTCACATTGAAGGTACTTGAGAATTGTTATTTTATGCTACTTTATACTTTTACTAAACTAGAATCTTGGTGGCAAATGTTGTACTTTTTACTCAATTACATTTATTTGAAAGCTTAAGTTACTGGATACTTTGCAGATTAGGATTATATTACAAAATCTATATCAACTAATACATTATGATATTATCATAGGGTAAGCTACGCAGTAGTATATCAAGTAGTTTAAAAACCCCACATTTACCAGCTGTAAAACTGAAGTGATGAACACAATAAGGCATTTAAGTTTATAATTTAATAATAACATATATATCATTCTTCATGTCGGTACTTCATGTGTTCGGTTCTTCAAGTATATTTAGATGTTAAAACGTTTGTACTTTTACGTAAGGTAGGTTTTAATGCGGGCTTTAACATGAGTATATTTGCATTGTTGTATTGCTATTTTTAACTTAAAGGTCTCCTATTTTGCTATTTTTAGGCATATATTATGGGTTTCAGATATATAAAAAAATATATATAAAAAACATGTCAGTTTGCTCAAAATACCAAACAGATCATGCATTTTAGACATCCCTCTATTTCAGCCCTGTTAGAGAAGTGCTGATTCTGGGTCAGTAGCTGCTGGCCCCGCCCCCTTTGGAGCACGCAGGCACACTGTGAGGTCTGTGACGAGCTGTCTGATCTGCTCAGATGCAGCTAAATGCTGCCGTGATTAAACACCATATCATGTTCCAAACCACATTAAGGATTATTTCTGAAACAGTATGGAGCTCAAATGCTTTTTCTCTTGCGGGTTTACTAAAAGGTGAGTTCCTTTTATTTCCTGCTCTTTTACACATACTCTCTCCAGTACAGGTTAGCTCTGAGTGTTAGCGATGCTTGCTAATGTAAACAAAGACCATATTACTTCCAAAACACGTCGTGCATTGTTTCTGATAGCAACTTTCTGATAGGGCCGTGGGTGTAAAGCCAGCCCACATTTCTGATATTACGTCATATTGGCAGCAAATCTGGATCAGCTCCGTTGTACCTCGGTTTTTAGAGATTTAGGTACGGAGGAAAAGAGAGAGGGTTTGTGAGTACCCTTACACACCGGGGAAACATATTTATGTATAAAAGACATTAAAAAGTGCATTTTGCATGATAGGAGCTTTAAGTTCCAAATATGTGAGTACTTCTTCCAACATTGATAATAATGTGCTGCTGCTGGAACAATAAGAAAGCTGATGCTAGAAAGAAGAAGAAGAGGAGGCAGAAGAAGAGGAGGAGCAGAAGCTGTACGCACTCTGTGCAAGGAGAACTCCTGAGAGGAGTCTCTGTCTTTGCTCTGTAGCCTCACAGTCAGGCTGCTGCTGCTCTCTGTGGCGCTGCCATCTTCTGCTGCCATCACCACACACTCTGCACGGCACACATGAGAGAGAGTTAGTGAAAAGTTATAAAGTTTAATTTTGTGCTGCCATGTGCTACTTAAAACATTGTGCAATGCATGTGTGTAAATCTGTTTTTGTTATGTGACCAACTAGTTGCCCTAACTGAGGAACATATATACACAGATACAAATTATGTAAACGATAATACAAAAAGAAAGAGAAAAAAGGTAGGGAGTCCCTTGCCCACGCCTTAATACATTTGGGAGTTTCCATCGTGTTACACATTATTTTTGGGCTGCAGTCAAACCAGCGAAGACCCGCCTTTTCTGATGGTTTAGTAGGTTAAGAGAGGAATCATCATTCAACAATACAATATTTGGGAGACAGGGTATGTGAACTCCAATAATCTCAGATACAATGTCAATCACTTGTTTCCAGAACTTTCTAACTGCAGTGCATTCATAAAACATGTTCCAATAGTCCTTTGGTAACACAGAAGGCATATGGGGCTTGGAATCATCCTTAGTTGACAGCATTTCCTGGTTGACAGGTCATATCTGTGTATCTTATACTGTATCAATTGGTGATGTGGATATGTGATGTTATTCCATATTCTCTTCCAATCAATAGCCTGTGTGTAGTTTTTGCGATATGCGGTCTGTACTGCGGAGATGCCAATATATCCGGTTGAACTTTCCTGCAGCTTTTTATATAAACTTAACACAAAAAGTAAGGAAATTTGTGTTTTGTAGATTATTTATTTGTTGTAATTGCAAGATGTTTCTTTAACCCCTAAATAGGTAGGAAATAATTAAAGAAGGACATTGGAAGCCACTTCTCAGGAGGAGCAGAGTGTTCACTAATGTGAGCCCTGCTCCTGCTTCTCTCTGTTATATTGGTGCCCTAAACCACCACATCATGTAGCACTAGTCAACGATAATGATTTGGTGCCTTCTAGTGGTTTACAATTTGTGTTGCTGAAAGCCTCAGAAACACAAAATAATCTGGACCTGGAATTGTTTGTTTGACTTCTGTTGTGTATGGAGTCACAGGAGTGCCTTATCGAAGAGTAATAAGGTTAAAGAAAAAGAAAACTATAAAGAAAATGAAACGGATACAAAAATAGGGAAAAATACAACTAAATGAATACATTTCATTTTTTTATTTCAAGTTTTAATATGAATATATGATCCTTTCACTAACTTTTTTTATTTAATGTTTGCTTATCAATTTTGCTACTAAAGAAATAATTAACATGTGATGTCATGTGACCCACCGATGATGTCAGCGATGCCGAGGCCGAGTTCGCCGACGGTGGAGTTCGCCGGGAGCACCTCTTCCTTTCTCAGCAGCATGAGGCGAGGGGGAGGGGCGTCTAGGATGACGGATAGCCGAGTCAGCACGTCACTTAAAGGCGTCGACTTAAAACCAAAACAAACCCTGTGTTAAACAATGTAACGGTCGACATCTTAACGTACTGCTGCTCATATAATACTATCAGAACTGTAATTTCGTAACAGCTGCTCCATCTTGGAACTTGATAAAAATAAAATGAAATAATACAAAATGTATAGAAAAATAACAAGTAGGAAAAAAAAGTATAAAGCCTACAGTTCAAAAATAAATAAAATAGGGAAAATAAGCATACGTACCGACAGCACGGGGATCTTGTGTACGTGTGTCATGCAGCGGATCTTGAGCGGTATTTCCCGTAACGACTCGCTGTACGGAGAATTCTGAGGGCCAGAAATCGGGTTTATGCAGATGATATCATCGTCTTCCTCGATGAAATGCCGTCTTCTGGGTTCAGGGGACTCTATAGTGTTGGCCGCCCTCAGCTTTATGTCGGTCTTACTGACGACCAAAAACACACAATGTTTTATTTATTTTTTGTGCAAACCACTTTGAGTTACATGAATTGTGCTATATTTATTATAGATGTCACAATTCAATTTTAAAGCAAGATCTGCAATTCCCCTGGTTATACGGATCCCTCCCCACCCCCACCTACTTCCTGAAAAAGTCCCAACCTGAAAGTCCCGCTTACAAAACCTTCTCTCTGTGCTACTTATGAAGATTTTTTTCATAGATATATGCAGAATTTATGAGATAAAAAATGTTGATGTCCCAAGTCATTTCTGAACCTTCATAAACTAGATTAACTTCAATTGCATAGCAAGGTACATAAATCAGACACAATTCTGAATTGAGATGGGTGACTCGAGAGATATCAGCTGAAGAGCTACGTATTGGGTAGCACAGGATCCGGACTCACTTGATCATGTTCTTGGCATGTCTGGACTGAAGCACCTCCGGACTCCCTGGAGGAGACGGGGAGCTAAAGATGGCCCTGGAATAAAAAAGGTAAGGTTAAGCGTCTTTGAGTTTTTAGAAAAGCGCTATAAGTGTCATGTATTATTATTGTTATTATTATTATTATTATTATTATTAAGAGAACATGTAGATTTTATCTTAAAAGCTTTTAGTTTTATTAAAGTAGAAGCCACAAATGACACATATAAATGCAGATTTATTGATTTTGTATGAGCCATTTATGTTTATATATAATATATATTTAATATATCGTGCAGTGTTATTTTGGACAATTGGGCCTGAGTGACAGGAAAGGGAGCGCATTAATAGAAAGATTCAACATCAGACTAGTTTAACTACTTACGGTTGTGTTTTCTTCAGAAGCACTTCTGTTTCGTCCTCCTCGGAGTCAATGTAGGAGACGGCGGTTGTTCTGCTGCTCGGAGGGAAAAACTGAAACCATAAACTGTCGTCTGCCCCGTCGTCTGCCCGTCGTCTGCCCCGTCGTCTGCCCCGTCGTCTGCCCCGTCGTCTGCCCAGAGACGAAGACAGTCACATTTACAGATTAACACCAGATTAACATCTTCCAGACATTGGGTTTAAGTCTTGTTCAAATATTTACCTGAGATTTGCTTCAGCTGCAAACCGTTGCTTACCTGATTAAAAAGACAAACTCAGGTAATTAAAAACATAATTATAAAATGTAAATGATTTGCAAGTATTTCAGGACATCAGAAATGTCATCAACACACACAAAGATCTTGCACATTATTATGCAGTGAGGCATTTACGACCAGGGGCCATTATGAGTTTTAAAAAGGGAAAAAACTAAGAATTTCCAAGATTAAAGTCAAGGTATCTTTGGGATTATAAAATCACAAAATTACAAGAATAGAAGTTTAAGGTAAGTATATTTATATAGCAAATGTTCAGACATAAGGGCAATTCAGAGCGCATTAGATCAACACTAACACACAATAGTTAAGAGAGAAACAAAAGAAAAGAAACACAATAAATAAACACAATGGAATAACAGATTCATAAAGACCATTCATAAAAGAGTTACAGGGTAGTTTAAAATCAACATTGTAAATACGGATGATGCTGCAAGAAGTGTAAGGATAAAACAAAGTTAAATGACTTCTGGGTAAGCAGCAGTACAAATAAATGTTTTTAACCTCGACTTAAAAGAACTCGGGGTTGGTGAGGACCTCAGGCTTTCTGGGAGAACTCAGACTTCTTGTAGGATTGTACATTTAAGAAATGTTTGCAATTTTCTTTTCTGTTAACAAAACCTCATCAATTCATCAACTCCAGCACACCAATTTGTGCGCTTATTGTGAAATGTATCACTTAAGTCAGAGAAAATGTAAATGTTATTCCTGTAAATGTCTAACTTCTTTGTGTAAATGTACTGCTTTAACATCAGAGAACATTCAACCTTTTCTCTCTTAACCCTTAGATGCATAAGTGGGTCTTTTTGGACGGTGAGGTGGTTTTCTTGAAGTATCTTTGTAATTAAAAAAATGTATCATTTCATATTCCAGCTATTCCTCAAAAAACATGTTTTTCATATCATGCCATTCACATTTTTAATTTACATTTGTTGTTTTAAGAAATTGTAGTTTTTGTATTAGTACCCCAAGCTTCCATAAGTGGGGCAAAACTGACCCGCATGCATTTTCTATGGAATCCTATGGGAAAACATTTTTTTTCAAAATGTAAAAGACATTTATAAAATTATATAGTGAAAAATTAAATATAAAATATTTCTAGTGTGAACCAAAATATAATACTAAATATTATACAAGAGATTTTTCTTAACCAAAATGACAAAAATTGCATAAAAACACATATTATTCTAATACGGGTCCTTTTAGAACCACTTATGGAAGAGTGTAGGGTCCAGTCATTCGTGCATCTAAGGGTTAAATAAGTGAGATTTTTTGTCCTAACTTTACCACTTAAATATCAGAGAATATTGGATCTTTCCATCTTCAGTTTAAACATTTAATTTCAAAGTATATTTGACGTAAATGTGTGATTTGTTTCTCTTGTTGGTTGGCCTTTTATTTCTAATCTATAATGGCTCGTATACCGAATGGCCCACCAGCTGCTGTGTACCTGGTTGGTGTAAACGGGGACCGAGATGATGGCTGAAGGGTCCAGGATGCGTCTGCGTTTGGGCTGAGGATTCACAGCCTCCTGCTCCTCGTCAGACACCTAAAAAGCAGACAGACGGAGACAATAGGAAAAAGGGAAATATCCAGTGAGCGACAGTTATCTGGGCGAAAATGCCTTGCTGATGCCAGAGGTCAGAGGTCAGAGGAGAATGGCTAGACTGGTCCAAGATGATAAAAAGGCAACAGTAACTCAAATAACCACTCATTGAAACAAAGGTATGCAGAAGACCCTCTCTGAACCACAACACGTGGAACCTTGAAGCAGAGGGGCTACAGCAGCAGAAGACCAGGTTCTACTCCTGTCACAGCTAGGAACAGGAAACTGAGGCTACAATTCACACAGGCTCACCAACATTGGACAATATAAGATTGGAAAAATGTTGCCTGGTCTGATGAGTCTTGATTTCTGCTGCGACATTCAGACGGTAGTGTCTGAATTTGGCGTGAACAACATGAGAGCATGGATCCATCCTGCCTTGTATCAACGGTTCAGGCTGGTGGTGTAATGGTGTGGGGGATATTTTCTTGGAATTTTTTGGGCCCCTTGGTACCAATTGAGCAACGTTTAAACGCCACAGCCTACCTGAGTATTGTTGCTGACCATGTCCATCCCTTTATAACCACAGTGTACTCATCTTCTGATGGCTACTTCCAGCAGGATAACGTGCCATGCCACAAAGCTCAAATCATCTCCAACTGGTTTCTTGAACATGACAATGAGTTCACTTTACTCAAATGGCCTCCACAGTAGGGCTGAACGATTAATCGATTTTAAATCGAAATCGCAATTTTAAATGATGCAATTATCAAATCGCAAAGCCTGCGATTTTTTTAAGTTTTTTTTGTTCTTCTTGTGTGTCAGTCATCCACACCAATCAGAAGTGCTGTGCTCCACATGTACCAGTCATTGTTAACCAATCAGAAGTGGCCCATGATAGTAGGTGATAGACAGATTGATCCAATCACCTGCCTAGTATATTTGAAATACTTTTCCAAATGGCTTCCAATGGAGCTTTCCTAGATGGTTTGGTGAAACAAAGCATCCGAGTCAGGTTAGTAATGCTCCATCACATGTTATACATCTATTACAGGGTGAATCTTAAACTGAAGCTTGACTTTAAAGCAACCCAACGGAAGTTTCATGTAAGTTCACTTCTTTCACTCGTAGCTCGGGCTGCGGGGGTGCTAGAGACGGGAGCACGTTGATACGACCTTCCTAGCCGGAGATATGGCCGCATTTTACAATAAACTTCCGTTGGGTCGCTTAAAAACAAATATCGCAAATCGAATCGCAATATCTGTCAGAAAAATCGCAATTCAATTATTTCCCCAAATCGTGCAGCCCTACTCCACAGTCACCAGATCTAAATCCTGTAGATCACCTTTTGGATGTGGTGGAAAGACTCTGTACAGGAAAGGTGTATCTAATAAAGTGGCCGGTGAGTGTATAATTAAAGTACCAAAAGTAAAAGAACTCATTATGCAGATTGGTCCATTTCAGAAAAATATATATTGTATGTTTTGATTATAATTATTGATGCATTAAAGTGTTTATAAAGCTGGTAAAGGTGCAGCTAGTTTGAATGACTTTGTATACTTTATACCTTTATACTTTATTTATCCCAAAGGAAATTGTTGTGCCAGAGTTACAAAAATACAATAAACACAGCAGCATAATAACAAAACTGTACACTAACAGTGCAGTAAAAAGAGCAATTCAATAACTAGAAGAAACATAGATAGTCACACAATTAATGTAAAATACTGTACAGTGATGAGCAGTATTTAATAGTGCAAAAAAACGTAGTGGCAGATAAGTAATTGCACGTTAAAGTATGAGGGGCCGTACAGGCCGTAATTCATACTGGTCCTCTCACTGAGTATACATTCTCCTTTTACATACATATATTTTCACTAGGGATGCTCCGATCGCCAGAATCAGTATCGGCCGATACCAGAGGTGGGGACTCGAGTCACATGACTTGACTCGAGTCAGACTCGAGTCGCATATTTTTTGACTTGAGACTTGCTTGACTAACATTGATAAAAGACTTGACTTGACTTTGACTTGGTATTCATGACTTGAGACTTGACTTAAGCTTGAGACAGATGACTTGAAAGGACTTGACTGTTTAAAATTAAATATTTGCGTTTGTTTTTGTAGTGAGATATTACGTTTAGTTTTTTCGAAAAACGTGATTGGGTGATTATAGCGCCGTGCGCGCAAACCTGGCAACCCACTAGACGGCAGGAGCGTCAGTTAACATGGCAGCGGCTAGCGTTACTCCAAAAATAGTGAAGTTTGGATTCAAGGATTATGTTGTTGATGACGTTAATAAGAAGATAACAGCGGTATGCAGGGTCTGCATTATAAAGATCAGTGACACGACCACCACAACATCCAACTTCATTCGTCACTACAAAAAACCCCACAGAGAAAGGTGCGTGAATGTGTTGTGTTAGCTAGAAAGCTAACGTTAAGTTTAAGCTACGTTAGACTTGGTTTCAAATCGATTAAGCATTGCAAAGAGAAGACAAAACGGTAAATGAACACTAGAACCTCCAAGGGATTCATTTTGACTAACCCTGATACTGACGGGCTGTCAGGAGAGAGAGAGAGAGAGGGAAAGAGATGCCTCGTTTATTTCCCCTGTGTTATTATCAGAAGTTACTGTAAACTGTTGAATAATGTAGTTCATCTACTTTTAGTAGTTTGTTTAAATGTTTTAATTATGTTGTTTTTGTTTGTAGAAGTGCATCATTCCTTGATTTATTGTAAAATGAATCTGAACTTTTTGATCTGTTGTGATGATAAACTGAAGCAATTTCTAAATGAACCCAATTAACTGAGTTTTAAATCGTCCTACTTAGTTTATAAGGAAATTATGAAGAGGAACAAATTAAATGATTTGAAAATGATATCTATGTAGGTGCTGACGCTGTTGGTGGTTCTAGTGTTAACAGACATTTAAATTAAATATGTGTAATGGCAAATGCCATATACGATTTTCTTACCTGGAATTCTGCCTTTTTGAACAGACTTTTTGATTGAGTCCTAGCTATATTGTCTGCAGTTCTAGGGTTAATATTGATCTAATATGATTGCCATCGGTCTAAATTAGATTTCAAATGATTAACTGTGTATGTAATGAAGATCATAGTGTGAGTTGAATCCATTTTCATAACCATTGTCTTTTAACTGATTTAAATGTGGAAACTGGGCTTATTCATCAGAATGTTGTATGACTTGACTTGACTTGCTTGACTCTCACCACAGTGACTTGGGACTTGCTTGATACTTGTAGGTCAAGACTTGAGACTTGCTCATGACTTGCACATGTAGGACTTACTCCCACCTCTGGCCGATACCGATCGAGTGGGCGGGGCCTATGGGGATCTTCTATTTAAACCATATACAGTCTATGATTTAAACTGATGTTTAAAACTCAGTTAATGGGGCTCATTCACTGGCGCTTCCACAAACAACAACCAACATAATTATTACATTCAAATGAAGTACATTATTCAAGTTTACATTAACTTTGGATAATAACACGGGAGAAATGAGCGGAAGCGCTCTCTTTTCCTCTCTCCCCTGACAGCCCGTCAGTATCGTCTCATGCAGCTCACTGATCCAGTAATGAGTGACCCGACAGTGAAGAATAAACATATTTATAACTAGTTTAGCTAGTTCCAGAGGTAGATAAAATAGCTAAGTGTGTTAGGTCTAACTCTTATTGTGTGTTTTGCTCCGCTCACCGGTCCGTCACAGCGGGCGGAGCTGCAGGATTTCTGCTTCACACACACGTTGCATACCGCTATTTTATTGTCTTTTTCGGACACCTTCAAATACTGGTGAAGCCATTTGGCGAGCTTGTTTTGCCGCGCACAGAGAAAAGTGTCATGTATTTTACGTCATGTGATCGGCTCTCCCGGTCGGCCTTTATAGAGGGCACCGATCGATCGGCAGAGAGTGAATATCGGCCGATATCGATCGGCGGCCGATCGATCGGAGCATTGTATTTTTGTCGAAGGAATCGGAAGAAGTTTACTTCCGGGTTTTAGGACGCGTCACTGCGGTTCTCTATATGATGCCAATATAAACAAGGTCTTTTCTCGGCTCTTTACATCAAAGCCGACCTATGCGGACAAGTAAGTGAAGAGTAGAACAAATATAAAGGTATATTCGCAATAGGGAAATGTCCCAAAAGTTTAGGATAATGAAGGTTCTAATCTAGGCTATTACATAGCCATTACATGTCTAACTCCTAATGACAGGAAGGCAGAAAGCGCATTATACAAATAATAATACTCATAATAATGATAATAGCGGACATTTTTTAACAATGACCACAATATCATTATTTTTAATAAACCAAATATGAACAATTGAGGAAAATGAGGAAGAACTGATGATTCAAATGTTGTAGTACAAGTAGTAATGTAGTTTGTGCATAAATTACTATTGCAACAAATGTGTTCATTTTCTTCATTATTAGTCGATTGTTTAGACGAATGCTCTTGGGCCAGTGAAATGTTACCCTTAATGTCTACCCCTGCACTCGTTTGCTTGGAACGGTGATAATATTATAAACAAGGGGAAACAAGGTGAATTTAGCGATCACAACGAAAACGGCCCAGACACAGAAAAAGAATGTTATTAAGGGCTGTAAATATAATAAGCCTGTGTCTAAAATGGACAACATTGTTAGGAGATTTAAACTATGCAGCGATTCTGCACTGCGGTCAACTCAGCCGTCTCTCACGTTTATTTTTCCAAATCAGCAGCTCTTCATTTTTTTTTACCACAAGTTCTTAATAAAACTGACACTGTTGGACTCGGTACTAGTTGACTGCTACCAAAAATAAAATGAATTACTTTTACTGTGTACATTGTGAGTAATCCTCTGTCAAAGTCCCCTCCATAGTACATAATGCATGTTTTCTGCTATCTTTGATGAGTGATAAAAAGACAATTTTACCATAAGTTCTTAACGATATTGATACTGCTGGACTCGGTAGTCTTACACCTACTACCAC